TACAGAGCATAGCAGCATATAATGCAGCCAACACTATCAAACATAGCTTAGCATTCTTTTTCAGGCTCTATACGACTTCCTGTACATATGTTATTCGGATATTTGTGTATGTGTGCGTGTGTTTATAACCATGTAATATATCCTGTGTGTATATCTATACATATATACATAATATATGCAATATGTCATTAAAAGCAATTAAGAGTTTTAACAATAATTTATAGTAAGCAATACTTTATAAATGTAATTAAACAACTATTTTCTTTTACAATAAGAATAGAATATATGATCTATTACATAATGCACATACACAGAACATATATGTATATATACAAATATATGTACATACATGTGTGTGTAAACGCACATACAGAATATCCCATTTTAATCTTTCTACACAGTTATTTCTGAATCTGGTCGTTTAAGAGAATGTTTCACATAAAACTGAGTTTATTTCACGAGGGATATGTTATGGTCAGCTTAATTTTATTCCACATGGAGTCTTGTTACGTTTTTCATTATCTAACTTTTTAACTTCTGCACATACGAATCTAGTGGCTATACAATTAAGGCCATTCGATCAAGATTACAATTTATAGAATAAATAGAGTAAATTGTAAAATGTGTACAAACACTAGAACATAACTGAAGCATTCGGAGACAAACGATAAGAGATACAGACACAGATCAATGAGCGTATCAAATATCAGTAACGTGAAATATAAGATTCGACCTTGAGCGATCTTAATATTGCAGAGTGTTAGTTTCATTTAAAAAATGGAAGTCGTTTTTATATCTTGATAATGACTATATTGAATAAAGTGAAGTCGACCAAAACATGATTCCCTCGAAACGAATAAAGTTTGATTTAAAACATTTTTGTAAACAATCGCTAGATTTAGAGATAACGACATGAAAAGATTAAACCGAAACACCCTGTATTCGGTGTGTATGTGTATGCATGTGTGTATTGTGTGGCGCGGGCGCGCGCGTATAAGAAGAAAGCACACTCACTTATCAGGAGATGACGGGGGAGTGAGAGTGATGGTGCTGAGAGCGATGTCTGTGGAGTCATTGTTGCTAGCAGAAGCATTAGAGCTGGTATTTGTAGATGTAGCGGGAGTGGTCGATGCACTGCCAGAACCAGTCGGAGCCTCTAGCGAACCAATATGACCACCAGCACTTGACCCTGGGCTCGCAGACCTACTGCTGTTACTTGTCGGTTGTTGATGATATTGTTGCGAAATTCCTGCAGGTTCTTTTTCTTTAACGCTTTTTAATTTTGCAGTACCTTTGACTACATCTGAAAGCCTATTCTGCGATTGCGTACAATCGGTACCAATAGTTTCTACCGAAGCATTATGGGATTTTGCAAGATCAGCATCTAGGCCAGGAAGAGGAGGAAAAGCAGAAGCTTCCAAATCGAATTGTGCCCCTCGGTTACATTGTGTGTTATTATTACTGGCCGGGGTAGATTCTCTGATCGATGGTAAAGGGCTACTGTTAGCCTTGGACAATGATTCTTGGTCTTTGGTCCTACGATGCATACGATGACGCGGAAATTGAACTCCAGAGTCCAGAGTTTGAGCATCGTTCTCCTGCGACCCCTTGGAGTGGCTGCTATTATATTGAGTCTCTCCTGTTACCATAGTTGTATGCGAGGAATGGAACTTTGTGCCGGTCTGGTAGGAAGAAGAAGTCGGCTTCACTGTAGGCAAGCTCGAAGTAAAGGTTGAAACTGATGCTCCTATAGATAGTGGTGCTCCACTTATAGGTGGATGCGAGGTACGTCCCACTGGCACCATGTTCCCTCCGCCATCCATCAAGGCTGGTCTTTCAGGCCCGTTTCTTTGTTTATTTCTATATAGACACATGCAAACACATAAATATATACACACAAATATGATATATAATGAGAAGCATCATTGAACCAATAACTATGTGTTTCATAAAAACTATTATTTATTGTTGTACACAATGAACAATGACAAAAATTGACAGTATATTTCGAGTCTCAATTTGCAAAGTAGTATCTTCTTTATCTAGTATCTATGGTTGTGATGTATCGCACATTTTTTCATCTTGACATATTAATCGTATTTTATCAGTAGCATTGTCCTTACAATAATCTTTTCACAAACATCGTACAGTTAATTGACTTATTATAACATTCCAGAGAAATCTAACGGATAATTCGTTTTGTAAAAGCAAAATGATTTTTATAGTAGAAATACGAGAAATTGTGTTCATTTAAAATTTCTTATTACTTTTGTTCTTTTCAACTTGATACAGAACAGTAAACTGACCTTCCTATGTAAATATTTTACCATTATATCCACAGTTCATAAACTTTTTTTCAGCAGTGTCAAAAAACTAAGTCAATCAACAAACATGTAAAGTATTAAAAAAGGTGTTTAAGAACCCTGTGACCATTAGCAGTATGATATTTACGTTTATTGTTACAATTGTCTATAGTTTACAAATATAAATGATACTTTTTAGGAAACGTGGGGTTATTAGTTCAATTATGCTCTTCACTATATAATTTTACCAATTAATCAATCAGTCAACAATGTAATATACTAACAAAAAGTATTTCACTTTTATAAAATGAAAAATATAATGTTAAATTATTACAGTAATACCTTACATAGTACAGTTTTTAATAATATAATAATTATAAATATAAATATATTACACATCAAAATTGGACTGCTACTATTGTACAAAGTATATCTAATAAATGGGTTGAGCTATAATTTTATTCCAAGTGAAGTTAAAAAAAAAATGGTAGAGAAAAATTGTTGCTTTTTCTACAAACATTAACCATACTATGGAAGGTATTGTTGTATATGAAAAACCTATTGGCTATGCTACCTCAAAAATGAAATAATCTTTATAAAACGCGATCTGGAAGAAATATTATAATATTTTACACTAAATATATTAAAAACAATTTTATTTCCTATGTAAAGAAATGTAACAATCCTTTTTAAAGAACATAATACTAAAGAATTTAATACATAGTTTCTATATTAAAAAAGAAGTACATATTTGCACATTAATGAGGATAATTATTATTGTTATTACTTATATACCTGTGTCGGGGATTGTATCTTGTATTGTGTGGCTTAAACGTACTATGTGGTGTCATACCATTCATTGTAAAAACACCAGACATATCGAAATAAGCAGGACTTGCTGGTCCCCATGGCATAATTCCAGCATGATAAAATGGTTGATGCTATAAAAAGTATATAACATTTTGTTTATTATACATAGCAAAATTGTATCTTATATCTTGAAAAATATGTTGTCAAAGACGATCTCAATAGTTAATTAAAAACACACTCTTTTATTAGGAAAATTTCTTTATAAATCTATTGATTTGTACTCCTTGCCAGTTCAATAAAATAGTAAAAAACCGTTCATAAAATGTTTATTGTACTGTTTTTGGCAATTTGTATAAAGTCAATAAAAGTAATTATTAGAAACAAATAATCAATCATTAAATAAAAATTAAACAATGTAAATAGAAAATACAACAGCTATGTGCATCCTTGATTGTTGAAATTTTAAATTTAAACATTTAGCTGCATATGATGTTCAGAATAATTGATTTCGTATACATTAAAACAGTTTTACTCGAAAAAAATTCAAAATCTAAACTGGATTTACATAATACAAACACGATATTCTTAAAGATTTACTCTTTACATAACGATTTCGAAAACAAGTAATAAAATTGATGTATTATCTCTTAAATGAAGCTTTTATGAAAATTTATAAATATTTATTTTTCGCTAAACGTAATTGCACTTTAAAAAATACTAATTTTAATTTCGCATAAAAATACGCATATAACAATAAAGGTCTTAAACTTCTAATGAAGTAAATAAACTACACTTGACTTTTATTATATAACCATTTGTCTATATGTGTTACAATTATCAATTAACGTTAGATAAAACTTCAATATCAGCGAATCAAATCGGCCCGAAAAAGTATCAAGATAATCAGTCAAGGAGTTAATAATTATAATTGTATACGTGTTTCTGTCTTACAAAGGTCATTTGCAAACTGAACGAACGTTTTCTGAACCACTTCAAGTTGTAATTTAAGATTTATATCTTAATTAACGCGGCGATTCAAAATAACTTGAGTGACATTAAAAAATTTTGTTTGAACGGAAGTTTAAAGCAACTGTTTGTAATAATATCTGATCAGATAGGCTTAATGTTTTACAATTTGCTTATACTCATAAGCCTCTACAATTTGACCCTGGTCTCATTCAAACGACGCATAACAAAATCACGACTTACCCTTGTCAGTTTTAACCGTTTGAGTACTAAGTAACGCAATCTCGCTTCTCTCGTTTAGTGCCCATTGCTGATGCATAATATAGTAGTGAAACGTCGATTACCCGAACTAATAGCGAGACAAATTCATTGTCATAATAAATTTTTCAAATAATCAGTCTAGTAAAAGTAAAACTGCAACTATTTAATGAATCAACAGGAAATACAATAATTTTAAAAGATGTGTATTCATTGTATAAATGAACATATAGTAAACGTAATATAGGACACAAAGGCTGCCGACCCCGCTATAAACATATATCTCGTTTTGTGGCCCGACAATTGGTTGCATAGATAATTGATATTCAGATAATCAATATTTCACTGTACTTTCAATTAATACTTAACGGCTTTTATTTCGAATAAATAAACCAATCTTTACACGTTCTATCCTCAAACATTACATAAAATGGCGGTAATAGTGAGACAAAAGAATGAAACATGATGCCTATTTGTTGACATTTTTCAGTATATAATAGAAGAAGCGCAATCGCGTTACTTAGTTCTGGCCGTACGAATTCTTTTAGCATTCAAACGGTTATCAACCACAAGAATCTGATATACTTCATAGTTTCAATTAACTATATTATAAATCACTTCTATGAGAATTTAATAAAACCAATACAAATATTAAAAAAATAGTAATATTTAAAAGATTCAAAATACATTGAACACGTAAAAGAATAATACTTCTCACAAACAATAGATTTATCTCAAACTAACGAACGTGATTGAGTATCAAGTAATTGTAATAATTATACCCTTTGATAGAGAATAATTTTGTGTACTTACGTATAGATGAACTTGATTGGCATATGGCGGTATAGTGGTTTGTGGCATTGTAGTACCATTTGTAAAGAGGAAGCGTTGTTGACCAGCTGTATAGCTGTTTGGATCATAAACCTGTGGTGGTGGTGGAGTTCTATAACCATTTTTAATACCACCCACTCCAGCAACTGCTGGTATTGGTAGCCTATTCATTGGTTTAGCTTTAATTCTTGCCATTATTGGCTTTCCCTAAATTGCATATAATAATGTATTAATACCAATTTATTTTATTATATTTTACAATATATTTCGTTTATGCTGTTTAAGACAATTATTCTAGTTTAACTATTATTTAATATAATCAAGCAATAATTGTAATTATTAATTTAACAAGCACATTTAATTTAAAAAATTATTCGGATTTTTCTGTATATTGCAATGCTTTCTTAAATTTATAAACAGTTTATAATATCACAGTTTATATAACAGTTTATATATAATAATATCATTGTACCTGAAATTCCCGAACTTCTTCACGTAAAAACCTATAGGCCTTCTGAGCATCTTCATCGGATTCAAATGTTACATACCAAGAACTATTATGGGCAAATTCACATGAAATAAACCTTGGACATCCTTCTCCAGAGAATAAGTTCTGTAATTAGAAATAACATTCTGTTAAAACTTAATAAACAAAAAAAAAAAAATCATGACATGCACAAATTAAATCATTAAAAACGGAATAAAGGTAGCTCGTTACTATTCAAATAGATTAATACTTTTTTTCACCTTCACATCTTCCAATGGAGTGCTATCTGGTATTTCACGAAGAATTACAATGCATCGTTTATGGTTAGGTCTTACTTTTTGCCCCTCTTCATCAACTTGCACATTGGGAGATTCCCTCAAAACTTCTGTTATAAGTTTTATATCCTTTGTTAATTTCTTCACTTGGTTAAAATTTGCTACTGTCCATATTGGTACATATTGATCATTATCCATTTGTGATAATAAATATGTATCATTAGCTAAATTTTCTCTTCAAAAAATAAAATAAAATATTGTGAAATACTCTGTACTAAAATTAAAATAGTGGATAATTGTAAATAATAATGTACATAATAAAAACACGAATTATTGTACGTATTATTCGCATGTTAATAAGTAACACCCTTATTACATAATATTGATATTGTAATATATGATATTGGTATACAGTTAAAAGTACCTGGAGAAATAATATTCAAGTTGCGAAGAGAGCATCTGTTTCAGTTGTTCCAAAGGTATACCGGGCGTAGATAAATCAGCCATTGGGGCAGGTGGATTTGGCACATCACCTAAAGCAGCAACATCCACTGGACCATAACCCACAGCACCTCCTATACCTATAGCATGCTGCGGCGAGGGCTCTAGGTTACCAACACCTGCCTCCAATATTAACTCGTTTCCACTTGGAGCACCGTTCATGACGTCATATTCCAAATTGGATGCAGTATTCCCAATTGCACCCCCAACTGAACCCAAAGGTTCAGGGGTGGCTGGATAAACCGCCCCTGGTGGGAGTTTCCCAATGTCCCCATTCATGTACACGTACCCTATGAAAAATACAAAATGCATTGAACAATACAACTATTTACAATACTGTTATACCTTATAAAGACATCTAGTGTCTAATATATATTGTTGTACTTACATATTACAACATGTAATATACGCGAGTTTATAAGTTATCAATGTTATTATACGTATAAATACAGACATTAATATATTTAGTTCTAAACAATTCTTAATGTAACGCGTATAAAATAAGACTATGTCCACAATTATGTGTACACCCTAATATTAACAATTAAATGGCATTAAGCTGTATTAAATGAATTTCTATCGAACAATCGTACTGAAATTAGAAAAATATTTCATTGCAGTTCCTGATGTAATCTTTACTTTCTAATCGATCATAAGCAAGATTAATGCATAATTAAACGGACTAATGATTTTGTAAATTGACTTGCCCTTTCTCATCTATAAATCGATTGAAAAAAACATACATTTACATCGTTAAATATATATGTGCATCATGGATAAAGTATGGTTTTTCTTAAATTCATAATTTTCAAGTATAATTTAAGCATTCTTTTAATGATCTATCCAATTATGAAGTGTAGAAGATTAAAAATTCAAATCTTACAGTAATTTTTGGAATTATGATTAACAGTATGTAATACAACATACCAGTCTGATGTAATACAGTGCAGTACCTATATAACTAGTATACACATACATTAGCGCTTACGTACATGTACGTAATTGACATGTAGTGTGCCGCACGTACGATGCGCGCGCGCGCTCATGTTCAATAGCACATAGTCGTATGCACAATGTGTATAAGTAGCGTACGTGTGTGTGCGCGCGCGCGGACAAGCGGGCGTGTGTGTGTGCTCAAATGCATATACGTACGCGTATTCAAATTATACGAATTTACTTAGATCATATCTTTATAAACTACGAAGAAATAATTAATGTAAAAATAAAAAGGATCGAAATTTTAAACGTCCTCGTAGAACGTTAGTTTTTTCACTAATTACTTTTAAAATCAAAATGTAGAACGTGTAATACAAGAGAAAACCACCAAATTCGTAACAAAAAATGAAATGTTCCCTTGACTCTGATTAAAGTCAAAACTGAATGTTGATCGTACAAACCGTGCCACATGCTAAGATTTGCTCTCGTTCAGAATCAATGTGCAATCGTCAAGCATTCACACTTAAACGTCACATTGTATCCTTCTGATATAGTTCTTTGGGAAAGGTTACGGCATGAAAAGTAAAAATTTTGAAAAGGCAAGATATGCAATATGTTGGATGCGATTAGCCAAATATAGAGCGAGACGTTGGCCGGGCCAACACGTTCACGCACGCAGATATGGTGACAACCACTTGGATAGTACACTTATGCGTATCGTATATCGTTACCGAAATCACCATTCATCCCGAAACAATCCCGGATTCCATGTGCCTTTATCAATAGGTGTTCTCGGCAGCTTCGTTTACTGGCTCGTTCTTCGGGTGTAAGTACCGTGAGCGCACACGGTTGTGCGCAAAAAACGCAACCTTATTCCTCGTTCTCAAGCTATGAATAGTTAGCCATAAGCATCTGCCCTCAATCCTCTACATCATTTGGATCAATGTGATTCGCACCGTTTTAGAATTTTATAAAATTCTTACCGAGAAGATGAATCAACTCAACACAATTTCTCAAGGAAACTACAAAATGGCCGACACAGAAAGGCACATGCCGTAGCTCGGTGCATTGTGGGTCGTAGGTATGTAGCCCGACGGTAGTGAAATCTGGTGGTTAGATTTTCACGATTCGTGTCCACTAAATTTAAACACCTCGAAACGTCTAAAAATTGTTATTCATTTAATCAAATTAATATACTAAGAAAATGTTCAATATATTATATCACAGTTGTATTTTGTTAAACAATACTGATAATTTTTTTGTTATCAATCTCTAAGCAAATATGAAAATATTACATTCAACCTAACCTGTATGTGTGTTCACACACATATAAAATAAAAAAGATAATGGATTTTACGCATGTGTACATGCATATACGGATACGACAATCAGATCTATATATTTGTATCGTTCGGAACTTTTAATCACTTTATTGATATAGCCATTTGGATTAAAACTGTTAATACTTGTACTAACTTTTAAATTATTAAATATATATTATATTGTATGAATATTTAGTAAAGTATCCGTCATTTTTCGATGGATAAAAATATCGATAAAAAATAAATTAGAAGTCATAAGAAACCATTTTTACACTAAAATATTCTATTAACACATACTTTACCAAAATTGTACTATTATACTATTCCAAATGTGATTATTAAAAACTATTTTTTTAATGTACACCATTTCTTCTGGAGTAATAAACTTACAATAATGTTATACTTAATTATATATATATTAAATGACTAAAAGGTAGAAAATAATATTGGAAGACAAAAAACTGGTGAATTACCATTTATTTATTTAGACAGCCACATTTTTATTGAAAACAATTGATCTAATGTTATCAATACTGCTTTATAAAGGAAAAAATTGGCAATTCTCCCTAAAAAAATCATTACAATAAAAGATCATCCTTTCAATAAATAATACAATCAATGCGGAATCAAAGGCACAAAACTTGGAGATGACAATATAAAATCAGGTCTGTTTATCTTAGTGTATAAAGAAAACAAAGCATTCAGCATTACACACAATAAGCCAATCTGCAGCCTAAAACAATTATTTTTCATCGCTCTCTGAATACGTCTATAGCGCCGAGATACATACTACCTAATTCCAAAAAGAAAAGCCATCCGTTGCTATTTGTATCTATCCCTTGTATATGTATTTTCTCGAATTAATAGGTAATTATTGCTACTACTTTAAATGTGATGAGTTTAGTAGATTATCTAACATAAGGCTGTAAAATATTGCTTCCTACAATCTTACAAATGTCTGATTAGAATATTGTGCCTATATCTTTACTGTTATATATTTTTTATTGAAATATATATGTGTATATAATAGGATATCTCACGAAATATCAACAAGTATTAGTGACTGATACAGATAATTTAAGATGATAAGGTGATGAAGGTGGTGTGTTCTTAGATAGTGGCATGGGTGTTTGTTGGTTAAAAACCATGGACTTTGAGTTGGTCAGGTTTAGCCAGACCTGACTTTGTTAGCCACTGGCATATATTTTCTCGCTGGTCCCCCTGCAGCTGCAACACCTCCCCGTACTCCGGGTGCTCGATTACTGTCCCATTGCAGGCAAACTCCTACAAAGACAAATTTCATATTTTACCTCTAATAATTTATTCTAGGACTTTTCATTACCTTCTTGTACTTAATGATTATTTGAATGAAAATAGAAAATGTAATGAAATTAAATATTAAAATTAATTGCAATATGCTTTAACCAAAAAGCACATCAATGTGTGATAGAATATTTGATTGTGAATTACCGATGCAGAATATCCAAAGTAGAAATTCATGCATGGAGTGTTTAAATTAAATCACCTCTTTGAAATCTGGGCGTTTAAAAGTATTATTAAACACAATAGTGTTGGGCTCAAAACTACTGTTCAACACAGGCATGCACCCATATAAACATACGCACAAAATTAAATTACTAAGTTTGTATTGTGTTTCATAGCAGATCAATATTTATAATAATTTTAAGATTAATGTACCATTCAAAATATAAAAATATTTGGGACTATTTACCATTTTAGTTAATTAATAAAAAAAAGTTTAAAATTTTAGTAACAATTATACATAAACAATAATGTATAATAAATACATTTAAGAAATAAAATTATGTTTGTAGTTGTAATCTATTATATATAAAAATAAGATACAATTAAATTCTTATTAACAGTTTCATATAGTATGCATATAAAGGGATTATAAAATCATGTTTCTCTTCAACTGCAATATATCAAATACATAAATATTTTTTATTGTGTTAAGAATAAAAAAATTAAATTAATAAAAAAATTTATATTCAAAATTTTATATACTGTGCTCGAGAGGAAAGAACTTCTGCAAAATCGTGTGCAATTATATTTCTACACTGAACAGTTGTTTGCATTGGTTCTATTTTTAGCACAGTGTCTGACACTGACAAAAGATTTACTCGTCGGAATACAAATCACAATTTTTACGATTTTCATTACCTTTTTACATGCTCTCACTATTTTCTTCAAGTCATATTCAGATGAGAGACCTTGCACCGTTGTTAAGGTCTTACGACCATTTCGTTGCTGGATCCTTATATGCACGAGACCGTCTTGCACATCATCATCTGAACCCTTGATTGCATCTGCAAAGGGGTCTGGCAAAAGCAAACAATTCGCATTACGTTAACGATGATTCAATTTTGGGTTTAAACGATAAATTTCTACCAAAAGTGCATCACTTTTAAAAAGCAAATACGAAAATGATGTATGGCGATAATTGATTGCGTACTATGATGCAAGGAGAAGACGCCATCGCCATTTTGACAAACTATCTTCTAGAATATGACCAGCTACAAAATAGAAAATATAATACTTACCGAATGTGTTGAGATTCTGGATGGACATACGACAAACGAAATATATCCGCGGGAGATATAGAATTGCAAAGTGCAAGTGCAGTTGAAATAAAGTACGGATGACGTAGGATAACAGAAGCACCAAGCAAGAATACTGCTAAACCCAAAAAACCTTGTACAGAGGTCAAACTCAACCGGAAGTAAAAGTTGCATTTGTCATGAACAGTGGGTGGGGTTGCGCATGCGTACTTTCAATTAAATAAGCTTCATTTACATGAAAGAAATGTCTCATTATTTGATTGGTAAGAATGAAAACGTTCTTTAATCATTTCCATGTAATTTCTTGCACGTAAGTTTTATAATTTTTTATATATTCCGTGTATTCTTAAAACGAAATAATACAAAATTTTGAAATACTTAGCTCTCTTCAATCTTCATGTATATTTACGTGAATTTAGGTAAACACATATGAATGCGACAAACATAATTCGATTAAGCGTAAAAAGAACAGTTTTATTATTAAAAATAATCAATAAATGCACTTATCGTAGAAAATAAAAATATTAAATTGTTACTTGTTTATAATTTAATAAAATAAACATGTATACATATTTTCTATTTTATATTTATAGTAAGTTTCATAGATGATAAAATTGTGAATTTTAGACACGTGATTTTGTTTGGATCACGTCATCGTTTCCATGGATCATACTTACTATATACTTGTAAACAAAGCATAAATGCGGTTAACATGCAGCGCGCCACAGCGGTAGATTTTAGAAATTTATACGCATTAACTTTTAGTCTCTGTGATAGCCTTCCTAGATCGTGTGAAATGAAAGATCCAATGAAATGATCGTTTCAGTACAGTTGATGATACGATTTTTAATTCTGTGGAATATGAGCGATACGTTCATTACTTTACATAAAATAAAATTTAAAACAGACATCAACTAATTGTTATTTGTTGGAACAGATTCTTTTCGTTATTCGTTGTTGTATATAATAAAAATTTGAAATAATGAGACTGTCACTTTGAGACTGGGTACAGCAAGTGTAGTATGGTGAACTTTTAATTCGAATAATACTTATTGCACTTGGCCTAATTTGACATTTTGTAACACGAATTATGGCCAGTCCGCGAACTCGGAGAATTCTAAGTGAACTTAAACCAAAAGATGAGAATAATGTAATATATTCATCTAGTTCTGTTAGCATTATACCATATGTTAATTTAATTGCATCCCATAATTTTCCAGAGATGTTTCGAATGTGGTACACATAATCCTCAATGGGTTTCTGTTACATATGGTATTTGGATATGTCTTGAATGTTCTGGCAAGCATAGGGGTCTAGGTGTTCACTTGTCGTTTGTTCGATCCATTTCTATGGACAAATGGAAAGATTTAGAATTGGAAAAAATGAAAGTTGGTGGAAATAAAAATGCTCGTGAATTTTTTGAATCGCAGCCAGATTGGGATGATAGTATGTCTATATCTCAAAAGTATAATACTAAAGCAGCAGCATTATACAGGGATAGGGTAAACATATTTTAATATTATTTATAGCCATTTTTTGTACCTTAAATTTTAAGATCTAGTTTGTAATTATGTGTCTCATATAGTTTGACGCTTGATCTGCTAAAAAATACTCTAATTAAAAATATACTCATTAGATTGCAGCATTAGCTCGTGGGGAAAATTGGAGTCCTACTACTTCCACAGCTAAGAATTTCCAACCTTCATCAGACCCAGGAAATCAACAAGACTATACATCATATCAAAGTGATATGTCGAGTTCTTATCAAAATTTTAATTCAAGCAGCTGTAAGTCCCAAACAGAAGCCTTCTTTGCTAGAAAACAGAACGAAAATGCCAATCGTCCTGAGTAAGTACAGATTTTCATGTAAAAGTAAGTAAATGTAAATTTTATTTCACATGTTGTATATCTTGGTAATATTTATATAAATCATAAATACAATATTTATAACATAATATTTCAAAATATGTTCATAAATGTTTGTACAGTAATGTTCCACCTAGTCTGGGTGGTAAGTATGGAGGATTTGGTTATCAAATGGATGCACCACCTAGAAGTTCATCACAAGAATTTTTTGATACTGCAGTCTCTTCACTAGCAAGTGTAAGATAAATAATTTTTTATTTCTTGTTAACTTTCATTTGTTCATGGAGATAATTATGTGTTTCCATTTTAAAAACCCCACCTCATATATGATTAACACATAAACACAACTTGTGATTAACATTTTAGGGATGGTCAATATTTTCTTCATCTGCATCAAAAATTGCAAACAAGGCTACAGAAAATGCTATTAGAATTGGAGAATTAGCAACACAGAAGGTACACAAAAAAAATTTATAATGATATATAAGCATTTTAGTTTTGACAATAATGCTGTATATAGTATTAGTGTACTGTATGTTGCAAGTGCGTTATATTTTATTTAATTATGTTTTTACAATGATTTATTGCAAAATGGTATTTTTTTTAGTTATAGTTTCATTTTTTGTTTCGTTCTATTTTGTTTTTATTAGGTTCGTGACGGTACTTTATTGGAAGATGTTGGAGCTCAGGTTAATAATTTAGCTGCAAAGGTAGTTTGCTGAACATTGAACATTTTTATCATTGATTACGTACATTAATTAGATGCTTTGGCATTTAAATAATATTGCGTTTTGCGGTACAATCGATCAATTTTTGTTCATATTTGAATAAAATGTTCGATATATAGGTTGGAGATCTGGGAAGAAAAGGATGGGGTGATATTGGAGGAACGAATTCGATCGATCAAAATCAGTATAGTTCGAAACAAAATTATCAAAGTTCTTCTACTACTTATCAAAACAGTGAAGTCCAATCTCATTCCACTGAGAAAACATCTTTGATGAAGACATCGCAGTCAAAGTAGGTAGATATATTTCTCATGTTACAAGGTATTAATATAAAGCGTAAAAGATCATTATGTTTTAGAACTAATGTATCACCCACAAATTCTTCGAACTGCGAGTGGGATTGGGATAATGATACAAAACAAACGAAAATGAATGAAAAGATAACTGACATTAAAGCGACTACGAGAAAATCAAGAGATAAGGTCAAAGAGGAAGCTTTGATCAACTTTCATACTGACAATCATGCGGCTAATTTGGATTCAAAAGTAGAAGATGATGCATGGCAGTGGTAACATGCGCACGTGTTTCGTACACCTGAGAAAACGTAAAAAAAAGTATTGTGAAGCATTTCAAACGAATGTGCTCAAAAACTTTAAATGCTCTATAGTCAATGTGCACTAAAGTGTAAAGGTTCATTAACACTATTTACTTATACACTGTGTCTGCTTAATTTCATTTACCTTTGCATTTATTATAAGTTTGAACTGTTATCAAACGTTATTATTTGCTTTTATACAATGTAGATAATTAGTATATTGAAACAAATGGCAGGTACAATGTATAAAATGATAAATTTTTAATAGAAAAATATAAAAGTAGTTTACTTTATAATACGTATTGTACAAATGAATTTTGTGTAATTATTACTTTTACTTATAACAATTGTTTATATTAAAAAATATTTTAATATAATGTATTAGTACATTATGGACCAGCATCGTGCTAGAACCAGCTGGATTCTTAATACATTCGCTGTTACGTCGACACCACTAGCGTCAAGCAACTCATTTATCATACATTACCACTTCTATATCTGTAAGACTATGATTATAATTGATAATTATAATTAAATAATACACAAAATATCAAATGTACGAATAAGCATTAGTAAACATAATTATGTTCAGTTTCATATTGTAATCAAGTTTTATCAATTTATTTGTGTTCTGATCGAAAAAAGCGAATTAATAGAATTGGAAAGACAATGTAAATTACCCTTGTATATGAGCGTATGAAGGTGTTAATATAAATGTTTGATGCAGGCATCCGTTTCTCTGATATACCCTGTATATATTCGTTAAAATTAATCTTTGATATAAAATATTTTTAACAAAAACAGATCTGTGCCTTGTAGAATAATTTCAGTTTACATTATCAAAAATTCATGACTATTCATCAACAAATTTATACATAAGTCGTTCCCGAAATGTTTAGTTAAATTTTACCTGCAAATTCTATTAGTTGTATTTATAAAAAAGTAATTCTCAATTTTCTAGATGTAACTTTTTAAAGTTGCTAAGAGGAATTGTTTTAAATGGATTCCAAGGAATATTTTGTATCCTTTAGTAGGACATATTTTCAGATCAGAATAAATATTAGTGTAATAAAGTTTAGCTAAGCATTTTATAAACATCCAATACCACAAATATGTTCGTTTATTAGATTAAAAACTTATTAAACAGTATTATTGTACATAAATATATAAATTAAGAAAAAATTATAATACTACAAAGAATGAGAATTTTTCCCTGGATATACTTTCTTAATGTTCATTCTATTGTAAGCTCTTCCAACATAGTCCCAAAGACCCTTCTGACATTTTGGCCACGATGTGTTTTCAATTTTTGACATAGTAGAACAAAGCATGTCCCTATCCTTTTGTGACAGATCAAAAAATGACGGTCGTTCGAGGCACGAGCTATAAAGAAACTTGTAGATTGCTCTAAAATAGAAAAACACAGTTGCATTAAAATTAAATTATTTTAATTAAAAAGTAGCATCAAAAAATTGAATTAAATAAAGCCATACCTAAAGTCATAGCCTTCTACTTCGGACGGTGATGGGTGATTTTCCAATAATTGTATGAATAACAGCGCTTCTGGTATAATACTATCTCCAGGTTCATATGAACCACAATTCAACCATTTGTCCAAGAATTCATGATCGTGCAACTCTTTTGCCATCGTCGAATATTCAGTAATTTTCAATTCAATAGCCTCTGGTGCTATGTGCGGCAACATATTTGATATAGCTGATATATTTTCAGGCCCATATTGCTTGAGGGCTTCTAATAGTATTTTTTTATCACTGTTACTCCACGTTGCATGTGCCTTGGATTCATTACCACTTTCTGCCACACTTGTATTTTTTTCCTGCTGTTTCTGTTTACGTAAATTTCTCCTCTTCTTAGTGTCAGCCATTTCATAACACGGAAAGATTCTTTTATTCCATTTTGTTATCTCTGTTTCACATCAGATCCAAAATATTTTTCAAACTATGCTGTCATGAAACACATAGGCAAGATCAGTGTGGACAGATTTGGCATAATTGAATGCATCGACGGCGACACTAGCAACGACGAACTTCCATAACGTTTAACGGAGTGGTGGGGAAAAATAACATATCCTACCATACGAGCAACATGTTAGGCTAGGTCAGCACTTCACGCAACTTCGGGATATCGATATTATCGATAAGGAACGTGAACGGGAGCTTTTCTTTCTTGCTTTTGAACAACTGAAGTCAGTCTTCGCGGCATACAATTTCGAATCTCGACTGCCCAGGCATTTTTACGTTTCTAGCTATACAGTCACATACATACATATAAGCAAAGTCCATAATGATTTTTAAGACCCCCTGATTATATTGTGACTATTAAAAAAAAAGAAATCTTTTTTTTTCTGCCCCTTTTCGCACGTACGTACATATACTATTAACTTGATTGCGTCTAAACGACTGAATAAATTTCAACGAAATTTACTTTACGATATAAGCTTGTAGAAGTGACTGGTTGTTGTGGTAACCGTATTCCAAACACGTAAATTTACAGTAAACTACTTTCATTAAACTGAAGTACAATTAAGACATGCAACCATTAAAAGTAATAGTTGTAGGACCTGTTAGGGTAATGTTCCAAATTTAAATATTATGTTATAATACGCAAACATAACACTAAGAAAATATTTTTTAGAGCGGTAAAACGTCAATATCGAATTTTCTTGCCGATGCTACAGAGATACCTTATGATTACCACCCAACACAGGGTGTTAGAATATTAGAATTTGAAATAGAAAATATAAACGTAAATAATAAACGTGTCACGCAAGATATCGAATTGTGGGACTGTAGCGGAGATCACAAGTATATATGGATATTTTATTTTGTTAAAAATAGTAAAAAATATCAAATATATAATACGAGAATGTTTTAGATTTGAAAATTGTTGGCCAGCTATAAGGAAAAATTTACATGGTGTTATATTCGTGTACAGTGAAAGATCAAATGAATGTTTGAAAGAACTTCAACAATTGTATGATTATTTTATTAATCAAACACAAGTAGGCCCGGACCGATGTGTAATATTTTGTTACGATCCTGAAAAAAAAAATCTTGAAATATCAAAAATTATTTGTAAGTATTGTAAATATAATATTAAAATTCTTAATAATTTTTAATATTTGTAGCTACAATAATAGTGTTTATTCGATTATAAATGTAGCTTCAACGTTTGCAAAAGTGTCTCACGTGAAGTGCAATGTAGAAAGCGGTGGAAATAAACTTAAATCTGATTTTTCTTCCTTCGTAAATACAATAGTTACTAAAATGCATAACTACACAGATCCACAAGATAAAAATATTTTAAGTGATAATGTATTGTTTGTGAAATAAAGATTTTAGTAATTCTTATTTTCTTAATAAGATAATAGATATTTAAATTCTGTAAGATTAATATTTTTATATATTTGCACAACATATATATTCTGATAATACATTCACTTATATATATGTAATCAATTTATATGTACAAATTTATATTAGATACGCTGTATAAAACTACATATTTATAACATATAATATTATAATAATTACACTTTTGTTTATATCCTCATTTATACATGTCCTAACATTTTTTTAATAATCACAGAATATTTAATTGGGAATGTTATAGGAAAATTAACATGTATTATATGTACATCTCCAGATTCAAGTTAATACATATACACAAGTTATACATATTCAAGAAAATGTAATTAAAATTCTTTTATCTTTTTTGAAAAGTATTTAATATAATTATAAATTTTAATATTATTGGTAAAAATATAGTTTGAACTTATTAAAATATAATCTACATTTAATAATTGATTTATTAAAGAAAACCAATATTCATTATAAAATTTTCATCAATTTTGTATAAAAATTATAATTTTAATTAATATAAACATATATATTAATTTGAGACTTCCGTATATATTAATTTTTTACTTGATCAGACAAAAATATCATTAATTCATCCCATGCTCTTTGTACTTGTCCTTGAGTAATATCATGACTCCATAAACTACATATAACAACATTTGCTTCATTAACTTGTTCTGTATTACTTGGTTGAACTTGGATTCTTACTTTTGCATCAGCCTCAGTTAATCCATTTCTATTTACCACTCGTTTTATAGCCTAGAAATTAAAGTGACAATTGCATAATATGTGTACTTAAAAGAAATTTTATACTTCATTGAAAAAAGTAGTTTTACACGCACTATGATTGTTTAAATTATGAAAGTAGAAACTGACCTCTTCCGGTGGAATAATACAGGTCCAAATTTCATGACACACGTACTGCCAGTCAGCTTGAATTAAGACAGCTGCTTCCATCACAATTATATCAAATCCTTTTGCATAAAAATTGTTTATTTGCTTCTTTGTTTCATCCAAGATTATGGGCCAAACGAGTTTATTTAATTTATCTAATTGTGCCTAAAAATAAATTTATATTGTCAATTATAAAATAAAGAATTAGTAGTAAAGTATAAATGCTAAGAATATTAAATTATATAATAAATTTACTTTATCATTGAATACTATATTCCCAAGTGCTTTCCTATCAATAAATCCATCTGGTTTCAAAATAGCAGGACCAAATGTTTTAAGTATTGTCTCAAAACAACTTTTGCCAGGTAGATACAAATCGTGTGCTATTGTATCACAGTTTACAAGACCTGCGCCTAATTTTTCTAATTTTTCAGCTACCGATGACTTTCCACTTGCAATACCACCAGTTAAACCAATAATATAAGGTTTCAGAGGTTTATTGCCTATTCTCTAAAAATATAACAATATACAATCATTTTTATGGTTTTATCTTCAATACTTACAGGAGGTCGTAGTCTTGTTCCCAATAATCGTATTCTATTATTACTGGAACTGATTTTATTTTCTTCGTGTTCTCTATGATGTTTGTCCTCCATTAATTTTATAACATGAATATCTAATTTATTTAGATTTTGCTGTACACGCATATCATTCACTTTATGCCCACCACGTTCTGTTTCCTCGCTAACTACTATCATTTCAAAAGTTGGGTCACTTTTGGTTGGACCATACATATCTTTTATCGGAACAATATCATATACCAATGTTGAATCTATATCTTCTAAAAACTCTTTAATATCTAATATTCTTTTTGAACAAGGTTCTATCAATTCCCATAACAATTTACCTGCAAATTTAATTAATTTAAGTAAAAAATGAATAATATTTTTAAAAATACGTGTTTTGAAGTATTGTTGCATATATCTTACCATATAACATATTTGTATCGGTCACACCGACTGTAAGTTTCTCTGTGCAATGCAATACAGCTTCGCTTAAAAACATTTTATGACCATTATGTATCCGATCAAATGTACCACCGAGTACTACATTCTTGTATCTTTTTGATTCTTCGATGCAAGGCATTATACTTGCATCCTCTAATTCTTCATCATCGTTAAAACTAAGGAAATTACAGCCCATAGAAGTATTAGCTAGACAATCCTGTATGAATGTATCAGCCTCTCTTTTACTACAGATTCTATCAAAAATCACTACTTCTACAGGCTTTTTCGTATTTATTATACATAAATTGGGATTTTTCATGTTTGTGAGCAAAACTCGGATATCGAGACGAGTAGATATCGCGGACGTGACATTGTAAATATTGGAAATGGTTCGAGCGTAACGTGTTATTTTCCATTGGGAGTTTGTAGCCGTGTAATTTCCTGATATAAACATGTTCTTTTCCGGAAAGTATTGTATATACAAAGTTTTTAATACATGTTTCTTAATAATCGGTAATAATTTTGTCACTTTCGTTGGATTTGTTAAAACTAATAAACCTGTGTTTGCCATGATAATAACGAAATTGTTAACCTTTAACCTGTTTTGTCAACAATACATTCGTCCAGTAATGATTACACTTCATGTATCAGTATTTTTGCAAATCAATTATATGCCGTATTACGTAATATTTTACACTCGGAGAACAAATATTTCTCCTATTACCACAGACGACTTCCTTGTCATTCGTCGTTTTCGTTCGACATTTCATGCTACGTTTTTTAAAGTTGTATGTAAAGTATATCTATTTTCTTTTTATATATGATAAACTTATGTGAATCAAATAGGTGTGTTCTGTTTCTTTTCATTAAAATGTAAAATTATTATGCTTTTACTAAATAAAACATTTATGTAATAAAACATAGATACATTTATTATTCTAGTTGATAATAGTAATATATATCACACAGTAAAATGTACAATTTTACCATGTGTACATTCATATTTTTATTATTTTTGTTAATTACTAATTATTATTGAATTCATATTTCATGTACTACATAAGTATCAAATTAATATTAAATATGCCATATATAATGTATGTATTAGTTATGTTAATAATTTTTCAATATCGGTGGCATTGAAATACTTTTAGAGGTTTTATGTAATGGATCTTCATGATTTAAAATCAACCACTGTATTAACTTTGTATCATTATTAGTAAATGCTTTTTGTAGCAAGATATTATACCATTGGTCTTTTAAACCAAAATTACATCCTGTAAAGGAAACAAACATTTTTTTATTTGAATTGAAAAACCTTGTCAAACTTGTGCAATTAAAATAACTGACCTGCACTTTTAAGTAGTTTAAGACATGAAAAATCATCTTGCATTGGATTATTAAGAAAATAATAGATAGCCATACACAGAGCATTTTCTCCTTTTACTGTGGTAATAGAAGGATCAGCACCTGCATTTATTTCATGAATATACATAGATCAATATCAATGCTAGTACTATATTTAATTATATTATAATACAATTAAGTTTTTATTATTTTATCATATGTATACCCTTAGCTAACATGAATGCTATCAGACATGTATGACCTTGAAAACAAATACGGTGAAAGGGTGTCAAACCAGTGAGTGGACATTTTATGTTCAATAATTGTGGACAATAAACGACTATATCAATGCATTCTAATGCATAGAATCTATCCCAGCATTTCTGAAAATAGTATATAACTAATTTTTCAATTCGTTATTTGATAAAGTAAAAATAGTTACAGAAATTTTACAAATAATGTAAAAATATTATATTATGATTAAAAAGTTAATTTACGTTAGCTGCATTTTCTAAGTTGTTCAACATTTCTTTGTGGCTAATTATACTTTGATCTCTAATAAACGAGCGATTGTAATTTCTTATTTCCTGTAATCCTATTAAATTTTGTTTCGATTCACGTGTTAATATTTTACATCGGTGTGCTGTAATTCATTTAAAGGAATGTAAAATTTATAACATATAAAATGAATTATTAAAAGAAATTTGAAATTTGAAAATGTATCTACCATGAACATAATACATATAAGATATAACTGCTATGAATCCAGTAGCAGCAATGAGTTTAAACATGTTCGGGATTACTTCAGTTATCTTTACAAGATATTGTAGTAATATATCATAAAACGATACGTTGTGTCTTATTTCAAGACTCATTGTTTTTACTTTCTTCGCTCGATACGTAGAAATATCTTTCTTTTTAAAAATCCCTCAACAATCCCTTTTAAAAGGAAGATCCGTCGATCTGGAAACAGTAATACTAGATAGGAATGTGTATGTGACGAATATTTCCCCATAGTCGCGCTGAATAACCAATCAGAAGAAGCAAGTAATGATGCAGGATGTCCTCTTTCAATAGTCAACTATCCGGAAGTGATTGTCAAAGGAATAGAGAGAGAGCGAGAGAGAACGAGAGTCCCTTACTCTGTGTAACGATTAGATACAGTTCGAAACTTCGAATCCTCAATTTGAAGTTCTGGAACGGGGTCGCCTAAGAGGGGGGACCTACGGATATTCAGATATTGCAACGAAAACAGAATCGACGCAGACGCTGGCCATACTTGATCGTCGCGATGAGTGCGTTGTTTCGAGAAACCCGTCCATAGTGTTTACAATTCTCTTCAGAAATCTAATCAGTGTTATGATATCAAGTTGCCACGAATATCTATGAAATCATAATAGTAATCGTTCGAATTTTCTAATCGATTCGTTCAAGATTGTTGTGTCGTACGCGAGAATACGGTTCATGTAAATATACTTTGTATCGTGTCTTTCTTGCGTTACTTCAAACTGTCCCCTTCTTACGAAAATGGCGAATTATACGGATCGCCAGTATTCGTACGAAAATTCAGTACATCTTCGTACAGATGACGAGAAGTGAACGTTTCAACGATTCTGATGTAGAAAAACTTTATTAGGCCAAATAACAAAACAATTTAGGATCGTCAAAGATGGATGCAACAATCGAGAGAGAGTGCAGTGCTTTGGGTGGTCTCTTTCAACAGATTATAACTGATATGAAGGTAAGTAATGATGACGTTGTTGTTGTTCGATATTTACTCTGGAATTCGTCCGTGTTTTTTTTTCCTGTTCATTGTTTCTTGTATGATGTTTTACCGTTGCACAATTTACGATGCAGGCGAAAGCGCGTTGTCGATGCAGTACCCCTCAAACACCCATGTTTCGTAAATACTATGAAACCATTCCACACGATCGAAAATGTATTACGTTCATTTTTAAAGTTATTCTTTCTGAGGTTCTTGTAAGCGTTGTTAGCGATGCCCTGATTCCGAAAACTATTCTCTGAAACCATTGAGATACTTAAAACGAGGACGAGCCAATTTACACTTGCTCTTAGAGCGTCGAAATAATTTTAAAATTTTTACGGAACGTCCAGTGCTGTGTATATACTGAAATAGAAGTATTTTAAATACTATTTTAAACAGTAGCTATTGAAACGGATACAAATAAAATAATATTTCAAATATAGCGTACAAATTATTGTACTGTGACATTTATATAAAAATGTTCTATTGGTATGTAGAGCAATAAACTCAGTCTGGTTCAGGACCTTGATACCCCAGTATGAAATACAAAATAAATTTATTTAGTTAGCAGTCTATGAAAATGTACATTTTAAGTACTTTACATAAGAAGAATAAAATAGTATTGTAAATACTATCCCAGAAATTGAAAATTTAGTAATAAAATTAATTATTTTATATTTTAAGGGCACATTTTATTTAACTCTAATGACAACAAAAGTTAAACACATCTTATTTTAACAAAAATGTACTCTGCACAATATGACAAGAAACTTTAAAGTGTCTGTTCCAAGAAATTATAGATAAAGACTTTTTATATAATATTTTTTTGAGTAATGTAATTGTTAATATGACTATGACATAGTATTACATTTATAATGTTATCTAATTTCATAGTAAAGTCATAAAATATCTAATCATAAACAATAGGAAGGCGTGTATGATTATATTATCTGTATTTGATATACACTGTTTTATTTTTCTGATATATGTACAAGTTATAGTTAAAAATGATAATAAAACATAATTAAATCTGTTAATGATACTTATATTATAGAAAGCATTACAAATACATGGTGAGCAGTTTTATAAATAGGAATGAATTCATTAATTTTTGTTATTAGAATGGAGCACCATTGTGGGAGGATTTAATTTCAAAAGCAACAAAATTACACTCATGCTTAAGGTAATAATTGCTGTAATTAACAATTTTATAATGATATAACGGTTTGAATTATATTTGTACTTTTGTTTTTCTAGGGCTGCTATTTTGGCTATTTCTGCATACCTTGAAACCTTTCAAAAGATTGCTGATGCTGCAACTAGTGCAAGAGGTAAATTAGTACTCTGTTTTAGTACAAATAATTGAGTCAAAAATTTGTATAATATGTTATTCCTTTCATTATTGAAAATTGTTCAAACAAATGTATAAAGTATATAAAGTTCTTTCACATGTTGGTTCTTATTCCTTAAAGTAAATAAATAAGTCATTCATATTTTCCAATTCTATTATTCTGTAGAAATAAATGTAAAATTAAGAAATGCTTACAATTAAGGTGCAACAAAAGAAATTGGAACTGCTTTGACTCGGATATGTCTCAGACATAAAGCAGTAGAAACCCGTATGAAATCTTTTACCAGGTAACTGTTTTTTTTTTATTATATTATTGTTATTTATATTCATTAATTATTTTCTACTTAAATTTTTTACTTACCTTTCTGTCTATTAGTGCTATTATGCATTGTTTGGTGTTGCCTCTTCAAGAGAAATTAGAAGATTGGAAAAAGTCTTTAATAAATTTAGATAAGGAACATGCCAAAGGTGAGTAAAATATTTTTTTACTATAAAATTTATTAACATTTGGACAGCTGCCGATTGAACGACTACGTAAATGGCTGTATTGAATCTATACAGATCCTAATTTAGCATAATGTTTTGTTATTTTTCGCGTTTAGAGTAGATTTGAACGAACCTAGCTGTTCGAGTTTTAATAAAATTTCAGCGTACATTTTTCGATACATTTATTAACTCCAAATATATTCTATATGTATATACGTTAAATATTAATTTTAGAATATAAAAAGGTAAGAGCAGAATTGAAAAAACGATCTACGGATACGCTACGATTGCAAAAGAAAAAGGCGCGTAAGGGTCAACACTTACACGGACAAGGACAGTTGCAAGGTCATGGAATTGGAGATATCGAATTAAATAGAATGTTAGAATCTTCTGCTACTGTTATTCAAGAAAAACGCCTAAGTTTAGAAGAAACAGAGAGAAGAGCTGTTCGTGCAGCCTTGTTAGAAGAGAGAGGCAGATTTTGTCTCCTTGCTAGGTTCTTGAAACCCGTGCTTGTTAGTAAAATTGACTGTGATTATTAGATAATTAACGATTTAATTTCTCAATGATACTTTCAATAATATGTACAAAAACATACAGGATGAAGAAATTGCAATGTTGATGGAACTGACACACCTTCAAGAAGTCTCTGATCAATTACAACGACACACCGCATCTCCGCATCATTTACCACCCGCATCAGAACAAGTGATAACGGATATAAAAGGCTGCGACGTTACACAATGGTCACATGCTACGCCTCCCTCGAGTCCTTCTTTATCTCTTGGATCGAGAAAAAGCTCGATGTGTTCGATCAGTTCATTGACCAGCAGCAGTAGCGGTTCTTGCAAAAGCCATCCAAGCTCTTCTGGACATCCTTGGCATAGATCACTCTCTCAGGTAAAAATTTCACGGCTGTATAAAAATAATATTAAGTGTTCCTTCTTTATGCTTAGTCATTGTACTAAGAATAATAGCCTTTATAACGCATGGCACATTTAATTTCGCTGTTTATGCACTAGCTGTAAACCATGCAAGTAGTTGCTCGTAGATTACAGCATGAATGCTACTTTGCATTAGCTTAGTGTATGTGGTAGTCGATGTTGTACTTGTTGTAGTCTGTCGGTGTCAGGCCCTCCAGCATCAGTGGTATGATGACGCTGCGCCACTTGGCGAATGGTAGCTCCCGTGACTCTGGCTTCACCTCTCAGGATACACTGTATACACAACCAATTTCCGAACATCAGGTAAGGTTGCTAGAAATTAGTTGCCTGCTAGTGTTTCACGTCTTCCTCTTCACTTTCAACGCCAAACGAAATTGTTTACCTCACGATATTTATGCTTTTGTTATGTCCCTGAAGTTAAATTGTGTTGTCATAGGTATCAAATGTGTCTTCTCAAATTAATCAAAATACTGGTTGTACAACAAGACCCGTAACTACTGCTACTTGGCCTGACTTACAGGAAACATCAGTTCAGTTCGACAGGCAAAATCAGAACACAATCAACGAACGGCCCCATACGATATCTTCTGGTACGTACATTAATGCTGTTTCTATCATTTGTATGTAAAAACAGTTGCATTCGTTTCCTTTAATATACTATCATTGATTGTTATAGCTTACGAGAAAGGCCATCAGAGACCCGCTCTCAGCGTTTATACATTCCAAGCTCCAGACAATGGCGGCTGTTGTCACAGTCAACCCGCTTCTCCAGTCTCTTCTTCCTCTTCATGTTCTTCCTCGAATCAACAAGCCAGAGTACAATTGCGTAGGAATAATGGTAGTAATCGTCCTCCGATACCAAACAGATGTTCCAGTTTAGAACGACCAACAGTTCCAGTGAAGAATGAACCTCCCGGAAGTCCTCGAGGCAAACCGAAGTTACCGCTTCCGGCGCATTTAGCAAAAGGTTCGTGTGTTATCCTTTATTAATAATTCTAAAGTTTAAAACGTAGTATGTGTAATAGTATGGTACAATACAGAATTAGCAACTCATCAACTTCAGCAACCAATGTATGTGAACATGCACGAATTAGCAAATTTAGCCGCAACCCGCGCTCAGGAGATGCAGTTGCCGCTACCTCCGCCGCCCGCCTCACTAACAGCGCCAGGGACTGAGAAGGTATGTGTTGAAACGTATACAACATTGTATTAACCCTTTCGGTACAAGTATCCATATAAAAGACCATAACAAACACATCGACCACAGGGTTCAATCGTTCTGTACCGAAAGTGTTTTTTCAAAAGACTTTTTTCAAAATCGATCAAATCTCATTCTCCCCATAAATTTGTTTCAACTTTTACATATCACGAATCTATGTGAGAGAGAGGATTTTGTCGATTTTGAACGAGGTTCTTTTATAATTATAAATATTTACGTCAGTATATAAATATGTATAGACTGAAGTTACGGAAAAAGATGGCGGAAGTCAAACGTCCGAGTCTAGCGTGGAATCCAGCAGTGGATATGGAAGTCAAACTACTATACCACATTCTCATTCCCTTCATAATCAAAATGAGAATGCTTGGAACGTACCTGGTGCTGCGTCTACTTTAATGGTTCGCAGAGGTTCGATACAACAAGCAAGCAAACCTCTTCCGCCAACAAGACGCACGTCTACTGTTATAACTGCCACATTCAATAATCCGTCATCAGGTTCTAACGACGAACGTACCGATAGTGCTTGCGACGAAGCTGAAAATCTTCCTCCGCCGCCAGCATTTTTATTAGAAGGTTCTTCGCCGACAGCCAGTCCTACTCCTCAACGGTAGGGGATAATTCTTTTTAACTTCTACTGGGGGGGGGAAAAAGACGCTTGGCACGTCGAATATTGATTTAACGCAATATTATTTCATATTGCAGATCTGTCTCGGTGTCAGAAACAGTTAGGACCCTTACAGAATTGCGCCATACCCCTGCTAGCCCTTCTCTTTTACGGAAGGCTACCGGGCAGACACAATCGCATAACAGTACGTCCGGCGCGTTACAACATAATGCTATGTTACAAGTTACTCGTACTTCCGTCGAACGTTCATGCGCAGTAATTCGTTCGACTTCCCAAGAGCGTGGTTCAACCACCATGCAAATGACTACGATCAACTCAGGTGTAAATATTCAAGGGCAAGGTCCAGGAGGAGTAGGTCAGAGCTTTATGGCAGTTCTCAGTGCTAAACTCATTAACAGTACAACAGGTAGCAATGCCAACAGTGGTCACAATACGAGCAGTAGCCCAAAGTCTGCAAGAAAGCATTCTGTTGAACAGCAGACGAATAAAAATTCTAAAGCGCCATCCGGTTTTCTTGAAACTTTAAACGCTAAGCTGGCGCAACAGCAACAGAGCATGCAAGGGAATAATACGACGAGCAAATCGGCAAGCGTGAGACGTATTATGGGCAATCGCGTCCCTATCATGGATCCTTTGCAAGTCAGGGATTCTCTCATGGATCAGATACGAAGGGGAACCTCTTTGAGAAAAACCACTGGCCCCATTAATGACCGTTCAGCACCTAAAATTTATTGAGTACCGTAATACTGATGTTCACGTAAGTTCCTCTATTATCTCTGATGTATCTAAGTTGCATTTACGATTGTTACAACAATTGCGACGTTCATCGTCGGATCACGATGAACGTGTTTACATTGGAAAAATAAAACGGCACTTGTTACGCGGTGATCGTACATGTACCTTTATGAACGTATATTCGATAATTGAAATTACTATACATTGACTTAATTGCACTTCAGTGCACTAGTGTCAAAGTAAAAGGGCAGAGTGAATTGTTTTCTATGAATTTGTTGTTACTGTCATTGGTTTCTTTAAAAATTGTGTAGAAGAGGCAGGCTCTATATTAAATCCATCCTTGATACACGATACTTCAGTGCTTATTATAATATATAAATTAAACTGAAGTAAAATTAAAACGAATTATCTTAAGTGTTCGATCAGACTCTGATTTTATTACATTGTAATATTTGCTAATTAATAAAATTCAAGTAATATATATTTATATATATATTTCCTACATATATATATTATATATATTATTTCAACTCTGTTTAATTTAGGTTGATGTTTAATTATACCGATGCCCGATGCTTGCCAGTATTAAGGGAAACCTGACTGATTTAATAATACCGTAGTAACGAGTTAATACTTTATATTTTAATAAAAAAAAAAAAGAAATATAAAAATCTATTATTTAATATAGAGCTCGTGTCTTAACATATTGTTATGTTGCGTTTAGTTATTACTTGCCTTTCATTTTCTTACAAAACGCACAAGCACAATTGTCTTTACTTCATATTGCTTTAGTTTCTCAATTTGGTATATCGCATGTTCCTTGCGAGGACTTCCTGTAGTGTGACAACTGTCAGACAATGATACTATCATATGACAAAATTGAGCTTAATTAACGAGTATTACTGCCCAGGTGGAACGTAACGTTAGAATTAGTTTTTATATTGGTCCGACTATTCCATTGGTACATGTATATATCTTTAATATTCATCCAATATTGATGTAATATTGTATTGCAGTACGGTATTACTATTTGATTAGTATCACGTTTCTCAACAACGGCGCTTAAATCGGATTTTATCATATCAAACGTTTTTGTATTTGACCAGTAATTAGTTCTTTCTAGATTATAATAATTCCAATTCTATTCCCGAATCTAGGAAGATATCCGTGTCAACGAACACTGTGGAATTACCGTTTAGAATACTTTGCAAACAAAGATTTAACTTGCAAACATATTGATAACTACATATCACGATTTTTGTATCGCTGCGTTTTTCTTTTTATATTAGTGTAATATCTACGATACTGTTTTATAATGTTAGTACTTACAACGTTAAGTGTACTGTTATAATATTTTGAAATGAAAGTGCATTTACTGCCAATGCGTGATCATTGTTCCGACAATATTGGGCCGATATGCCCCAGTATTTTGTGTTCTACCTGGGCGACGCTGTTCCAATATTCGGTAAATGTTAAAATAAATTGTATGTGTGTGTCCAACGGATTGATGAAAAATCGATAGTTCGTTATACGATAACTCCGGCAAACATACCTTCAGCGCATATTAACAAGCCTATGCGGAACGACGATATTAATTGTAACAAAGTATTATTAAGCGTATTCGTCCTGTTTCTTTAAGTTAATCGATTGCGATGGGAATTCCAATATCTCTATGCATATGTATAATTTATTCGCGCGGATTACGTGTATTGCACCTTCATGATACCTGTTTCAACAAGTATATCGAAATCTTGGATAGCGCCGACTGAACCGATGAAAATGCTACTACTGCCAGTTGATCAACGTTCAACGTGTTCCTTTCATTCCTGACGATGTAGTTAGATATTGCGTTACTTTAGTAAAGCGTCGCGACGAGTAGTTGCTAGCGAACAGTAGTAATCTTTATTTATTTGAAGCAAGCATTTCACTGTGTACAACGTGGATAAATAGTAATGTTTTCCAGAGATGCGATTTGATATTTAATGCTGAAGAGAAGGCAACACGAGTGTTCGCGGTAGGTAGCAAAGAGTAATCAAAAAGTTAAACGCGAACATTATCAATTCTATGCTAGCGAAGTTTACGGAAAGATTGTATCGAGTTCAGATCAGCATTAAATGACAAACACTTAGCATAATAAATAAATAAAGACAAGAAAGAAAAAAAAAAAGCCGTAATAATAAATAAATAATCGTAAAATCCATTGTAATAAAATAATATTTAATGTAGTACAGTTCGAAAGGTGATTGTTAATTTGTAATAATTATTTCAGTAGCGATCAGATACAAAGATAATAAATAAAAAGTGCAACAAAAAAAAACATGATGGTCGCTTTCTTGCGTGTTTTCTCGCCGATGCAGAAAGAGAAGTCAGTTTTGCCGATTACCGTTGCGTCGAAAGCGTGTATTCGCCTTTATTTACAATTTCGTCGATTCGATTAGAAATAATGACTCTTTTTCTATATTTTCATGCGTACCACGCGATTACATAGCTTATCCTATTCATTAATTATATAATTGATTGACATATTTGTAGATAAAAAAAAAAAAAGGAATTATGTATATACCCTGCACGAAGTTTACAAATAGCGTATCTTTATGATCGAAGTTTACGAACGAGGCCAATTTTCCAAAGCAGTTTCTAAAAACAGCTTACTGGCGTTTCACAAAACACAACGAGTATTTTACCGTTCTCAATGCTTTGCATATTAAATATTAAAACGGCGCGTTCAACCACCGACAGGCGGTTCCACGTAAGTGGACTGATTTTTCATTTGATTCGAACACGCTGTTCGTGCCTCTGTTACTTCATGGGGCACTCCACTTACCGATGGTAATCCGTATACAGAAAACGAATTGTTCAGTGTCTGTTTGTGATCCCCCGATGCGAGAAAGTCGTTGTCCTTGTTTACTATTAACGCCAGACTTCCGGCTGCGAGGGAATATTTTTTTATAAAGATATTGTAAAACAGCGTACGTGTTACATGTATATTGATATGGTGGTCGTTTTGCCGTCGATATGTCGTGAAATATTTACAATGAATACGTACGAGAATCTAACGGCGAACAGGAGCAGTCCGGATTTAAAGTGAACTCTACAGTGGCACGAAGACGTCGAATTTCCCGGGACGCATGTAAATCCAACAACAATCTCGCTCTACTCAATCGTCTGATTGCTACTTTAACAACGCTACTCGCCGGGCAATAAACATTGCTGAAATTCGACGGCAATTTGTCGATGCATACAGGACAAGACTGTTTCACATTCGTTGGCGCTAAATTAAAATGTAATGTGAAAAACTACTAATATCTGTACGTGTAACTGTTGTGTAGATTGTAAAATACATTTACTTACACGCATCGTGCGCCTCGCTGTTTGTAACATTTTTCACTCGGTTATCAGACTCCTACAAAAAAAAAAGAAAATCTCTCATAACTCATGGAACATTTCGACATTTTAGCTTTTTGCTTTCGCAATTTTTGTTGCTTTTACTGGTAATAAGTAATGCTATAACGCACAGTGGTCTGAAAAGCGAGATTTTATAGACAAAATTCTTTGCATTAAATAAGAATTTCCGGGTTCGGGAGCTTCCCATCTTAATAAATGTTGCAAAACAAAATTCGTTTTAGAGAACGTTATAAGAAATTATTAAAACAAGTAAAACAGGCATCATCTCAATTGATTCAAAACATAGGAGATACAAATGTCAATCGTTAACAAGATATAACTGTTTTCATTTATTTGAAATTACCGCGCTTTCACTGCTTGTACTATTATCCGCAAGGGGCGCTCTAACTGAACCACTCTTGCGATTCGACAGATGGAACTTTCTCGTTAAGCGTGCTCACTCTGTTCCTGGATTTGGCGCGGGGAACATCACAAAATTCGGCGGTACGAATTTTCAAACGTGGAAATTTCAAGTTAAAATGGCCCTCATAGCCGATGGACTACATGCTGTCGTTAGTGGTATCGAAGCAAAACCAAATGAAGCCGCAGGAAACGAAGCCGGTTTAAAGACGCGAAGAAGAAACGATTCATCCTTTCGTCGTCTGTAGCTACGAAGCAGCTTGAATTGCTCATCACATGCAGCTCTGCCAAGGTAATGTGCGATAAGTTATATTCGAATCATAAACAAAATACTGAATTGAACAAATTAACCTTGATAACCAAACTTCATGAACATCGAATGGTACAGAACGACACAATTGTCCAACACATAAGTAAAATTGAAAATTAATTTAAAAGGTTACGAGACATCTGTGGAGAATAAAGTGACAATATCTAAGGATGTTATTTTCAACAAGAAATGTAACAAAAGAGAAGAAAACCTCAAGCGATCTGGACGACTTTGGATTCCCCTTATTTCCACAAAGAGAAGAAGAAGAAGAAGAAGAAGGAGAAAGAAATGAGTATGGTGAGAATCAAGGCAACAAAGAACTGTTTAATATCAATCTTAACTGTACTAATTGATCATTGATATACCTGTGAGATGTTTTGATTATCCATCTCGGGTGTCAATGTCGCGTCGGTAGTTTCTGTTTTGTAATCGAACGTATCCGGTTTTGCGTAAACCGGTACTGGTCCTTCGACTCCTTCCGGAGTTTCCAGTTCATGATTCACAATGACAAAAGATGGGTTTCCTGGGGTGTCTGTGTCCTCTGTTTCCTTCGTAGAAGGATTCTCTGTGTTATCCGGTGTTCCTATGTTAGCATCAAAATTGGGATTGTGGTTTGTGTCTGGTTCATCAGGCATCATCAAACCACTTCCGGATTCTACCTGTGGAACTAACAGAACTTGTTGTCATATTTAGATACGAGAGAAACTTCTCGCAGAGAAGAAACGTTTCTATTTTTACTTGAAAGGTAGCTGTCCCCCTTTTTTTTTTTGCTACTCACTGTTCGAATTATCAACAACGATGCTGTTGTCGTTAGTAGTACGGACGTGTGCGACGGAGTCTATGTCGTCCTCGTTAACTTTCGGATTTGAATTTTCCACGAACGGTACATTGTCAATTTTGGGACGCACTCCAGTGATCGATGCTTCTTCGATTTTGTCCCTTAGCTTCTCTCTTCTGCTCGCCTCGTCGTCTTGTAGCTTGTTCGCCAAGTTTGGCTCTTTCGTGGACGTAGATTTGCTATTCGCCTCGACGATTCTATTGTTTATTTTATCGTCTTTCTCTGCCGTTTCACTCTTCGCGGACTTTTCCATCGGCGCGTCGCTCTTCAAATGTTCTTCCTGCGACAATGACTTATCGAGCGTTAAAATCACTTCCGGTGTCGGTGGTTCCTCGTTAGGATCCGCGCTGCTACAAGTCGGAGAGAAATTGTAGTTCTGAAAGGTGTTACGTCATATTCGTTACAACTATCGTCGCCTATCCTTTGTTATTTTGTATGTCAATTTAGCAGAGTTCAAACTTACACTGGATACTGTTAATTCCTGCTGATAGTAATCGTACAATTTTACGTTCGCTGGCTCGAGCAAATCAACAACGGTTTCCCTTATCACCGTGAATGAAACGCAGGTTTTCTGGCCGGTCAGCTTGTCGAAATAAATGGTAACGACGTCGTGGTCTTCCTCGAAACGTTTCACTCCTGTAATTTACGTTTTAATTTATTGTCAAAATTCTCAAGTCTTGGGGCTCATGATCTCATTTTAATTTATTGATTAATGATCGTAATAAAAAACATTGTTTGAAGCATAACGGTAAGCTAAAATTAATCGTAACAGTCCACATTACCTTCGACTCGTAGTAACGCGTTTCGGTTTAAGTCATGCATTACGAGCCAGGCTCGTAGTTTAGACTGAATGGGTTAAAACGAGGAACTACTGTACCATAGTAGAAATCCAAATGTATTTACTTGTCGATGGTACTCCTAATAGCGTGTGCAGGCTTGCCCGGTCCGGCACGTAGCCACTTATCATTCCAATTTCGATCAGAGCCATGTTACTTTCCTCGTCTACCAATTTGTATCGGCCGCAGACCGTGATCTCTTGCACCGCGCATTCGTCCACGGAACGAGCAGCCACCGAAAGCTCGAACGCGTCGGAACCAGTAGCATGCGCGACGTTGTATTTGATGTTGCTCTAGTATGAAATTCATATCTCGATGTAAACATTTCGAAACGGGAAAATAACGCAAGTATGTATTTATCTCACCTGTACGAGCACGCAGCCCTCGCCCTCCGCAAAAATCTCGACGATGGTCGGTAAAACGGGCAAACGAATCTGCGTGAGGACCATACGGTTGTCGTTGTTCATCCTGTAGACGTGATCTACTTCCCCCGCGGTCACGAGGACCGACAAATCGGTGGCATTGCTGTTCACAGCCATGGCGTATTTAGTTAGGGCCTCCAAACCAAGGACCGTGTCTTGCGTAGATGTAAATCCTCCGTTAGCGTTTCTTTGCTTCGACATCCAACGTACGGCCTTCAAAGCATGAACCATATTCTCTGCGCCGCCTAGTTCCACCAACGTGAGAATAGCGTACGCTGTCATCTCGATGCTCAGGCTCAAGGAAGGCTTAGTTTTGTCCTCCCACCAAAGTAGATTCTATGGTACAATTGTTTCATTGTTAAAAAAAAAAATAGAGATTCAAATCCCGGTTTAGTAAATCAATCGGCTGAATTGATAACCCAAACCTAACCCAGACAACAACGTATAATTTATCTATTCGTACATTGTGTTCCGTAGCGCGCTCCATAAGTGCCTTCATGCTGGAATTGGCATTCGGATGCTCCAGCAAGGCTAACGCGTACGTGGAGAGGACTGAAGTGTAAGGACGATCGTTACTATTAGCCATTCCCTTTTCCAAGCAATACATGGCGTTCTTGATAAGGGACGCTGACAAGGGAACTCTAGATTCGAACAGAGAGATGAGAATGTACGCTGTTAGCGCTGACGATGAACTGTCGTACTCTTGAAGGCCACCCTGTAACACAAACAGTTGCCTGATCAGTTAATAGTTAATAGTTTAATTAGAATATAGTTCTAAACATAACGAGTAGTAGAAAATTGATGTTTACGACGGTTTGACAAACCTTCATCTCTTTGTGAAAGACTCTGCCTATTACGGGGAAGCAACCATTCTCCAGTTGCTTCTTCACGATCCACTTCACTGATAATTTCAGTTCACGCTCGTCGATGTGAATCAAACTTCGAGCCTGAGCGAATGATTTCAATACAAATGCGGTCAACCATATTGAGCTTCCATCTCCTAGGCTGTCCGGTCCAAACGCGGAATAGGAACCATCCGGGTGTCTATAATTCAGTTCTCTCTGGTATCCTTCGTTTCACAAAAGACAGGAATGATTACTTTCAATTTAAACGTATTTCCAAAATGTTTGATTATAAAATGCCTTTATAGTTATACCTTTCTCCATGTTTTTTATAGCTGTCGCGCGAAGCGAAGGGTTCTTGATCTCAACGCCGTCTAAATATCTTATCACGTGAATATTTGGAACAAGAAGTATCATGTTTTGTTCGCCGCAGCCCATCGGTAATCGTACAAGTTTGTTCAAATTTTCAAGCGCCGGTCCCAAAATGTCTCCCACTAAATTGACGTAAGCCCTTCCACTGTCCGACACCACATTTTCAGGCAACATTAGATCCCAAACGATCATCGAGTCGTCGTTGAAATCCTTTGGGCAAATGAACGACGATTTCGTCACTTCCATGGGGAAACCCTCCGGCAGGATGAGAATCGGCTTCACGATAACGTCCCTTGAAAGCAAAAGTTAATATCACATAGCAATTAATGGCCACGCAAGGCGGGTCGTGGATAATCAAATGACATTACGCTTTTCTAAAAGTTTCGAATCCAAACGGTATTGTCCAGCGGTTTTCAAACTTTTTGGATTACTATTCCTAAAACAAAGATAGAAGTTCTGCGCTCGAGATTTATAAACAAAAAAAAGATTCGTGTTCTGTTCGCTTATTTATTTATATATTTAGACTGTTAGACTTGTGTTTGCAATGTAATTCAAAATTGAATTGTTTATAGCGATTAAAATTTTTTACTCTAATATGAAAAATTATTTACTGAAAGCCTCTGGCAAAATTAAATGCTTATGAAAGTTTTGCACTAGTACATAAGTAATATTTGCTGCATTTTACGTTGCAAATAATACGATACAAAATGAAAAATTACGAGAATTCTAGTAACGTATTTTGTAGCATTTTCTTGAACTAAAATGTTGGGATGTGGGCATCTGTTAGATGAGGCAAGTGGTATATTTGATAAGGTTTTCTTTCACGCCTCCTACTTTGGAAAACACTGGTCTAGTCGTTGGAAGAATAGCAATTAACTCTTTAAACTAAAATTTGTATTACCCATGTGATTTTTTGATTTTGTCGTATTTCTGATTTTAGGCAATTTCAAATGATATAAAGTGGGTCTACGATTTCTGAGGGCGAATAACCGCTCGATAAAACGCTACGTTTCTTCCATCGACCGTGTGTGTCTGCACACAATTTACTTATTCTTAATTACCGTGTAAATATCAAAGTGTCTGGACCACAAGGATCAGCGTAATCAGGATCTAAGGAAGCAGAAACTGTTATATTAACTTCTCCGATAACGCGTGGCTTAAGGACGAATTCGTGAACAACGCTGGCCCGCGGTTTCACGCAAAACGAGGCCCTGGGATGCGCAAAAAGCAAATCGAGTCCTGGCGCGCCTTCTAACTTTATCGTTACCTGTGCATCAATGGGTTTCGTGTTAGCAGAATCTTAACTATTTCTGGAATGATAGTTTTGACAGTTGGTCATCTTACAGGTAATCTGTGTTGCATATAATTGAAAAGTGAAACTTTCAGAGGCAACAGCTCCCCGCGTTTCACGCTGTACGGTAAACTGTAGTCGAGGAAGAACGACTGAAACGCCGTTATGGTGGTTGGAGGTGCTATTCCGAGGCCGTGTATCGGTGAAATGCAGGTTGTGTAGCCAACCCAATCGGTTATGGTGTGTGGTAGCACGAGGTCCATCGTAACTTTGCCTTCTTCCCTGTAAGAGACAATCTACAATTACTTGAAGCCCGTATAGCATACATTTTTATCTATTTGGACCTAAGTTGCCTAGAATAGTTTTAAGAAACGAATGTCTACATATCCATTAGGCAATCCGGAATATTTGTAAATTATAATAAATTAGAGAAAAAAAATATAGTTGCCCAACAGAGGATTAATTGTCCATCCTACTTTGGTCGGAAATTGTATCATTATTCTTTTCAAACACAGCGAGTTTTACTTTTAAAGAGTAATTAATTCTCACTCGGTTGGTATTAATTCCCATAACCATGTTTCAGGAAAGTACGATCTCAGAGTGGCCGTCTGATCGGGTAATTGGTCAACGTATCCTAATTCGGGATTCATGTCTGAGGTCGCAAGCGCATAATTTATCAACGGAAAGGCAGTAGGCTGCAGCGCTCTCTCAATGATCACTTCTGTAAGAATAATGAGTCGTGTCTAGAGTTCTTAGCATTTGCAATTATTAATTTTTTTTAATCGGTACAATTTTTATTTGATACTCTGCAAGCAGCCAAAAGAGCTTGGATTTGTTTAAGTAAACAAGTTAACGAGTTCTTACCCGACGCGTCCATACCATCTCGATGCATCTGCACTTGAAGACGTGGTAACAACATTAAGTGGTCCTTGAAGAACAGCGGGCATGGCCGTGTTTCCAATACCAAATCGCTCATTACAACAACACCGAAATCCTGCGGGGAAAAAGGATAGTAAATGTACCTATGTATGAAGAAAATATGTTTGGTCGGTCTGGGTACAGAGTATGAATGCCCGTGAAAGGTATCTTACGTCAAAAGCTTGTATAGCATCCACGTAATTAACACCGCCATTGTACTTGATCACGCTTCTTCGTTTTCTCCCGAGCCAGTCTCTTAATGGGATAAACGGCAAATGATCGATTTCTCCCATCGATTCGTCCGCCGCTGCCGTTGCAGTAGCTATAAATTCAGATATATTAGATTTTCATACCGATGTCGCGAATAATTCATACTCTGTTGGACGACGATCAGTGGTTCAAGTATGTCGTTAAGTTACGTCGAAGCTTAGTATAGATTATTTAATTGTTAGATCTTGTCTTCGACCCAACCGTGGAAACGTACGTTTGCAGTTGGCCCATGACTCGATTGGGGGGGTTTCTGATGGCGGGTGAAACCTCTTCAATTGATCAAACGTTTGGCTGGCGTCGACAAGATTAGGTTTCGATCCGGCCAGAAAGAGGGTCGACTTGTCGACGACGGAAATGCCGCAAAGAGACCAAGGTGCAGTCTCCACGTGGTACTGAGTGCGGCCTCCCGGTGTTCGAACGTCCGAGTGCCACGCGGTCTTCACTTTGTTCTCGAAACAATGGCCGACCTCGATCGTGTAAGTGGTAGCAACGATCTCGCCGTCGGGTCGCACGTAATAAAGTAGCAGCTCCGACACGGGAGCCATGCTCGGTGTAACTTTAACGCTTAACGGAAACCTAATACGAAGAAACATCAAACGTGTATTTTAATACGAGCTGGGAGTATAGTGTCAGAAAATAGTATAGAGATCTGAATACAAGAGCAGTTTGGAAAGAAAGGTGTTATGGAAGGCATCGAGGAACAGGGCGATACAGTAATGATTCTTAAAATGAACACCAGTGCTCATTTTATGAATCGTTTCTGTAGACTGAAAAGCGATAATCAGAATAAAGCAGGCATTGGAGGTAGTAGAAGGGACAAAAGTGGTAGGAGGAAATAAATAAATAATAGTAGTCAATAACCGAATGAATTTGTAAAATGTACCTATGCACGTCGGTGCCCTGGTCAGTATTATTGGTTAGAGAGTCAACAGCGCCTAAAAGATTATGAAATTCCGAGTAATTCAATATGGTGTCTTGGGTAGGTTTGTGCTTCACGTGGCCATATATCAATAGATCGTTTTTCGAGTTAATGGAGTAATGGAAAGAAATGGACTTGTTGACTATGCTGTTCGAAGGAACTGTGTACATTACGTTGAAAGAATATTTCTCGCCGCATTCTATCGGTTGATAACCTCGTGCTACCGCTAAGTAACTATCAGACGGAGAGTACCAAGGGTTTACGTCGATGTGCGCTGAAGGTTGATCCATAAACACCTAACAGAGTTTAGAGAAATGAAACACATTGTACTTGATCGTAATTAGAAAATGGGACAGATGGTCGAAAATATTGAAAAGTAAATAACTTGTTCCGACATATGTGCCCCTTTGTAAGTAAATATTAGAACAGGAGTATTTTAGATTTATGCCTTCGGGCAATTCGCGGTACACGTGGTACTTACCCTCCAGCGTTTGTCCGGCGAATAATATTTTGTTGGGTAATCGACACCGGTGGCGACAAAACTCAATAAAACGATATTTTTATTCGGCGGCGGTACAATGAAATCGATAAAACCGTCTGTGGACGACGTGAAATTGCGACATTCCACCACGACGCGAAGCATCTGGTCCTTTCCGCGTACTTTCAGACAAAGCTGAATTTTTTCGTTCGGGGCCGGTGTGTCGTCGTGCCGTAAAACTCGTAACTGTTGGGCAAAAATAATTATAGAATAGGATTTCCATTCTGTCGTACGAAAACAGCGCTTTCATACCGTATAATTTAGTCGAAACAAATGTTAGGAGAAGCGAGACGTTTACCTTTCCGTGATAGGGCAATCCCAGTTTGAAGTATTTGTGCGTGTGAGAGACGAATTCCAGTTTCAAAGCCTGATGCATCACCATCGTACGACTAATCGCTGTTTCTACTACGCCAGTATCGGCTTCCGTGAAATTCGCTATGAGAACAATATTGTTAGGCGCCACTTTCCAACGAGCTAGGCCAAGAGCTGCTCCGGAAAGAACGTATTCCGTGCATCCGTTCCGCGTGTCCAACTGAAACGTTTATTTGCCCACGAATAGTCTGATAGTCGATACGTGTACAGCACGAAGAATAAAATTATTCGTTACCTCGGTCTCGTAATATGTTTCCGGCAGATTGAGCTTTCTTCTCCAACTTGGCGTTTGCGGGGTTGATTTCAAAAACAGAGTACCTTTGACAGGCTTCCCATAACTGTATCTGCAATGTTATTCACCAGGTGATTTAGAACCGAAATCGTAGTATATTGTAACGCGTATAGAAACAGCTGGATATAAAATGCAACAATTACTTGGCACAAATGTTCCAAGTGACGTCCACCGCGTCGGCTAGAATGTAACCAGGCGAATTTATGGTCAGCTGGAATCTCGGTAAAACGTATTTCTTCACTTCGAACGTGGTCGTGTGAATCAGTTGGGGATGCGATCTTTTCTTTTCTACTTTTATATCCCAGGTCCCCTGTTTGATACATATGAACATCGTTTTATAATTCCACTAGCAAAGTTCACGCAAGGACATTCATCATCAATAAAAATAGTCTCTTTGGACCTAGTAATTTCTCATTTTGGAATCACTTCACGCGATCTTTTTTATTTCTGTTTCTTATTATGAACAGATGAAATTTTTACCAAGCTCGGTTCCGTTGACAAAGGGAACTGCAACTGCACCATGCCAGTTTCCGTGCTTACGTTCGTCCATTGTGCTATCCTCACTTTCGACGGATTTTCGATCCATATTTTTGGAATCTATAAGCAAACGCATAAATAAAGAAATATCCTGAGAAATGTGCCAACGTTAATGATCTTTATACGGTTATATTTAACAACGATTCCTGATCGATCCAATCACCTGTTTCTTCCACGGTTTCAAGTCATGCTTGAGCATCAGGACTCTGATATTAACATCCTGACCTGGTTTATAAACTGGCTTGTCAGTTTCCACGAAAGTGATCAAAGAATCGTGCTCGATGTAGACTTCTTTCTCCGACTCGATCACGTAATCGGGTCGTTTGTCCAATTTGATCTTCAGTCGAAGTAACGCGTTCGAATATTTCGTCGACGGTACGTCCAATTCCAAGCATGTTTCTACGCCTGTTGCGAATTATAACAATAATAAAATTAATCTCTGGTCACTGTTTTGTTTACAAACAATAATTACAAAGTAATTTCGTAATATAAGACATTGTAATTAGTATTGCGAAACTTTAAGGGAACATATCGTATTGTTTGAATTGTTCTTTCGAAATTAATTGCAGATTTGTCAAATCTGAAACTTTAACGACATAAATATCTTTTTATTAGCGTTTACGCTAGTAATCTTCCCTTTTCGTCAAATTGACGTAACTGCATTCGTGCAAAAGGATGTCCTTAATCGATAAATTGCTACCAAGAAGGCTGCCCGACCGTATGTCGATTTAGCTAATTGCCATTCTTACAAATGCGTACCAATTAAACGACTGTGAAGATTACGGTCTCGTTAAGAGTGCTCTATACGTTAAGAGTGTTGTAAAATAAGACAAAAATCAAGAATACCAATTAGTCGATGAAGGCTTTGTTAAAAAGTTATTAACATTTAAAGTTCCGCCCGTATTGAATTTTTTTCTCGAAAATGCGCAGGATTTCGTGGGTATGTCTATTCACAAAAAATGATTGTAATTGACCCCCGCAACTAAAAATAATTTTTTCAGAACGATTTGAAATTTTTTTTCTGTCGAAACATTTCACACATTCTCGAATTTTTTTCTAGAAAATGCGCAGGATTTCGTTGGTATGTCTATTAACAAAAAATTATTGTAATTGACCCCCGCAACTAAAAATAATTTTTTCAGAACGATTTGAAATTTTTTTTCTGTCGAAACATTTCACACATTCTCGAATTTTTTTCTAGAAAATGCGCAGGATTTCGAGGGTATGTCTATTCACCAAAAATGATTGTAATTGCCCCCGCAATCGAAAATAATTTTTCCAGAACGATTTGAAATTTTTTTTTTCTGTCAAAAAATTTCACACCTTCTCGAATTTTTTTCTAGAAAGTGGGTAGAATTTCGGAGGTATGTCTATTCACCAAAAATGATTGTAATTGACCCTCGTAATCGAAAATAATTTTTCCAGAACAATTTGAAAAATTTGTTTTCACCGAAAAATTTCACACGTTCTCGAATTTTTTTCTAGATAGTGGGTAGAATTTCGGAGGTATGTCTATTCACCAAAAATGATTGTAATTGACCCTCGTAATCGAAAATAATTTTTCCAGAACAATTTGAAAAATTTGTTTTCACCGAAAAATTTCACACGTTCTCGAATTTTTTTCTCGAAAATGCATAGAATTTCGGGGATATATCTATTCACCAAAAATGATTGTAATTGACCCCCGCAACCGAAAATAATTTTTCCAGAACGATTTGAAATTTTTTTTTTCTGTCGAAAAATTTCAGCAGCTACCCCCTGTTGATTTTTTTTAAAAACTCGTTTTTGATTTTTAGTAATTTTTAGTAAAGGACGTTGACCGTGTACGTGTCTCTGTAGCGCAAAAGGGTTCGCGAGCGCGGCAATGGCGGCGCAATTTTGTAATATCACGTCGAATGTTCTTTTAGATGCGATTTAGAAATAAACGATATCATTTTGCAATTTGCGGGCGTGCGTGCCCCCAAATACTATCACGTTTACCATGTTACAAACACTTCCATCGCTCCAAGATGTACGTATGCACATTTAGTGACACATCAGATATATTTGTTCGGCGAAGTCGGACCTTGATCGAGTTAAACGGCCAATGTTCGTTGTTCACCCCGCGCATAACAATGTAAATGGGTTTCCCATGTATTCCAGCGATTGCTTATTTCCCCTCCAGAGAGGGAGTCGGCCAATTCAGTTCCCCCACAGGAAGCGGCGACAATTTCAATTTACGATTTGTTTAAAGAGCCCGACGCGAGACGAAAAGACCGACGCGACGGGAGAAACGAAAAACAAAAACGGGGGAAAAAGGATTCGCGATTTGATATTTGTACAGTAGAAGATCCACCACTACACTGTCCTTTATGATTGTTGTCTAGATTTGTTATTTGTAATAATCACCTAGTTTTACCTGCTAGTCGAGTAACAAGAATTTTTGGTACAATTTCATAATATTCAAATCTGTTCTTGTTCATTGTTTTAAAAAACAACGTACAACAATTTAAGTGATAAAATACGGAACTATCGACTACTTAAATTGAATAGAAATTTTTTAGACATAAATATATTTCCTTTTAGATTTTTCAATTATATTTAAAAGCTTTGAATATAATTGCAATGCTGAGAGCTCCAAAATTTTAGTAAAATTTTCTACTGAAATGTAATGGTTCGTTTAATCGAATCGTGGCCCTCTAAAAATGTAAATAGGAATACCAAAATATGAACTGTGGGTCACTTTTGCGTGGAACCTTTGGTGCATTCGAGGTCGACGACTCAGCCTATGGAGTCACACAATATTCCACTCGATTAGACGATGACACGACTTGTGGATCGGAACAAGACTGAAAAAGTCTTGATCACTATTAGGAATAGTCTGGAAATAATTTTATCGGTCTCGACTCTGTGCAGCGTGCAATCTTAATTTTTAACCAATACAATAAGTTTGTTTCTAATCATTTTTATGTTGATTATGTTTTTAAATACCCAGTTCGTATTAGCAGGAAAGTGCAATATATGTGTAGTCGAGTATTTAAACATTTATCCAAATTATTACGTACAATTACTGTAATTATTAATCGATAGCATTCCTAATGACGTTGAAGCCAACTATTCGAGTTTCTGTGTGGTGAATTACGTATTATTTGTTGGTTACTGCAATCATAATAAATTATTTAAGATCGAATACTGCGCGAATTGTAATCTGGGATTACCATTTCTGAAGTTGATCGATTCATTAATCACAACTAATCGCAGTAACTTTTAGTGTCGCGATTATGCGCGTCGTTAAAAATGTATACTCAGAACTCTGAGAATTAAAAAGACGTCAAGAAATTCACAAATAGATTTCCCAACTTTAGTTCTTCGAATAGTTCTTTTCCTCTTTGCGTCATTTCTTGATTTGAAAAGCGACGATTGAGAAATAGTTATTGTTAATGTTATGTGGGACCGATGAAAAGGAAATTTACACTATTGACAACGTTTGTGTAGCACAGGTAGAAGTACTCAAAACTCATTTCGCGCCAAAAAATAGCATTTCGTACGATGGTAGCAACATCTAAAGCAACAGGAATTAAGACATATCACGTGAATAAAATACCATATGCATATTATTGGTGGAAACATCTTATCGGAGCGATACCGATGAAACAAGACGGAAAGGACACGCGTTCATTATGTACATAACAAGAGGTCAAAGGTCTGGATACAATCGTCAAGTATAGAGAAACTGTTGTTGTAACAATTAAATATCATTACTATAATGTTAATAAGGACGGTAATAATTTTACTTAGTTGCACCGATCGCTTTTCAAATTAAGACTGTCGATTATCTTTCGTCTAGTGTATTAAGAACAGCCTGTATCTTTTGGGCTCGGTGATAAATGCACCTAATTTCAACACTAACCCAGATGACTTGTAATCAGGAATCCAGAAAAAAAATAATTATCTTTTATTTTTTATAAATTCTGTATCTACTTTCGAGAAAAAAATTCCGGAAGTTGGACAAATTTTTGGACGAAATTAAAAAATTTCGAATCGTTCTAATAAAATTATTTTTTGTTGCAGGGGTCAATTGCAATCATTTTTGGTGAATAGACATATTCTCGAAATCCTACGCACTTTCGAGAAAAAAATTCCGGAAGGTGGAGAAACTTTTGGACGAAATTAAAAAATTTCAAATCGTTCTAATAAAATTATTTTTTGTTGCAGGGGTCAATTACAATCATTTTTGGTGGATAGACATACCCTCGAAATTCAACGCACTTTCGAGAAAAAAATTCCGGAAGGTGAACAAATTTTTGGACGAAATTAAAAAATTTCAAATCGTTCTAATAAAATTATTTTTTGTTGCAGGGGTTAATTACAATCATTTTTGGTGGATAGATATACCCTCGAATTTCTACGCACTTTCGAGAAAAAAAATCTTTACCGAAAATATACCGTGTGGCCGGAAATGTTTCTATAACTTTTTAACGAAGCCTCGATCAACAAATTAGTATCCTTGATTTTCGTCTTATTTTGGCCTCTAGTATCGCTCATGTAAATTTCTCCCAGGGTTGGCCGTACACCCTGTATAATAGCACTTCGTTTACCTGTTTTTATAACTGCGCTGGTACTAGTCAATACTTCCTCTTCTTGTCCCGCTGTCAAAGACAACAATATGAGTAGAACATGGGCTGGTGGCTCTAAATTATGCAAAGACAGACATCCTCTTTCGGTTTCGCCGGCTAGAAGCCGCTTTGGCATCGTGAACACATAGCCCCTGAAAACAAATTATAATCAACAGAGATATGTATGTACACGATAACGCGTAACGAACTTCGTCATCCGACCGATGCAATGAAACGGATCAGTTTAACTGAAAACATTTGTAACTTCGATCGTTTCTCGTTGTAACCACAAAAACCACACGGCAACTCAATTATCTATTATAAGAGTACCATAAATCCCTTAAATGATCTATTAATGTTGACATGGTACAGTATTTTTTAATAACATAAATCCTCAGTGATTATTTAATATCGTTATCGAATGAACAAAATAGTAAATGTTTTCGATCACAATCTGGGGCCCCTTGCACGATATTTTACAAGCTAATAATATTAATGATTTTACATGTAAAATTACCAATAACATTATCTAGTGGAGTATCGTGCAAGACTCGGAATAATAAAATACACTATGTTTTTGACTGCATATACATTCGCAAAAGCATGATAAACTAAAGATTTATATTATTAATTTATTGAAACTTAACACATTACCAACGGAGGGTTTTTATTAAGATTTAGTTAAAACGAGAATTCTCGTTTCCCGTCGGTAATGCGTTAATAATGTGTTAAAATTGAAATAAGCGCTAAATCTTTTCGTTAGTTGAAACTGAGTGTTATCAACATAGTATATACTTTATATTCCCGAAAGTTACATCTAAGAGTTCCTTTCGTAGTACTTTTGTTGTACCAAAGTTCATCTTACGAGCCATAGATCGAAGCGATAGATACTCTACGTGTGAATCCGGTCACGGAACGATCAATTTATTTTTTTAATTTTCTCAGTAGTGTTCACGCAACTACGTTTCTATCGAAAACTAACATGTCTCGTTACGATATTCCTTCGTCGTCAATTCTCATCGCAAAGAACGTTCTATGTAGCTGTAGCAGAACATCAAATATTTCCATTCACACTTTTCATGAAAATTGACGGCCAAGATCTAATAACACTTTCCCTATCATCGAGTACCCGCGTTAATATCTAAACAACGGTTTAAGTACGTTACAACTGTCGGTTTTTACCGATTAACAGCAGTCGCGCCGGTTCCGTGGGAATGTAAAAGTGCCACTGAACAAACAAGCAGCACCAAAAACACCAATTTATCCATCGTAAATCGTTCCGGAATGTTCCACACTGTTCCCGGTATTTATTTCCGAAAAACTATACGTGCGAGCATGCTTGGCGAACTGTTCAAGTTAATTGGCCAAACTGTTGATTAAACGTTGAATATCGTTTCCTGTGTAATAAAAACGTCGAGAACATTTAAGAACGCCGATACACGTAATGTAGCTGTACGCTGCGCGCAGACTGAAACCACGATATTCGTTCGGTCCCTCTTATTAACCCTCTGGATCTGTCAGGAGAAGGGTAACGCGTTTCCACTGATACCGATTAGAACGTAATGCGCGCCAAACGATTTCCCTCCTATTTTGCGTGATTGACCTTTGAAGCATTCACATTCGAAGAATTGATTAGACGTCGAATGGTAAAAAAAAAAAAAAAAAAAAAAATGTAAAACTTAGTATTTAAATCGTAATCGCCGACATCTTCGAATTACGCGCCTCTCGTCAAGAAAATTCCCCTCGAACTTTATGTAACACTTGTTATTAATGATTCTTCGAATTAATATGTAAAATGTTTATACCGACACATATTCTTCTGACTCCGCGGGTTTCGAGTATAAACAAAACCATATCGAACATCGATCTCTTTATAAAAAATTTCTCTCTGTTAAAATGAAATAAGTATGGTAAAAAGGATGGCAAAACATTCTGAATCATACGCCTGTAAATACACAAACCAACCGCGTCAGCCCGTGTCATTTACGAGCTGAGCAACGTGAGTGCGTAGGCCAGCCCGTGATTGTCACAGGCTGGACGCTTAGGGTTAACGTCGATGATACTGCGATGATTCAATGTTTGGTATCTTCTCTTCGGTGACCCTGTGTCATCAAGAAACTTATTACGGGTTATCGTTAGTATATTCGTAGAAAAGTTTTTAGAACTTTTCGGTATCTCGTCGAACATAAGGCGGAAGTACTTAGATACGTAAAAGGATTAAAATTTATTATCGTAAAAAAAAATTAGAACTTTTATAGGTACATATTTGCTTAATAATATAGGGTATAATATAGGTTGGTTGCAATAACCTTGCATTTGTATATATGTACATAGTTTTTGTCGATGAAGGGGCCCTTATCACTGTTGTATCACGACGACGATTATGTATCGGCGTTCTCTGTAGTAGACTAAAGGCGAAAATTTTAATGGGAGATTCTAGGGGCTAAAATAAAACGAAAATCAAGAATACTAATTTGTTGATTGAGGCTTCGTTTAAAAGTTATTAACATTTAAAGTTGCGCCTGTAGAACGGCAACCTGCACACAGCTGCGTGCGCGCGATACTGGTTCTCACTCAGAATGAGAAACTCTACTTACTGACGTATCGACAGTCTTACAGAGAACCACTATCGTGCGCGCGCAGCTGTACGCAGATTGCCTATGTATAGGCGCAACTTTAAATGTTAATAACTTTTCAACGAAGCCTCAATCAACAAGTTGGTATTCTTAATTTTCGTCTTATTTTGGCCCTTAGAATCGCTCATGTAAATTTTTTCCAGGGATGGCCGAACACCCTGTATATAATATACTGTTTAGTTTTTCAAGTATCGACTATGAAGTATTTCTAACGAATCCTGTAACAATGTAGTGGCTCATAAGAAACAATTTGGGAACTTCGAAACATCGTTACGTTCCTGATTGAAATGGATTATGAACTATAGTTTATTCGAAAGTTCGTCCAGTCCGCGCAATGTGAACCACGCCGACATGTCCAAGTACGACGTAAACGTACGTTGTACGTTAGTGATGTTATGAACAGTGTACATTAATTGCTTGTATACATTTTCATGTAACGCATTGTGAAATGATTTCAAATAATTCTGAACAGTAGAAAGTTCAAAGATGCGCAACACATGCAAACTCTTACGAGCACGGAGTCTTTGAAATTTGTTGGTTACGAAGAAGGTTAAGCCGTTTGTCAAGCTTAGAAAAATACGAATCTTGCATGGACTGCGGAGAGGTATAAAATGTCTTTTCTACGCGGATCTGCGAATTTCGTCTGGTGCACGACTAGTGTTCTTGGCAAGGGTGCGACTGGTGCAGTTTTTCAAGGTGTAAATAAAAGTAATGGAGAACCCGTCGCAGTTAAAACTTTCAATCAGCTGAGTCATATGCGCCCGCACGATGTACAAATGCGAGAATTTGAAGTTCTTAAGAAAGTAAATCATGAAAATATTGTTCAATTATTGGCAATCGAAGAGGAACAAGATTGTCGTGGTACTGTGATTGTTATGGAACTATGCACAGGAGGCAGTCTTTTCAACATTCTGGATGATCCAGAAAACACTTACGGACTAGCAGAAAGCGAATTTCTGTTGGTCTTAGAACATTTAACAGCTGGAATGAAACATTTACGTGATAATAATTTAGTACATCGAGATTTAAAGCCAGGTGTGAGAATAAATAATTCAGTAATGTAATTTTTTTTTTTTAAATCATTTATTTTATAGATATTTTGTCGTATAATGATACATTGAAATTTCATTCATAGGCAATATAATGAAATTTATTGCTGATGACGGTAGTACAATTTATAAGCTCACTGACTTTGGCGCTGCTAGAGAGTTACAAGAAGATCAGCAATTTGTATCTCTTTATGGTACTGAAGAATACTTGCATCCAGATATATATGAACGTGCAGTTTTACGTAAACCGGTTGGAAAGACATTTGGAGCAACTGTAGATTTGTGGTCTATAGGTGTAACGTTGTATCATGTTGCTACAGGAAATTTACCGTTTAGACCATTTGGCGGGCGTAGAAATAAAGATACAATGTTTTATATTACTACAAATAAAGCCTCTGGTGTCATATCGGGTGTACAGACCTCAGAAAATGGACCTATAAATTGGGGCAGAGAATTGCCACTAAACTGTCAATTAAGCGTTGGTTTAAAAATAATTGTAACTCCATTATTAGCCGGCTTGCTAGAAGTTGATCCCCAGAAAATATGGAGCTTCGAAAGATTTTTTACTGAAGTTACAGACACTCTTTCCAAAAAACGTATACATATATTTAATGTACACAAAGGCAGCTTGATAAAAGTTTTCTTGCATCCTGAAGAAAAATTGACAGCACTTCAATTACATGTTCAAAATCAAACTGATATCGCTCCACATGCTCAGATATTCCTCTTTGGAGATGCATTTTTAACAAACATTGTCGAAGAGTCCACTCCTGGGAGAGGTTACCCAAACACATCCGAAGACAAACCATTGATGGTGTTTTCCAAGGAAAATAATAATGTCATTTTGCCAGTGGATTCAGAATTACCTAAATTTCCAGTATTTGCAAACTTGGTATCGGTAGAAAATGATGCGACTCAAGCAAAGGTAGCTTGTTCTGTTGGATATGTGTGTAAAAGAAGAATTGATAAATTGGTGTTGTGTAGCAAGTTGTCCCAAGATGCAATAGAGGCTTTTAGCGGACTTGTTTCAATGGAACTTACAAGATTGTTAGAGAAATGCCAGCATTGCAAGGAATTCACGAAAGCTGTAGAAGATACAGCAATAGCAGTGGAAAGAAGTGAAAATCTTGCGCGGCAAATTTCCAGGAAATTAGGCAATCAAAATAGTTTAGAAATAAAAAATTGGAAAAAGGAGCTAGATTTAAAGAGTAAAGAACTTCTAACTGAATTAGCGCCCGCGGTAGTACAGCTTCATCAGAGGTATAAAATATGCATCATACGCTTAACATTTACTTTTTTAACTTCTTCTATAGTTAAGAGTTGTATTTGTTATTTTAAATATAGGTATGTAAAAGAAGGCAGTTTACGTGGCGAATGGGACAATATTATTCGTGGATTGTGGTGTCCATGGGCCAATAAAGCAACGCAAAAAGCAGCAACTTTGGTCGATCGTTTACGAGATGGTTGGCAACATTTATTAAGAGACAGAGCTACACGCAGTCTCACGTATAACGATGAGCAATTCCATGTTTTAGAACGAATAAAGGTATTTTAAACAAAGCATATGTAACGTAATATGCACCTATGAAAATAATATATTTGTTAATTTTGCCATTTGTTTTTAGGTTACAGAAACGGGTCAAAGAATAAAGAATCTTCTTGAAACGTTTTGTACACCATCGATGATAAGTCGATCCGAATGTGTTGCCGATTGGTACAAAATGGCGCAAACAGTCTTCTTACAAACTCAAATTTTAGATAAGGATGTAGGCAATTACGAACATATATTAGAAACATATTCATGTCGCCTATCGTACGAAAGTAAAGAACGATATGAAAACTTTTTACATTTAATAGACAGATTTCCAGGAAAGTTAAAAACTATTGAAAAAACTAATTTACCTGCTCAAGAAAGTACAAAAGCATGGAAAAATATTTGCGTCGCGCAAGAACGAAATGCAATGATTTTACATAGAAATGGACAGCTTATAGATCAACTTGATCGTTTGTCAACACTTGACGGTCTAGAGGATACAGACGATTCGGTATATACATCACTTTAGTAATTCATCTTTTAATTAATACCATTTTCTTTACATTTATGAGAGCAAGACTGACATCATGTACAATAAGTTTAGAGAGTGGATAATACATATAAAACATGAGTAATATAAAAAGCAATTAAGTGAATTGTTACGCTCATAACATTATCCACCGCTTTTAACAATCCCGTGTAAATTAATATTTTCCCCATGATATTCTTTTCAACTGAAAATATTTGTCGAAACAAATCGTGTAATAAAAAAAATATAAGTCATTTTTTTTTTAGCAGGCATATTACAAGTATTAATTAATTATAAAAAGTGATAATGCATATTCTGTTTGGTTGTATTTGTAATGTATATACAAAACCAATAAATGCATATTTTATATTAGTTAAAACCTGTTACGATACTCAACGTTTACTAATATCCAGAATTTATTTAATATAACGAAAAAATAAATTATTTACTATAAAAATTGTAACAAATAACTTTAGATTTTATTTTGTGGTACGTAATAATATTATGGTAGAAAAAATGGTAAATATAAAACTTTTGTTCATGTAAATATGTTCGTACAGTGAAAAAGTTATGGATCTATACAAACACCAATTTACCGTTATATAAATTATTATTTATAAAAATGATTATTTACATATCTGTGTGATTTGTATTTTTCTCTATCAAATTTGTTAATCTTTGTTTACGTTTCTGCTCCTTATGTTGTTCTTGAATAATGTGAAAATGTTTTAACAATTCGGGGAAATTAAATGCGTCCTTGAAATACGGTTTCAGACTTGATGCAGGTTTTGATATCGAGTTTGTTGTTGGAGGAATTGCCGCTAAACGTTTTTGTAAAGTTGCATATGCTTCACTTTGAGGAAGAATCATGAGAAGACCATAAAGGGCATACACTAAGGCATCATTTTCTTCTCTTTCGAGCAGTTGTAATCGTAAATCTGAAAAATGTTTTTGTATGAATTACGAACGTAAATAGGAAATAATTTAATCTACTTACAGGTAAATATTGGAGACTCAATCAACTGTACCAATTTGTCTATTTCTGTAAGAAACTCTACGGTAACTTCTATATTTTCGCTGTATTTATTTTCAGTTAAGTAATATTAAAAATATAGCGAATTGGTGTTCAGAAACATTAAATAGGAAATTGCATATACTGTAATGCATTGGATATTGGCCGACGTTCGGGGACCGAACTGGCCAAAATTGAAAGGAGATAGATTCAGGAATTCCCGCGTGTCTTTTCACTATAAAAGCCCGTCTATGATGACGAACAATTGTCACATTTAGGGCATTGTTTAGCAAATCACTATTTGCGGACGATTGCTTGTCAGTCTAGACGGGCCTTAAGTGTACAAGTTGAACAGGTACTGTTAAAAAGGATACAATGATTTAATAATATTACAAGCATGGCCATAATGTTGCGACAAAAGGCATAATGCTACAGTTGCAACAGGATTATGACACCAGGAGATGTATAAACATTTAAATAATTCGCAACTTTCCTGCAATTATGCAAAAATTTAAAAAAAAATTAAAAGTATAAAGAATATAGGAATACTTACCAGGGAGTCTAAGTCTTTAAGTTTATTTCGCAAATCAAACAGTTCTGAACTTGTTAACAATATAACGTTTAAAGTTTGTATCATTGTACATGCAAAACTTAAATTTGGTTCCTCTAGCAATATTTTTGCTAACGTTTTATAAATGTCCTCGGCACTTAATAACACGCATAATTCTCTAATAATAAAAGCTCCTCTTTCCTCTAACAAGTGTCTGTCGGTTGAAAAAAGTCTTAATAAATTCACAATAAATTTTGTGAAGTACTTGTTTTGAATCTTTGCATTCGAGTCTGTGGTAGCTGCTTCGGGAGATTTCGAACTAATTATTTCAGCCATTACGACTAACGTTTGTTGAACAACTTCGTCGGAATTATCGCTTAAAGACTTCATCAGAATCGGAAATAAATTTTCGATATGGTTAAACATTTTGTGCGGTATGTTTGTGAATAGATGGTGAATCCATTTTAGAACAGCAACTTTTGTTTGTACCGACATGTACATTAAATGTTTAGTCAGCACTTCAACAACGCTAGATAAATCTACACTCTCTGCTAAGGAACAATTATGACTGGCATCTAAAAATAATCGATGTAATATTATTTTTTAAACAAGCATACGCTATTTATAAATACTCTGAACAGATATAATATACCTTGTCGGACTTGTACACTATTTTCGGAGGCATTATTTACAAGTTGCGTATTTTCCATTGTTACCAATTTCATTAAGTTTATGTTTACTTGTGTTGCAGTTTCTTTAATAGATTTCCTAGTATCTCCATCGTATGCTAAACAAGGTAAAACTGCTATAAGAATACCAGACATATAAGGAAGCATAAGGGGCCCTGATAACTGCACAAATTCCTTGATCCATGTAATTGCTGTTAATTGTAATAATTCGTCTGTACTTTGTGCATGCGCAATTAAGATATTTATCATTCCAGGGAAGTCAACCCTTCCAGGATTAGCCTTTATACTGCGTAAAAATTCACCAAGAACTGTGTCTGTAACTTTTTTTATTTCTGGTGTTGGATCTTCTAATATTCTAAATAAACCGTCAAGAATTTCAGGTAAAAATATGATAAAATCCATGCTAGGAACAGCATCTAAGACAGACACCCAAGCAATTACAAATTGTTTACCAAATGAATTTTTGGTATAAATACGATCTCGTAATAATGGCATAAATCCAACTAAATTGAACAGGCCACTCTCTGTTACAATATCCTGAAATTATACTTCTGAGAAATACCTTCATTATGCAATTTCTTTGGTGCTCTATAAAGATTAATTACCTTCATGAGTCTGTCGAGTAATTCGGTAGCATTTTTTACACTTTGCTCTGAATCGCATGCTAATTTACTGAGTGCTGCAAAAATATCTGTAAATTGTGGCAATACAGCACCCCTCGCCACTTTGACCACATTATACAAACTTTCACAGGCATAATATCTTACATGTAAGTCAGAATCACTGAAACATGCTAGAATAGGGTGAATTAAATCTTCTATATATTGACCAGTGTCTTTTCCCAGACCAAGCGCTATTGCTGCCAAGCCTATCAAACCACCCTTTCTTGTGTGTGGATTTTGCGAAGTGGCCAGATCTTGACCCAGTACTCTTAAAAGCCGTTTAATTTGAACGGTATTATTATGTGCGGCAAACTCTTTTACCATTCTAAAACAAAATGTAAACAACAAATAACGGTAAAATTATTGCAGGTGAACGAGAGTGAAGGCATCAATAAACAAGATATATAACCTTACTTTTCTATTTCCAAAGCAGCTGCTTTTCGTTTCTCGTAAAGTTTATCATTAAGAGAACGTACACAAGCAGCACTGAGTGGCGCATAATCTCTTTCCGACATTATTTTTTATTGTCACGTTTTAAAGGTAAAAAAAAAACAATATATCGAAACCCAATGACACTGACAGTTAACGAACACACCTGAATTTATCACGTCAGCTTGTGGCGCATGGGCGCATCTATTAAATATCCAAAGATAAGCACAGATAAAGTATAAAATAGACCTGATATCGAATGATGGAACGTGCCACTTTATTCAGGGGCGAGGGGGCTCTACAGAGTTTGATTCGGTATTTCGGTCTGATAACTAAATTTTTCTATCATTTCGAATGCCGTTGCTTTTTACTTTCTCGTCCTTTACAGTTATACATATGTAGAATAATTAGCCCATTAACATACAACATTCTGTTACAAGAAATAGAAATATTGTTATCGGTTAAAATTTGTTCCCATCTTCGGTTTCTGCATTTCTTGATGTTTTGAGATTCCTGTTTTGTTTTATATTTCAGGAGTGGTTTACCGGAAGATCATGAAACTTGGTACGGGGTCTCTTGGGATCCGCGGACCACAGATTGAGAACCACTGGTCTAAGGTACAAAAAAAATGAAACGAATGTTTCGCTTTATTTTCTGTCTTCGATCGCTTTTCGAGAGGATAATAAAATAGAGGCAATAACAAGTCCGTATTCACGCACGGTATTTATTTTAACATTCAACTGACAACAATATATATATGTACAGCTTTACGTATACGTAATATCGGTGTATATACTCATTGTAATTTCTTATTTATTTTATTGCGCAAGCTACATCGACGTTTGGCTACCTGGTACGATGTATCGTTAATAAAATTTCGTTAATAACGCGAATCATTTTTGGGAACTAGTGTTACAGCCTACACCTCTCGTGTCTGTTCGAATACACAACCTTCTTATTTCACATTTAATTGCATCTTAAGTATGGATGGACACACGATTCCGTACATATGTATCGAACTCGATAGGTTATAGAAAAGAAAACGAACAGAAGCAACGGAAACCAATATCGAATAGTTTCGCTATAAAGATCGATATTTCATTTATCATTTTATTGTTGACTGTGCACCTAACAGTACTTTAATGATATATTTCATTGACACCGTACATTCGCCTTACTGATACCGACGAGAAGTAACACTATCTGCTGAACCCTCACAGAAACGTGAACAAATTCTAAATTACACGAGTCACAGTGCAAGTGTACAATTATATAATAATTTTAGTCGCAAATGAAGAGAAAAACAAAGTACGAAAGTAACAATTCCTGATTATTATCAAGAACAAATAAACATCAATTAATGTTCGTATCATTTACAATATGTCCTCCACTAGCAACATATGTAATTGATCTTAAATATGTATAACCTTAAAATCTTAAATCGATAATATCAAATAAGTAAGTAACGTGATCGTACAATTTTGGTCGCAAATATAGAAGCTTCTACGTAATTGTATTCCAAAATCAAAGTGTTACTATCGACTCTGACTTTACGTATACAAGTCGGTTTATACGGAAATCTTAATATCGAATTAATTGCGTAAATCGAGGACTTATTGTACTTGATTCTTTTAGATTACACTGGTCAACCGCTGCTGTATGGAATATTGGCTCTAGATTTTCTAAAACTTAAACTAAAAGTAGACATTTTCTAAACTTATGTAAACATTCTGAGTTAACAAGAGCATAGAATGTAAAATCATTGTTTAAAATTTGTTGACCAGTGTTATCCGAGCCAATCGATGACAGTAAACGTTGCATATAACTTATTGAGATATCGAAAAACGAAAATCCATCCCAGCGGATTATTGTCTGATATATTCGTATATTTCGTATTAGACGTAACGCGTACGAAACATACATATTATTGTGAAAGAAACATTTGTACTATTCATCGTAAAGGAGATTCTTCATGTTATACGCGGCAGGTTCTTATCTCCCAGTTATTGTCAGTTTATAGATTAAAAGACACTTCAACAATTATTTACAGCTCATCTACTATATACGAATAATCATAATATGCGAGTATAAGTAAATTACTAATCGATTAGGAGCAACATAATTATTGTCGGGTCGATCGTTTTGAGTCGATAACGGGATCTTAACAATTATTATTATTAACGATTGTGTATATATATATATATATATATATATATGTATATATATGTATATAGTATTATAATTTCGTATTAAATCACCCTTACGTTATTATAGTTTAGCACCTTCTTGATAAACAAAGAAACGGGTCTATGTGAGTGGTGTTGTCTTATTACCAACAGAATGTGCATGACTATAAATTTCTCGTTCTTATCGATAACCGATAGGACCCTATCATTGATATTACGAGTGAGTTCTACGGTTCCTTCTCGTCCAAGTTTTGGTTAGATTTTTTTTCTTTAGATATGACAGATTTGTGATCAACAATTTGTTAGAAAGTGGTAAGACCATACCCAAAAGCGCGCATACAAAATAGAGAGATCCGGGAGTACAAATAGACGTGATCCGAGCGCATCTCGCTACTTCTCTAGTTTCCGCTATTTAAACATTTCTTTTATCGAAGGAATAGATACGTATATACCCTTCACGCGACTCGCCAATTTTAACGACAAGCATCAATAATTGTTTTTTTTTCTTCTTTTTTTTTAACACTTACAATGAATTTCCATTTGTCAGCATCGATTTTTAAACAGACGTACGTTAAACAACTTCTTTTTTTCGTTTTTTTTTGTTAGAACGATTTATTGTGTAAAGTTTCTCTAAAAAATATCCTATCTTACACCGCGCGATACAAATATCGTATTAAAAAACGTAAATTACAACTTAACGTATAAAATATATTTATATTACATATATTATACACTTAACGTACGAAAATATCAGAACGAAATGCTCTCTATTCCTTCGATTCGATGCGCCAGCTCTCGATTACCATAGGCCTCGGTGAATGTGCAAGAAGTGCAGTGCAAACGTTGATCTTATTGTCGAATTCCTCGTTAATTAATTCCAATGAATTGATTCTTTTTTTTTTTTTTTATTATTATTGTCGCGTTTACTCGATCCCCGAGCACTTAAGAAATTTCTTATTCGCCTTATAGATTAGATACGCTCGTCTACGAAACCGACGAGCAGACGCTATTAATTTCCAAATAAATTTACACGTTTGATATATCGTTTTTTTTGATATGCGTTCGTCTCATCTTTCCCTTCGATCGCCAGCGTGTATTACATTCGACACGACGAATCTACCGATCGTGTGCTTGATCAATTCTCTCTGCCAATCGAGTGCTTTTTCGTGACACGATCACTCGATACCGGAAACAGTTCGCGCGGTTTTCCATCGAACTTGAATTCGAACCAATTTTTTTTCCACTATCGTTTACAAAGAACAAAGTTTCGTCAAACAAGTAATCGGTGAAACGTTAGAAGTCTGCTAAATACTAAAACCCTTGAAAAAGGGATCTTGATATGATTCACGACCGGTTGTGATCGTTAAAAATTTTTTTACAGAAATTTGTACCAATCGAAAGCGTCCGGAGAATCAATCAACGAAGTAGCACAGTGTCTTACCAGATCGAAAATAAATATAACGATTCGGGAACGTCCTTTTTTTTTTCTCACGCCCATTGGACGGCTCCTACGCTAAATCTTATACGTATCTCACATTATCTGCGATCGCTAAGCGGTAAAAGTGTCTCGTTTCTAATTTTAACGTTATCCTATTTTATTTTTTTTTTTTCTTACGATTCGCGATCTGTCGCAACGTTTTACGAACACGCATTGCAAATGCTAAGATGACGCGTTACGCGTTAAATAGTTTATACGTACACGATACATCTAGCGTTCGATATGCAAAACAAATTTTCCTTCGTTACCTGTTCTTCACTGGACTATCTTGTGAAACTTAAATAATTTTATATTTTTCTCTTTCAGATATATAAAATTTCTTTATACAATGCAGTCGAAACGAAAATAAAATCAGAGAGTGGTATTCGACGAACTCGAGATGTACCGTATACATTCACGCAAGCGAAGAAACTGCAAGTTTAACTTGAAAACACACATAATGCATTTTCGTATAGATAGAACTTCCAATTTCTTATTTATTTCTATCCGTCTCGTTCGTTCCTGCACGTTTCATTGGGAGTTATTTAATTCGCCGGAAACGCATGTAAACGTTCAACGTCTCCGTTTACGATCTTCTTTAGTTAATATTGACATATGTACGCGTCGTCAAATGATTCAGAGACTCGTGAAGCAGCAGAAAATCACTCATAAAACTGAAAAGCAATCGGTAACCTCTCACTTTCTCTAAAATGTATTTTCTATTTAAAAAATAATCATTTACGAACGAATTTGGCAATGCTACGATGAAACTGTATATCGAATAAACGTCTCGAGGGTAATTGACCTGATGTATCATTGCAGCATCCAACAAAAGCGAAGTAATGAGCGTCGAGTGTCGGATTTAAACCCCAATGAAAAGTCTAGTCGCGTTCGAATTGAACGCCTGATATCGAATAAAAAGAAAAATGCTGTTCGGTCTGTGAACCACTTAAACACATATTATTACGACGTGATCGACGATGACCATTCCTAGGTGAGATCATCGTCGTCGTCGTCGCTGGGACCGCCGGTCGGGCAACAGAGTCCCTCCGAGCCATCGCTTCTTATACAAAATAATAAAGTCTCGGCGGGTGTAACTTCGTGGGGCACGATGCCGTGAAATTCTTTTAAATCGGCCGCTGGGAACCAGGCTTTCTCGTTATCCTCGATTATCAGTATTCCAAACAGTCTAAACAATGGGTACAAAATTTAAAAAATTAAAGAAATTCTGTTAGCCGCGATGCAATGGCTTTGCCAAACAAAAAGGAGTTTACTGCTTCTCATAAAATTCTGTCACGTTAAATATTGTAAAAATATTGTTCCAACTTGTACACACACAGGGGACGACCTAACAATATGATGTTGCATTTTTACAACACGAAAAGAAGAGAAGTTTTTACCTGCAGATAGCAACGGTTGGGATCCAAAGAACGGATGCAAGAATGAGAACACCGATGAGAACCAAGGACCACGTTGGCCATTCCTGTCTCTCCGTGACGCCCTTGCTGGCGATCCAAGCTGGATAACCACTTCCGTCGACTATGATCTCCACGACAGAGGCAATTAAAATACTCAGCATAGCCAGCGGGCTGAGATACTTCCAACAAATTAGCCAATAAAGGCCTGGACGGTTGCCAGTCATCAGTTCGATATCATCGGCGAATCTGAGAACCAAAATGATAACGAGGATCGAATTAATCGCGACGATTGTCCCAGGAATTGTCAGATTTTGTACGATATTAAAAATGTACCTCTTCAGACCGTACACGTACGATACCGCGATGCACTCGAAGAAGGCGATGATCAGCAGAGGAAAGTTTCCGCTGAAGTTGTCGAACAGCACGAAGACGTAGCTACCAGCACCGTGAGCGAACGCCATCGATATAGCGCAACAGAGCAAACAAATTCCGCCTAATTTGCAAATGGAAAAAGTACCGATTAACAAAAATTTAATTACCGTTCATAATTCACCGGACATTTTGATAAAATCCACGCAATACGGGTTACCATTTATAACGAAACGATCAAATAAGCGTTAATTCGTTTTAGTGTCCGGTGTTTTATGGAGCGTATTGTAACCCCGCTGACCTGTGAGTATTTCTTTTCGCAAGTTCGGGAACAGTTTCATGTCCACGATACTCGTAACAACGCCCTCGAGGGTACCGAATTGGGAATCGATGCCCAACGTGAACAACATAAGGAAGAACAGTATGGACCAGAATTGAGCTCCGGGAAATTGATTGATTGCTTCCGTGAATATAATGAACGCCAAGCCTGTCCCCGACGCTGACTGCAATCCAATCGTGAAAAATAAGGTTCGTAAAATAAATACGTGGGACGATCTACGATGCATTTGTAAAACAAATTACTTACGTTGTCCAATTCTTTTTCGAGATCGCATTCAGGCAGCTCTGGCATGATTAAATTGTCCAACGTTCCGTTTCCTGTCGTGACGTTCAGAAGCGTACCACTGGCTGGTATTTCCATCGGTATTTTGTCCAAGTGTCCGAAAATGTTGATGAGCGTGGCGTTCCTGTCCGACAGGCACTGTTCGTAGACCATGGTGGCTTTAAATCCTGCAAACGACGTTTAAATATTTGTACGACGATTTGATTGAGAAGAGAACTCGAGATAGAGGGAGGAATAATTACCGATGATAGAGAATACGACTATCCCCGCGAACATCGAAGTGAAGCAGTTTGTGAAACTGACCATGATAGCGTCTCTGTAACAGTTGTTGTTTACGGGGTTGTATGAGGAGAACGCTATCAGACCACCGAATGCCAGACCGAGGGAAAAAAATATTTGTGTGCCCGCTTCCAACCACACCACTGGATCCGTTAATTTCCACCACTGAATGAATCATGGTATTATTACGGGAAAGTTATTTTATTGTACAGGGCTTTCCAACGAGAGCAAATCGACCAACTCAGGATTCATCAATGTTAACTGGGATGTACAGTCTAATTTATGCGCCAGAGTCGTCGAAAATATCAAATTAAATCGTAGTGGTCGTTTAACACTAAAAGTGCAGTCTAAAATCCTAAAATTGTTTACGAGACCAATACTTTGATTTTAGGCAATTGTAAACTACACAACTTAAAAGTTGTAGTAGTTACTTTTGCGACCACATTAAAATTTATTTTCCTTAACATTTCAACTTGAGAATTAATTGTTTCAGTTCCACTGTTAAAAGTTCTGTCACCCATATATGGTCAATAGTTAAATACCATCTTTTGCAGTATTCATTTGATTTAAATTTAAAGTTCTATCGATATCGTTGGAAAATCCTGAACGAAAGCTCGCGTTAGCGAAGCAAGCCGTACCTTTGGAGTGAACAGATGACGTAGACCGTCGGACATTCCCTTCAAAGTGACGCCGCGGAAGAAGAAAATGATCAGAACGATATACGGAAATGTGGCAGTCACGTACACGACCTATAAACGACATTTAAATTTACAAAGCTGATTAAGAATTGAGTCGAAGATTGAGTCTTGATGCAATCGTAAAAACGTGCAATGAACAATGAACGCGTTAATGGAATACCTTCCCTGAAGACGCGATTCCCTTGATCATGCACATGTAAACGAGAATCCACGCGATCACCAGTGCCAAGGCAATCTTCCAATTGAACGCTTCTGGAGTATCGATGTCTTTGGAGATCATCAATGTTGTTCGATACCAGAAGTATTGAGTGGGACTACTGACCTGCAAAACGAGCGCCATTCGCGGTGTAATCGTTCTTATTAACCCTTAATCACGCCAGTCAGCAGTTATATTTCTCTTTATAATTTCGAAGCAATTTGATTTACCAAATTCAGTCGATCGAGTTAATTTTTAAATTTGTAAGCGAACTAGTTTAATTTTTATACTATCGTAGAAAGGAGGAATATCAGTATTTTTACAGTAAAAAAAAATTACGATGATAATTTTGTTGAATTATCGATCTTACCACGCACTCTGGCTCTGACGAATACGATCCATTTTGAAAGTATACGTTGGGGCACTCTGCCCACGGTAGCTGCGATTGAAAACTCTAGAAACGATAGTTATTTAGTACGTTCGATGTATGACGAATACAAAATGACGATAAATAATCTGACTACTCACTTGAACGAAGTAAAAGAGGCACCAAGCGATAATAGTGTTGTAATATAGAGCTACGTTGAAGGAAACTACGGCACTACTTAGTCCTATACCACCCATATATGGAGAAACCTTCGACAGAAATTGTTTGTAAAAATGTTCGTAAGTTTGCTTCTACAATGTTGTATACGTTGTGCAACATTTACCTGATTCCACACACCGATAGCACCCTTTCGTAATCTCTGGCCAATTGCCAGTTCCAAATAAAATATGGGAATACCCTCGATTGCCAGCATCACGAAGTACGGAATTAAAAATGCACCTGTTCTCGAAGTCATATAAAATTCAAATATAGTTATTTCTTCCACAATGTTGATTTTGTATTAATATATTAGTATGTGATATTTTGGAAAGCATTTACAAATTTATATAAAATTATATAATATTACGGTGTTTTAAAAAATACTGTGTATTTCAAAATTTTTATTTAATGGACGATATTAAGTACGACGATCTGTCTTTGTCTTCGGTCATTGTTCTGAAAGGAATTCTTCTGTAATACTATACTGGTTTCTTGGACGAACAAAAGAACATTGCTTATTCTTGTTTGACTACACTAAATCTATATTATACTCTGACTGAATGATAGTTCAAATTATAGAACTATATTTTCGGTTCCAATAAAAATAAACAAAGTACACAATTAATTAGAATCTCCTATTAAAATTTTTCTCAGGCAAGAATTACCAAAATTGCGCAATATTTTCTGAGACTTCCCAATACACGAATAAAATTGTTAACATTAATTTCACTTCTGTTTCAGATTCCTTCCGGTAAACGTGCAAACCTACCTCCGCCATTCTTTTGAGCAAGATATGGAAATCTCCACACATTTCCCAGGCCCACGGCGTATCCGACGGTCGCCAATAGAAAAGTAAGCTTACTGTCCCAATTTTCCCGTTCGTCCTCCCCTGCTTCCGGTCGGAAAATTGTTTTCCCTTCGTCACTGCCGAGCTTACTAGTCTCACCCCCGTTTCCCGTTTTCTTCTGGAATAGAACGCAATATCCGGTACCAAGCAGTTTCTTTGTAAATTACGTGTACTCGCGCTACAATGAATTTCTGTCTTTCGACCAAGTTGAGTTATAAAGGATACGTTAACAGAATTAGAAGTAGAAGCTTCAGCTTTTAAAATTACTTCGAAAAGATCAGTGTAAAATTAGTGTGAAGTTATGATAGTCCAAACATTGTTAACGTTTAAGTATCCTGGTACTTATGGCAGCGTGCATACTTTTCTAAATTTTTCATATAAATTTTGAGATACGGAAAAAAGGCAAAATTTACGATTTAATTATAACTCGATTCGATTTCGTAAAATTTAAACTTGAAGGATAATTAAATTATACCGGATTAAGCTTTTTCGATCGATAAATTTTAGTAAATTTACCTTCATGTTAGGACTAGAGTCTTCAAAGGCTGCGTTCGTGGCACCATAATTGACAGTGGTGACATTCTTCCTGCTCTCCGCCACCAGTCTGCCCCTCATTTCTTTCATTTCGAGTTTGTCCACGCTTTTTTGGGGCTTTAAGTCGCGAGAGCTTTGCCGGCGGACGAGATGGGCTGTATTCGCCATTCTTAGTTTCTATCGTACTACCACGGTTATTGTTTTCTTCGCGAGGATCAAACGGAATTACCACACGCGCCTATGGACTCCATCCTGCAGGGAAACGTTCTTGTCGCGATTATCCATCGTTGTAATCGTGGTAAAATGTATGATTTTAACAAGGAAATCTTGCAATCGATAGATTTCGTCAAAACTAGCTACGAAGTTTAGGTGAATAGGTGACATTTTCATTTTTTTATTTAAAGCAACGCTTATTCAAACAATTATTGAAACGTTTTAACAAAACATCAACATTGTATTTATTATTTTTAACTGGGGCGTACGATAAATTGCAAACCATTTAACGACTCGAGACCAGAGAAGGTAATTAAATAATACGAGCCCCCTATAAACGACCTTTTAATATATGGAGTAATTAAGTTTCAAACTGACGTACCCGTTTCGTTGCATACTTAAATCGCATTAAATCACAGTTGCGTATAATGAGAGTTGAAATTAGTTCGATCGTGTGGGCAGGAAACTAAATTTCAGCACTTCGCTTTTATAACATTTTCGTCTATTTACTCGTTTCCATAAAAGTTACGTGAAAGAAAAGAAAAACAAAGCTTCCAAAAATTAATTTTTAAAGAAACGATCTTTATTTTATTTCTATTCTCAGTTTCCGTTATCAGGCTCTTTTCTTACTCTGATAAAACACTTCGAGATATCAGAATCACAGCTTTAAGCTCAGTTGCATGCAATCGGTACGTTACACTCGTAACTCCTACCCCTTTCACGTGCGCAGTGACTGAAGTTTTCTCCATTTAGAAAATGAATTAGAGAACGGATTTACTATGATCCGTAATTGGAACTTTACAATTTTTAATAAATAGTATCGTTACAAAATTCTTTCTTTTTTATAGCAGACGTATACATTTAAGCAACGAATTATTCAAAATAAATACGATTTCGAGGAATTTATCGAAAAATGTACAGAATCTTAATACGCGAGAATTCGTAATATATAGACTGCGGATCTTCATGCAAATTCACATTTTTATTAATAGAATTAATGAAACGGAAGCTTCGCAGAGGGCTGTCTCAACCCCTAAATATAATTCGTATCTTACTTTAAGTATTTCTTATATTTCTGCATATTAAATGCATTCTGTAGTTTTTTGAGGATTAAAATTTCCCATAAACGCATAAACATCCGCAGTCTGGTAATAAACAATCGGTGATAAAGCACTGTTGAACACTCGACAGAAACGTTTTCACAATTTTGCTCAAAGGACGCGACACCGACGCTTTTTTTCGTCGATAGAACAGGAAGGCGAGCGAGATGTTTGCATTTCGGCTTTACTACGGCCCTGACCTCGTATTTGAGATTTCTCGAGAGCAAATCACGGAATCGTACGCTATTCTGCAAACGTGATCGTGTCATCGTGTTGGATTCCAAGAGAACTTACAACACTTTATTTTCTTAAGAAAACTCGTACGACTTGTGTGTTAGGTCGACCAAGTATTAGACTCTTTTTGTAGATTCTTCAATATTGCAAGATTTTATATACTATTGCTGGGGATAGGTAGAGGGACGATGGTCAAGGCGAGGTTCAGGACGAGTAAGGATTAGAAATCGTGATTAGGATGTGGTCATCCAACAATCGAGACTGTTTACTTACGTTGTAAACCATCTAATTACCGAACATTGTACCGATTTCATGAATGAAACATTGTTCGATAACGAAACACACGTTACGAGAATTTCTATCTGCACGCAACGTCTGCGCTGAAATTTAAACGACCGGTGAACGTCGATTCAATATCGGATGAAACATGTTGGGCGGCAATTTAACACGAGCGACGTGCACTGTACTAGTTTTCCCATTGACGTCACAGGTGCACCAACGAAACGACTAGTTTTCATTTTACGTGGCTCTCACGAGGAAACGAAACGTCACAAAAAAGGATATCTCGCGAACGCGTACGGAATTTTGCTCTTTGAATTATTTTTCGAGGAGATCCGACGTTGTTGCGCCCGATGGGTTCCGGGGGAATTCAAACAACGAAGTCAAAGTGACATCGTTCGCGCCAAACGTTCGCGAATGAAAACGATGTCAAGTGATTTTCGTACGAACGTAGAATCGAGCTTGGATGTGGAAGAAGACGGATTTATTTTTTTTTTGTCACGAAGTATCGTCGCGAATTCGCCACTGACCTGCTGGGATGAGACGAAGAAACACGCGAGGGCCCTCCTTATGGTACGAGGAGCAGTTATCTACTGTGGCACCCTCTACTAGGATGAAAACTTTTGAAATCACGATATCTGACGGAATCAATAGCGGGCGCCGGCGCCCCAATGCCTCCGTGTCCTACAGACCGGAATATGCGTGAACCATTTTTGTCGAGAGATTGGTCGATGATCCGCGAATCGAGCGCAGGGAACTATGGAAAATAACTTATACCGTTCCAATAATACCATACCCCCGATCCAGGGGTGGGAAAACACGAATATAATAATACAATCGCGTGTCTTACGGTCATTGAATCTCGAATACGTTTCATTGATAATTGAATGCTCCTCGTAAATCCGCAGGTGCTTCTACAGAGTGTCCAGTAAATTTACGATCTAACCGTGCCCAATAGAGTAGAGCTACCAACATCGTATTAAGACATTCTAAGTTATTAGTTCATATTTTTATTAATAGAATTAATGAAATGGTAGCTTTCTAGAGGGTAATTTCAACCCCTATATTTCGTGTCTTGCTCCAAGTATTTCTCGTACAGGGTGGTCGGCCGATCCCTGGGAAAAAATTTGAATGGGGGATTCTAGAGGCCAAAATAAGACGAAAATCAAGAATACCAATTTGTTGATCGAGGCTTCGTTAAAAAGTTATTAACAATTAAATTCAAAAATTCCAAATCGTTCTGGAAAAATTATTTTCGGTTGCAGGAGTCAATTACAATCATTTTTGGTGAATACAAATACCTCCGAAATCCTGCACATTTTCGAGAAAAGAATTCGAGAAGGTATGAAATTTTTCGACGGAAAAAAAAATTTCAAATCATTCTGGAAAAAATATTCTCGGATGCAGGAGTCAATTACAATCATTTTTTGTGAATACGCATACCCCCGAAATCCTACCCACTTTCTAGAAAAAAATTCGAGAAGGTGTGAAATTTTTCGACTAAAAAAAAAATTTCAAATCGTTCTGGAAAAATTATTTTCGGTTGCGGGGGTCAATTGCAATCATTTTTGGTGAATAGACATATCCCCGAAATCCTGCGTGATTTCGAGAAAAAAATTCAGGAAGGTGGACTTTGTCGACAAAATTAAAAAGTTTCAAAAAATAGTGCTTGTGTCCTTGGAATTCACTTCTCGTCGAACCTCTCTTTTGAAAAGCATGTCATCCATGTAACTGACTCAGCCTTTAAAACTCTTGACTTTATCAATAGGTTTGCCGGGGGTTTTTAGGGATTTTAATACATTAAGATACCTGTATTATACTTTGGTTAGTTGGTATTTGGAATAGATAGCACAGAAATAATATTATAAATGAACGTGAGACTGAGCTTTTAAAAACAGAAAATTAATAATAATATTTACACTCACAGATTCCCGCGCGTCATTATCGTCTAAAAAATCTGCGATCTCGAAAGGCAAATATTCTTTGTTTGTCTTTAATTTTCGAGTTCAAACTGCATACAAAATATTTGTTATATCGTCAAAATTGGGGGAGATATTTGGATAGCTTTGTTTAGGCGGAACACCCTATATATAGAATACATAGTGATTGTTAATTTCACATATTTGATATAACACTATTACACGATTACACGATTTAGAATTTTATCCGTGGATACAATTTGAAATTACATGCAAGTTCAATATGGAGGTTCAAGCAGAAGCATTTGACCTTTATGAAAACTAAATCGATAGCAACTAACATATATTCTTACTTTCTATATATAGAGGAACGTGTTTGAACGTGGGTGACAGAATAAAAAATTGAAAATTATATAACAATCAATTTCTTTCTTATATCAGGGTTATGCGTGTTGTAGGAAGGGAACATTCTTCAATAAATGCTTACTTCCGTCAATTAACATCATATTTATATTATGGATGCCTGATATGAAGAAGATAAACATCGACGACAGTAATGTAATCATCGTTAATAATATTTCGTGCTAACGCTCGTCTCAATTAAGCAACGTGCTTTTGTGACGACGAACAATGCAAAGCTTTCGTATTTCCAAGCGTAAAATTCATCGCAAGGGTGCTTTGATCTGTCGCGTAAATAATTTAAAGAATTCATATGCGATATTACATGTTATTAATTTAAATCTCGTCTCTCTGTATTCATATCTCTTCTATTTGACGAAGACAAATTTTGTGTCGACAATTCTGTAGTATAAATAAAATGCTTTGCAGTTTTAATTAACTTTTCTATTTAATAATGCTTAATTAGAAACCGTTAATTATCTGTTCGCGATAGGGATATGGCAGTGTATTGTCGTCAATGGTGGACAAAAGAGGTTATCCTCGTTTCAGTAAATAAATCAGCCTTTGGTCAGACAAATAGAATAAAGTATAAATAACATTCGTGTCAGTTTATGTAATACTTTGAAACAGTGGTTCTTAATTTCTTTTTTTTAACGGACACCATTTTGTAGATCGATAAACATGGAGTCCAAAATATAGAGGAATTTTTTAATTACAGGGAAATAACAACGAAGGACTCAACGATCCAAAGATTTTTATTCGATGTATTTTTATATACAAATTCTTTTGTTTTAAAAAAATTTATTTCGTATAAAATTCACATTATTTAAATTGATATACAAAACTTCTCAGGAGATATTGTCTTTAATGAAGAACTGTGTGAAGGCGAATATTTCTGTAATAAATAATACAAATTAATGATAAAATTGGTAATTAATTAAAATGCCAATGAAAGATAAGGACATACGATCGATCCGTGCTCTCCTGAATCTGTCCTCAGCGAAAGACTTAATCAAACTTTCTATCATTTCCTCGGACTTATGATCAAATTGACTGATACCCTTATTTATTTGGAGATATCTAAAGATTGGATAAGATAATAAAAATTGTTAAAGAAATGAACAGTTCTAATGTCTCTGATGTAATTGTATTTGAAGGAATGAAATAATTGTATTACAGTTCGTGATAAAAATTAAAAGATTCAATAGCCCATTCCAATAACAAGTTCAGTCTTGGTCTTTCGGGAGTACCATCGACCAGTTCTTTTATCGCGACATCATCTAACGACACCTTACTTCGAGCATCTTCCAAATTTTTTAAACGGGATTTTAGCTCCTAAAATAATATTACAGCCGATAACACGATCTCAAAATTCTCACAGACGATCAACTCAATTTTCATATATTTAAACAAAAAACTACAAGTTCAAGTCTTAGTTTCATGAAATTGATCGATGAAGAACCAATTACAACCGATAAAATGAATAAAAAGCGAATGCAAATGTTTCAAGAAATGGTCTTATTTACTTGAGTGATATTATTGAAGGGCTTTAAAATATCCAAAAGAACTAGTAGTTCTCCGTCGATTCCCATAAGGATTTTATAGATCAATCTTTCACGTAGTTCGTCTATCTTATAGAGATCTCCGTCACGAACATCTTCACTGTAACATAACGACGCCTGGTGGCAGAAAACTAAACATATTCGTAAACAGTGGACAGCCAAGTCCACAAATCTGATCACTGATCTCAATATGAATATTCAGCGAAGTCACACTTCGATTCGAAGTGCAGCAAACCCATCACTATCTACGGACTACGGTTGGAAAACCACCTGTATCTGTGACAAAGTACGTAACATTACCTTACAATTAGTTGGAGTTGTTGTGATTGATTCTTCGTGGCATACAAGGGCCGCCTGGCTTCTTTAGATAACTCTTTCCATTTGTAATCAACTTTCCTCAATTGTGAGAAATAATTGATTAAACATTTCTGTAGCTCCATTGCTATATCGTTTATAGGTTATCCTAAAACAACACTCGCGCGATACGTTTTTCAGTATACGTACACTAGAGTACACTAGTTAACATAAATATGTGGCCGCCAGTCGGATGCCCCTGGTGGACAGACAGCGAATTAATGGGGTTTTCCCAAAATCGAGTGATCGCTCTAGCTACAATAAGGTAGCGGGGACAACGCGCGCGGAAGAGTGCGAGGAGACACGTTGTTGATTTACGTTTAGTTACATTTGTTAACACCTTTGAGAAAGAAAGGAATATATACCAAATATTCATCCACCTCGTCCTGAACATTATTATGTGTATAGCCGTAGACGCTATAAATATATGGGTTTGACGGTATGGAAAATCATGTGACGTAGTCCCGCCATAAATTGAATTGCATGTTGGGTAATATCCACGCCTACTTGATTATTGGAAGGTTGGAGGAAATAATTCTAACTCACGATTGACAAGGAAAACAACAAATATACTACATTTCCAAGCGACGTGGCCCAATCTGACTGCCATACCGACCTGAAAATTCGGAGGTGATTTTAGCGTCCTCTTCACATAGATGGCGGTCAGTTGAGAAACTATTCACTGAATTAGTATCGATAGGCAAACAGCTGTAGAGTCGCGTAAATCTATGTGAGTGACTATGGAAGAGATTAAAATTCATTTCTGAATCTGTTGGTAACGTTGCGAATGACACGAAAATGGTAATGGGGTCCCGGGATCCCAGAGAAACGGGCCGAAAAAATACATTAGGTGAAAGGTCTACTCGTATACCTCGTCTGTGGTATTTCATTTGGTTTGGTGTTACATATTTTGCATCGATTTGTCTTCCAAAGGAAGTGTGGTTAGTGGTAAAGAAGGCGGAAGGACACGATAACGCGGTGCTGCTCTGCGCACGCAGCCTTAGGGCGAGTTTACACATAAGCTCATGAATCTCGCTCATGAAGCGAGACAGCGAATTCAATCTAAGTGTACTTAAATTAGAATGGAAATGGGCAGGAAGAATATCATATTCGAAATAAATATAGAAGAGAAATATGAAGTATTTATTTATCTAAAAAATAATATTTGCAATAATATAACGTATTGCTTTAACATAATATCAATGTTCATTGGAGTCTATATTTTCTTGTATTTAATATAATCGAACATTTGTAATGTACTTTAAGTACATTAATCACATTTATGAACATCGGTTACGGTAATATTTAATTTAATATCTACAGTTTTATCGGTCCACCTTGACCTGCAATGAAATTTCTTCGATTATGCGAGTATGACTACCACGACTTATGGAAAGGACGTTAATTTTTAAATCGTAGATACCTTGGAACCTTCGATCTTAAACATAAGTTTACAATACGTCTGGTTTCTTCGGTTTACAATAAAACAACAGCATGATTCATAGTTATAAAAGTTTGTTTATTGAAAATCATTTTTCTTTGCATTATTACCGTTTCAATATTAAAGGTGCTATTACGATACTCTAAAGAAATAACCTTGTAGCAAAACTCTTTTTATAGTAGCTCGTTTTAATGTTATTTGAAAACTATTTTCTAATATATGTACATGTATACAGGTAATTCCAATCGACTGGGAAAAGCTTTAGCTCTAAAACGAGAGATACAACAAGATGTCATAAGGTAAAAGTAAACGGCATCAAATGATGCGCAAACTGAATAAATATTTTTTATCATTTTTCCATGCTTTCTTCCTTGAAAAGGTGAAATGTAAAAATGGTACAAAATGTTGTTCTTTGTTCCTAGAAATCTGAAAAAAATGAAAGAAAAGGAGGAACATTGGAAAGAGTACGTCAGCCCTGGCACGATTCAGTCGTGCTACTTCGTCTCCACGGGGGCAGTTCGGCGACGATACCCGAACGAGCTCTTCGACGAGGCGGCAAGATGCGCACGCAACCGTCAGTATCCCTTGCGCGTTCGGTAGGGTTCGGTAACGGTCGGAGAACGTTCGGCCGGTTCGTTCGGTCGAACCGCGAGAGCACAGTATACCGCTGACTGACAACCCTCTCGCGTGCAATGTCTCGCCGCGGCTAGTTGAAACCGAGACATTCCCTGTCTCTTCGTTTTTTCCCCCTTTCTGCCTTGGTTTCGTCCGAGTAACAAAACAGTGCCAAAAATATCGGATAGAACGTCTTAAACGTTCGCACCTGCCGACACGTATCGACGTTTCGCGGCTAGCAGTGTGTGACACGTCGAACCGTTTAAGCCGCGTCCCTGTCTCTCGGTTTGTCTACCCCTCTCCCTCTGTCCCTTTCATTTGTTTTCTCTGATCCGGGAAACATGGATGAGGTGAACGGAAAGATGCGGAGCAAGCACGAGGACGTAGATACTGCGTCCCTCGGCGCGGACATTCTGAATCCGTTCGTGCACCGTCTGGAACTCGACACAACCTATGACAAGCTCAAGGTCAGTAGCTCTCGAAATCTTCTTGCACACGAAAATCTCCCTCGGGATCGATGTTTACGCGGCCGAGTATTTAAGGGTAGTCAGAGGGCGGTGTGGACGGGCGATAGGGGGATTTGACTCGTTCGAAAAAGGGCAGACACGCCCGTACGAATGAACTTGAGCACTGTTTTAGAAATATAGAACGGTTTTTGGCGATGTAACACTTTCTTTAGTGTCGTTTAGAGTTGCGTTGCCGAAATAGGCTTCGAGCGGAAGACACTAGAACCTTTTAAGCTAGATGCACATTCGGTGCAGACTGATACAGTGCAGCAAGGAATTTTGTAAACAATTCGAAACAGTCGCATGCTACTATGAAAGTCGATGTTCGGACGAGCGTTATCGCACAGTTTTGCGCCATTGTTTTGTACAACATAATTGGCCGACGCTTTCACGTTGATAATCATTAAGTCTATATCGCTAATATAGAACAGTGGACGAAAACAAAACATTTTGCGTAATATTTCTATTCTCAATAGAAACGTAATGGACTGCCTTGACGTAATTATACGCGATACGTGATACAATTTTACCTAATGCACACCAATTTGAAGTGACGTAAATAATTTATCGATAACGATAGTTTCACTGCCAGAAGTTCGCACTACCATTTGCGGTTTTTAAAATGTAAATAAGCGTAACTTGATTTATTCCGTTTGTCGTAATTTTTTATTCACCTTAAACAAACTGGTATTCCAAATATGTTGCATTTCCTCTACTCGATGTAGGCGGAAACGTCGTCGGAAGGTTATCGAATAATTACATAAAACGAATGTACGAAATCACCGAACAGCAGAAGGCGTGTTTATATCACTCATACGCAAATAATACACACTGTCTACCACGTGGTTCATAAGCGATTGAATCAACGATTTCATCGATCTCGTTCCCTAGCCAAAAGCATTAATAGTTCTTTGTGTTCGTCGAGCGTATATAGAAGGAGGGTAGCGTCAAAATATTTTTTTTTTTTTCCTCCGGACACGTGCGTCGATCAATGCATACGCGTATCGTTCTGTAGACGTTCGTGCGATCGCATGACTTAACTCGACGGTTCGAAATGCATCTTTTGAACAGAAACACAAAAGCACAGGGTACACGCGCGCATCACTTGGTTTTACAATACCATATCCGCGTTCAGTCTCGACCAATAGAGATCGCAAGATGGTAAAGTTAAAAGATATTATTCTCTTTTAGCTTTGTTCTTCCAGCCATGTTTCTTGCTTATCAGCTTATTTATATCTTGTATTCTATGCAGACAGTTCTATTAGTAACAGAAGTTTTGCTCGAGGAAATTTAATATATATATATATATCAATTTAATTATTTAAAACTCATCTATATAGGTATATACATATATAGATAATATACATGCATAAAATTTAGTTTTATGTATGTTTTAAAGTTTTAAGAGTTTTATATAATTTTATATATATATATATATCAATTTAATTATTTAAAACTCATCTATATAGGTATATACATATATAGATAATATACATGCATAAAATTTAGTTTTATGTATGTTTTAGGGTTTTAAGAGTTTTAAATAATTAAATTTTTATCTAAACTGCGATCTTTTAGTTTTCATAATAATATATATATATATATGTGTGTGTGTATATATATGTTATTGTATTATGCAAGAGTATTACACGTTTGAAACTTTCTATTATTAAGTTACCGGTGACATATATTATCTCGCATTCTATATTCATACCGTATAAGTATAATATAATAAAAAAAAATTAAGACAATGTTCTGGGTAACGAAACATGTTCTGTAACAAAAATATTGTTTGAAAACTTCGCACGAAGTATATGTGATTACGGATGAATCATAGCAGTTTCGAACATTTCTTACATTCACGTTGACATACTTATCTTTTTTGATCACAAACACAGACCATTATAAGTATTTGGAAATACTGTAAAAAGAATGTTATATTATTGTGAAATTGAATAAAAAATAATTGCTAGTTCGAGGAAAGAAATTAGCCAGAGGAGACGTTAACGAACTTTTCATCGTTGATTAGAATAAAATGTCAGACCGTGAACGTAAATAGGGAATAAAATAATGCAAAATTAAAGGAAGGTTTGACGATCTTTTATAGCGATTTTTATGTGTTATACGAAAGGGCAACGCATCTAAGCAATACATATTGAATTTCGAAGCCTCTAGTTCACGTTTCGGTTAGAAAGGAAATCTCTTTAACTATTACGAAAGTATCTCGCGATGGCATGTTGAATCCTATTCGTGATACACCTCTGGGTATTTACAGTTACATACTTTCACAGAGTAGCTTCTTTTTTTATAAAAGTCGATACATAACTAGTGTCTAATATGAGGTATAACAAATTAGTATTCACTGGAACACTCGTTAGGACTATGTAGCAGAGAGAAAATTAATTTTGTGCAAATTAGAATCAACAAATCCATGAATTACTGCACATTTACGTTTAACTGGAAACTCTTATTAATTTCGAAAAAAGAAATTGGTAGGTCGTGGGATTTTCGAGGATATAACAAACAGAATGTTCATCTTTCGTTCGAAAAAATAATTAACATACGTTTGCATATGGAAACGAGTTAAATATTTGTTCATACGCAAATGAACATGTGTTATTTTAAGTTTCGATAGTATCGTTGAATGGTGTGATATTATGTACCAAGCTAGTTTGTTTTATTAATATTGCACACAGGAAGAAAAACAAAATGCAAACTAAACGTGTATATTCAGGTACAAAAGTATTAAAAAATAATACTACTTGGAATTTAGAGGTAGACTTTAAAAAGTTGACGAATTATTGAAATATTTAAGATATTTCTAGCTTCGTACAAACTTATGATGTATCGACAGTCGTATACGTAAGTTTTTACGAGCTCTGCAAAAAAGAAAAAATGTTCTAATCTCGACGCGAAGAAAATACACCTTGGGCTATGTGAAACGACTAGAAAAACAATTCCCGCCAATTTTCACTGAAGAGCAAGTCTGTCGCCTCTACGAAATGTGGGTCATAAATGCATAGAGAGCCTACTTTGCGGAACCGTACACTCTACAAAGATTAAAATAGAAATAAAAAACAATTTCAAGATTTTACAGACAGAAATACTAATAAAAACATTCTGATGGTTCACAAGACAACAGTTTAACCAGAATCACGCGCTAGGTAATAACAAGTAATTTATTTAAATCTAGTAAAATATGCGTGCAAATGAAATTTTAATTTTAATGAATAGGAGGATCGTATTTCGTAATAGGAACCCATTTTTTCCAGGATTAGTATCCATTTTATTTATCAACGTTTCCATAGTTTGTTGGCCCCGTTTAGCAGATAAACTAAAAATTATTAAAGAATATCACTTTAACACAAACTCTAACGTGAAATAGAATTTATTATCAGACACTTGTACGCTACGGCGATAAGTTTGGAAAACTCTGACACACTTGAAACGTTTCGAGCGAATTTACGCGTTTGAATTTTTTAATAACACGGAAAGGATCCTTGAGTGTTCCGAAAGCGTCGACGTATTTACGTAAATATTTTTCCCCCCGCGACTTTTTAATGATTTTTACGTGCAAGCGTTAATATGTGCGGGGCACTTCTGGTTAATGCACGGGTATTCGAAAATTCTCACGTTTATGTCACGCGCGCCTTGCTCTCCTTCCTGGTCCTGAAGAGCCTTGACACAATTTCAGACCGTCAGCCCGAGAGTAGCTCCGATGTTCGTTAATTCGCGTAATATGTATATTGTTTGTACGAGCGAAACGAAATTCGTGATTCGTTGATTCCCGAGTTTCACCACGTGCAGCATATATGTATCACGTACCATTGACGGTGCTCAATGAACGACCGTGGATTTTTATAGATATCTCGCGCGACCTTGAAGAGTTCATTGTAAGTTTACCAACGAAAAGTTACGTACGTCTGCACACTGTTTTGGAATATTAATCGGAACCTTAACGAGCACAGCACGCGATCAGTCGTGGCTATCTGTTCCATCGGAACGTTTCGCAATATTTTGGCTGCCGCGAAGGACCTCGTAAAATCATTTGGCCTCGATTTAAACGTGTTGCTTTTTAACGAACTGGAAACTACGAGTTGATAGTACGATTAAGATTTATATCAAATCCGTGTAAAGCTAGGATCGTAAGCTATCTTGGATGTTTATAATCTTCGAAAATTAACTCCTATCTAGGTCTTCTTAATGTTATCTTCGATTTTAAGTTGCACATAGTTACAATCCAACGTTTACAACAGATAATGTTAGTAAAGCTTGCGACGATTATCAGTTGTTAATGTAACGACAGATATTATAATTTTGGACGTTATTTAGGAAGACAGAGTTACATGAGCATTTGAGTTAAGACTTTTGAGGAAATTGTAAAAGATAAACATCGATATTTCTCACCTCCAAACTAGGCATACAGTATCCTCGATTGTTAGTCGTTCACTTTCTCCTATAAAACCGTCTTTTGCTAGCGAGAGAAAGGGACGTAGAATAGGTTCTAAGAACAGTGTCTTTAAATGAGTCGGCTTGGCAGTTTCGTATCTTTTTAACGACCTTTCTAAGTGCTCTGCACGTTGAGTCGTCTCGTAAAGAGGACAAGAGTCCCTCGTCGTTTTCGCGCCAAAAAGCGAACGAGAAACCAAACACATAAACCGAGGCATCGATCGTTTAAAGAATTTCGCCATTGTGTCTTCGGTTTATCGCGTAGAACGCGAATAAATGAAAGCGGAGTAGAAAAGACCACCACGTTAGGCTACTTTCAAATGACCTACATGGAATCATTTTATATCTTGTAAAACTTGGTTATTCGTGCATATCGCGCGAGCAGAGAATCTTATTAACTTTAAATAAATTATTACAGAGATACTTAAACGTAATTAGGTGTTCGTACAATTACACAGGGAGGTCGGCCATCCCTGGGAGAAACTTTAATGGGAGATTTTAGAGACAAAAATAAGACGAAATTCAAGAATACCAATTTGTTGATGGAGGCTTCGTTAAAAAGTTATTAACAATTAAATTCAAAAATTTCAAATCGTTCTGGAAAAATTATTTTCGGTTGAGGGGGTCAATTACAATCATTTTTGGTGAATACACATACCTTCGAATTCCTTCGCAATTTCGAAAAAAAAATTCAGGAAGGTGGACTTTGTCGACAAAATTAAAAAGTTTCAAATCGTTTTGGAAAAATTATTTTTGGCTGAGGGGGTTAATTACAATCATTTTTGGTGAATAGACATACCCTCGAAATCCTTTGCAATTTCGAGAAAAAAATTCAGGAAGGTGGACTTTGCCGACAAAATTAAAAAGTTTCAAATCGTTTTGGAAAAATTATTTTTGGTTGGAGGGGTCGATTACAATAATTTTTGGTCAATAGACATACGTCCGAAATCCTACCCATTTTCTAGAAAAAAATTCGAGAAAGTATGAAAATCGACGAAATTAACAAATTTCAAATCGTTCTAGAAAAATTATTTTTGGTTTAGGGGGTCAATTACAATCATTTTTGGTGAATACACATACCCCCGAATTCCTACGTGCTTTCGAGAAAAAAATTCTTTACCGAAAATATACTGTATGGTCTATAACTTTTTAATGAAGTCTCACTCAACAAATTAGTATCCTTGATTTTCGTCCTATTTTGGCCCCTAGAAGCTCCCATTAAAATTTTTCCCAGGGGTAGTTGAACACTCTGTATGAATTTGGCAAAATACAACTATAATTCCAAAACTCCAATACTATATTTTAATTATAATAAAAAATAAGTCTTTTAAATTCTATACATTCCTCAATTATTTTACTCAAAATGGTACCGTTCTCATAGAAATTTCGCCCACTGCAAGCGACACGTGTACGCGTCGTTTTTAATAGTATGCTCTGAACCTGCATAGACTTCTTTTGAACGAAAGAGGAAGAAAAACGCGTACGTGACATTGAGAACGAAGTGTAAACATCGTGTCTCGCGCAAATGACGCTAATACGAATTGTTGTATCGCCGTAAAAAAAGTGTGTACAGAAATGTTAATCTAATCGTGGAAAAACTGTCGCAACTATTGAAAGGATTACTCGGTCGCGGCCTCGATCTTGAAAGTTATGTAAATACGCGCGCTCGTATCTGGCGTACGCTGCAAAATGGAGTTAACAGGTGATGTAGCCTAACGGAACGAATGAACGGTACTCGTTTCTCCCTTTTCTTCTCCTTCTTCTCGCTCATACGTCTTCCCGCACGTTTCCTTTCCTCTTCTCTGCAGCCATCGACCGACAGCATCCTAAATCCACTCCATTCCCCCGTAACCTTGGCCAACTAAAGAAAAAAGCAGTTCCTGCTGCGAACAAGAGAAAGGTGGTTCGTTCAATGAACTCGCCTCAATGTATCGCGTTAAAACTCTACGCTGTTTTCTATTCGATCCACGTGTATGGAATTTGTAAACAAACATGTTGAACATACGCGATTACCTTTAAAAAAAAAACACAATTAGTTTCGTTGTAAATTTTTGGTACAAAGTGCAACGTAACGTGGATTTAAATTAAACGTATCGAAAAATTTCTAATTTCGTTCGATCGAACGTGACGATCAATTTTATAGATATAACCTGACACGACCGTCTGGTGCTTAATCATTGTATTTTTTATAATGTTTCTACACGCCGTCCTACTTGCACGTTTTTTTTGTACACAGGGCGATTCTAGAAACTGGGACAAGCTGAGACGGGCAATAAATCTTTTTCTCAGCGAAGGTGCAAAAAATTGACAGTGGAGAAACGCGAATCCTGCAACGAGGGCTGTCTTTTGACAATATGATTTATCTGTTTTTCAAACGTAATACTTTACGAGATCATGTCGTGTTTTATATTAAGGCATTTAAGCAATTTATCATTGCAGTGTAGTTATTCTTCTTTTATTATTACATTCAAAGAAAAAAATTCACGGGGGGAACTGAATTTTAGGTAGAAAGTGTAAATAATCCTTTGAATAGAGATGTTTCGTATATTACTAGTCAGGAATTGTTCGTCGAGTGTCTTACGCCGATTAGGTAATGAGATCTTTTACATCCGATACATTTGTAATAGTATAATCGAGTAAAATACATTATTGTTCTCGAAATAGCTCAACATCCGCGGTTTATTGCGCAACCATAGATCGTGTCGTTTATGATTACACTTTTATTTCGAAGCATCTTAATCTGCTGATTATCAGTCTTCGTCGATATAATTTTTCTGCTTAAGATTGTTAATAACGAAGTCGATAGAGTTCTCTTGTGTCTTGATTAGCACCTAATTAATCTAATCAACTCGAATCTTATTATTAAAATTTGTAAACAAGTACTGTTAACATATCTTTTCATACAACGAGTAGATACTCTTGCATCTTCGACCGTTTTAGAGCTATAGTTTTTCCCCCAGTTTGTATCTACTGATAATCGTAAATTGTAAATCGTAAAGCGACTTCCTTGGTCCCTTTCCTGTAAGTTTATCAACGTATGTGCAAATTCCCCCGAAGCATTCGCGTGAAATGCAAAACCTGTTCTAAGACCTCGAAGCGGAAATCCACGTGTGACGTAAACGAAATAAACCACCAGAGATCGAGATACACCGGGTATAATTTTGAATTTCACTCGTACGAATAATGTCGTTGTTAAAAAATTTCCTAGTCCGAGACGCGAACAAACAGCAATTGACGCCCTTAATAGAAAGTTGATTATCCTTAGTTAAGGAAAATCAAGTTGGCTGTGAACTGGTCGAACCAGCGATTTTTACAGAACTTTCTGCTTTTCATGTTTCTCCTTTTCCGCCGCGTAGTGACGCATTGACGATTGCTGAAGCGGAAGTGCTTCATGTTTCAGACTGCATTCCTGACGGTAGCTCTTCTACCATTCAGACTGGCTGCAATTACGACTCTGGTGATCATGGCTTGGCTCCTAGCTTGTCTAGGTCTTCTTGGATTGTCCGAGGAAGATCTCCGTCGAGCCCCTCTGAAAGGGTGGAGACGGTAAGACATCAACCCCAACCATTATGTCTTCCTCCATTACGCTTTTTGTACGTACAATATTCTTATTTTCTCGACCATGCCTCAAACCGACTGATCCGTCTAGATGTTTGATACGTTGGGTACCAGTTTCCTATCTAAACACACGAGCACCATTCATTTTTTAACAGAACACATTTCATCGATTACAGAATTCGAAATTATTCTCGCATCTGCGCTCGCATACCAACCATTATACGCTCTTAATTTACATTAATTATGTGCTTTTTCATTCTAACTATCCATCCTGCGCTTGGCGTGTTGATTGTGTTCCGTCCAACATAATTTTCAAACATTTTATTTACATTCGAGCATGAAACGCTTGAAAAGTGAACGGTACAAGTTGTGTAATTTTTGCATAGCTATAGTTCCGTGATTAAAACTATAATTCTCCCAACGTATGTGTTTATGATTATGAAAAAGGCCCAAATCAATCATTTTTATAATACATATTGATATAATGCAGATTTAATGCAGGATAAGCGATTTTAATTTCTCTCAGATTGTTTACTTGGGCCTCTTTCGTTATTACTACGTGTAAGTGTAAGCTTTTGCAAGCAATCACGCACTTTTTGAACGAGAGATGATTCGAGAGTATGCGTGACATTAAATATGAATGTTTGGAATTTTTTTTTAATTTTATTTTTAAAGTATAGACTTTAATTTATAAACAGAAGGAAATCCATATAGAAGTCGATCTAAAACTTGCAGTAGTTTTGTCAAGAAGGTACTTACTTTCGTGAAAAATTTGAAAAAATGTCTTTGTTCAGCGTTCGAAACCATAAGGTCGTTTGATAATTTATTGGGATTAAAATGGAGGGGGCGTCGGGGATTTGTGCCTGTTAGGTTTGTCTACGCGTACGATATACTTCGCGAAGATCTATCAACGTCGAATCAATGCGAGGGACACTAAATTGCGGAAATCCGTTTAAATATTTTATTCTATGAACGCATGCTTAAAACGATTGAAGATCTCGGTGGGAAGAGAGCGTGAATGACCGCGGAAAAGAAACGAACGAGGGTACGATAAAAAGAATAAGTAACGGGAGAAAGTATGCGTCAGACAAGTAGTTCGCGTCCGTCTCTCTGCAGACGCACAGCCCGTGGAATTCACGAGGCGTTTTCTTGCGGATCCATCACATGTGCCATAATTTTCGATCCTTACAGCTTCTTAATTGCGAGAAACGCAACACTTTTAACTTTAACAATGTTCCCGGCCGATACGTTTCACCTCAGCGATCAATCGCGCGTTACGTCGAAGGAAAAACAGTTATCGATCGTAGACTGACCTCGAAATCAACTAATTTTTATAACCAAAATAACGAGATGTTTTAAACGACATTAGAATTCAGTCATAAGCCATTAAACTCGTGAAATTCAATCAGAGCTCACGATTCGTTCGAATAATAAATACATCTCTTAGATGATTGGAGAAAATAATCGATAAAGAAATAATTTATCGATAATCGCTGACCTAAAACCTCCATGCATCGATCAGGTTTAAATCGAGTGCAATAAAATTCGTAACGATTGGTTTATGGGGCCACTTTAATTATCATTAATATTTTCACGTGCAAACATATTAATCAATAGAGGGGAATTATCATGAATTAGGTTGGAAGAATAAATGGAACTTCAGTGAAATGAATTTGCATGAAATTGTGGACGCTTTGCGCAAGATTGATATGTTTCAACCCTGCTTTTTCTACGCACGTGTAGTTCTAGTCGTTAAACATTTATTATTAACTGTAAATGCAAAGGTTTGTGTGCAATGTAGAAGTAGAATATTGATTTTATTGTTTATACATGTTTCCCTTGAATTTTTATAAATAAAAGAATATACGCGTCGGTAAATGTTTCGAGTCGTGCAAAATTGTTTTATGGAAAGGAAATTAACTGATTCTAATTACTAATCAGTTCTCGTTATTGTTTTTAGAAAAGTTTTTTCTCGATTCCTTTCGTGTTGCATTTTTAATAGAATTTTGTGAATAATTTTGTTCAGATATCGCAGATACTCTTTAAAAAATATATGTAATTGGTATGTACGTTATCGTTCGCGAATGGTTCGTTTCCTCGACACAGTTATAATTCGATTGATCGAAAAAAATAGTAACCTTGCGACGAAATAAAAAGTAGCGAACAGCAAAGGTCGAGAAGCATAGGAGAGAATTCACATGACAGCTTTATTTATTCATATGATAATCGATAGGACGAGTTTCTTACGTGCACCGTCACATGTGGTTCTTCCTAGTTTCTAATAAATAATTCAGCGACACAGTGAGAAGTTTGTAGGATCGAACTTAATTCTTAAATACTACTGCTTTGCCGTTTTAAAGCCGACGTCTGTGTCAGAACGATAAAGTACATATAATGCCTACAGTAATTGTATGTTTGGTCAGTGTACAGAAATGCTTTGTAGTTCTTACCAGCGACGCTCTGTAAAAGCTAGTGTCTTTTTAGGGAAAACACGAATGTCTTGACTTCGATTTCAAATCAATTCTCCATAGGATCTTTCGATGATTCTCGGTTTCTTACGTGTTTAGTACGATATCACGATGAAAGTTTACACGCATATCTCGTAAAATCAACACGACGTTTTGTACATTTCGAATTTTTTCTGAGCCCATACTACAGAGAAAGTAACTAATTTAAATGCAACATATGTTCCTAAGAATTGAAGCGATTATTATACTCTTGCAAAGGAATTTATTCCACTTTCGATTTATTTATCGACGAAAGATCCTATATTCAAAGAAAAGTACACAGTTTTGTAAATTCATCTTTCTGAGCTACAAATCTTTTTATATGGTATCGAAAGGGAAATCCGCGTTAGAAAGTGTATTTTAGAATTTAGCCGTTGTGTAAACACAAGTATTGAACGCAACAATATGCTTCGTTCGTATGATACACAAATTGCTTACTATCAAACAGCTTTTTCATTCATGGCAAGAAACAGTTTTCGTACCTATGTTTTTGTTGCACCAATACGGTAGAGCCTCGATTACCAATGTCGATAAAAAGAAATTCGAGATCAGCGTTGTTTAATTTCCGTTGCTTCTACTAAAAAAAATATAAAAGACATAAACTTCGAATAAATAATAATGAGTATGCTTCTAACGAAAAACTAAATTCAGTAAAAGAACACGATCATAATACGGTGAATATTGATGTAAACGAGATTCTACTAAAATCGTGATTTCTTTCTGTGTGCAAGCCGTTAAAAGATAACCACTTACGAAACCTATCTACTTGAAAAATTGACAGCTTTCCCACATTGTTTTTTCACGTTAATAACAGGTCGTAAAAGAATTTCATATTTCCAATTCGTTCTAAAGAATCTCCCTGTTATCAAGTGTCTGGTCCCCTATTTTTGGAAATAATGCCACAGAGCAGGATCTCTCACGACCAATTCGATCGAAATCGGTAGATCGTTTTAACTATAGTTTGATTTAGAATCTTCGACGTGGTTTCGCTTAACGGATTGCATGCGAAAGAAAGTAATGATCTATGGACGTAGAGTAGTAGAGAATTCTCTGGCGAAATAGTGTACGAGAGGTTTGAATTTTAAAAACGATTGCATAAACAAACAGAAACATACGAATTGTGATCTGCTGGATGATGCGGGCGTTGTTCATCTGCGGAGGATTTCACCATCTGAAGGTCAAAGGTCGTAAAGCGGAGACAAAGGATGCCCCCATATTAGCCCTAGCCCCGCATTCAAGCTTCTTCGACGCACTTCCGGTTATTTACCTCGGCGGACCGAGCATCGTCGCCAAGGCGGAGACCGGGCGCATTCCTTTTTTCGGAAGTAGGTCTTCCACTTTTGCTCTGTCAAGCCATTCCGCGACGAGTTTGTCGTTCCATCTCGCCATAAATTTTTCTTTACGATCGCCGAAGTGCACACGTTTCGCTTCGTCGCGGAATTTAGTCGATCTATCCGGTAATCCGGGCAAATGTTGTTTGATAAAAAGGATAAGAAATTAAGATTGCACCGATAAATCAACGATAGTAAACAGTTTTAAAATAATAGTAAAATAGTTTTTTAAAATGACTCCTTTTTGGTTGCAATTAAGAAAAAGAATTTTAATGATGTTGGTGGTTAAAGGAATCTTTGAACACCAACGTAACTTGAGATACGATGGAACTATACATACACGCGTACAATGTATACGAGGACACAATTAAAACATACTAACTAAACATTTGTGTACGTGGTGAATGGGAATATCTATGCTACTAATAAAAACGGTAACGATGGGACAATTTTTGTGCAACTAACTGGCATTATTAATATCGCAGGATGCAGTTGGTACACGACTGTTTTTTAACGCGTGGCCCGATGGAAAACGGTTCGCCGTTACAATTTCTTTAATGCTTAACGATGGTGGCAGGCACTTCGTGTCTATTCATTTCTCTGTGTTACTTTCCTCTGGATTTCTTTTCACTCTCTCTTTTTTTGCTTTTGCGCGGTCACGATGAAAATTTCCCGTCGATGAAATGGCGGCCTGTCGATCGATTTTTCTGAAAATTAGACGAGGTTCGGGTCAGAAAATTTAAGCGGTGACGTCGCGTGCCAAAGTAAATCAAAAATCGAGATCGACGAAATTGTGTTTGAGGCTTTGCGTCCGAGTTATTAATTGTTAAAAGTATGTCAAAGGGCTGAAATTTCTTTTATGTTTTTTTCTGTAGATTTTATTTAAAATTTTTTAAAAATATTTTTTATAATATGTGATGTATATATAATCATCGTTATCCATGAATTGTGTTTGAAATTTGACCAGATTTTTGGTATCCAAGCGTATAAATAGAAAACAGGGAAGTACAAAGTGATTTTGTCATTGTTTATTTTCGTCTTATTTTGGTGCATGGAATCAGCCCTTAAAGTTTCTGACACCTATTGCCGAACACCTTGTGTATATTTCGACACTATCGGCAACGAACATAACGGCTGCCATAAACTTTCTCAAATACAATATCACGTGGTTCCGAAGCAGTCAAGTTTCACTCGTGTGCAAATGAACAGACAGGAATTTTCTACCATACGAGGAACGCGGTGCAACGACTCGTCGAAGAAAATAATCGATGTATCATCGACCTCGTGAACGAACTCCAATTCAAAGAGCTTGCAATCTTGAAAAACAGTGAAATGCAATAGTAAACAATTCTATCTTAAGATATATCTTGTCTCGTACTTTATAAAAATATTCTGTTTATCTAGCAGTGGTGTAACTAATGATATGGACGAATATAATGCGTATTTAAACAGACAATATGGGGAAATTCTATCACTGTCTCAATAGAAATATTTTACTTATCAATTTTCTTTAATTTAATTGCATTGCTTTATAAGTTCTGCTGGTGCCTTTTTAAAAATATTATACGAGATATAAATCCTTAGTTTCCCCCACTGCTGTTTACTAATTTCTCAATTCCTCTTTCATAAAGGCTCTTCGATATCGACGAGACGAATTGAGTCAGACATCTTTTGATTGCGTCATTTCTTAACTCCTTTCCGATGAAGTGATTTTGTAAACTCCTGAATAAATCAGAGTCCAATGAAGACGAGTCCACCGACTGTGGAAACGGAATTATAATAATCATTTAAATATAAAAATGCAATCGTTCCAGTTGCTGGTAATAAACTTCCATATCGATCAATTGGACTTCACCACTTCGAAACGTATTCTCTCAATATTTCATGAAACGAAGAACAAACTTTCCCGTGTTTTGGAAAGTTAATGGTATTCGACGACGCCAAACAATAATTCACTGTCAACATTTCGTTGGAAAGGAGTTGAGAAATGTTAACGCAGTCGGAAGATACCTGACGAAATTCTTCGCATCGAAATTAAAGAATTTTTTGCTATTGAATCTGATAAAAAGCTCTGGCCGTTTAATAAAGTTAACATTAATGGAAATCAATGGAGTATCATTTTAATCAGGCGTATAGTGTTGCTATTAAACATTCGTGACCCTTTGGAAATCGTAGCCGAGACTCGAAGTTATGGTTGGTGTCCACTTGAAAGTTTTACTCCGAAGACAATCGAAAATTCTCTAATACTTGCATAATTGAAATTAAGGGCTTACTAGCTCTCGAAAAACTGTAAATACGTAATAGTCGGGTGTAGCGAAGTGAAATGATCGCGTGGCTTGTAAATCGCAGATCCTGGGCACGATTCCAAAACCACCACTTTTCACAACCGATCGCAACACTAGGAAAAAAAAAAACTGATTCTATTCAAACTCATGCACTTGTACATCAACAATCACGAGCACCGATTTATCGAAAACTAATTAAATACACATGATTTGCATTCGAATCGACTTCCACGCGAGAAATGTCTCTCAACGTCTATTAAATAATTTTCTCAAAGTGGAAACTAAAAAATGTTGGCGTAACAGAGAAGGTTGTATTGTGTATTCGTGGTGCCAGATTGTTTTGTGTTTTTTTTTTTCTTCTATATGCACGATAATTATCACCTTGCATCTTGCACGACGTTCCCACGATAAAACTGCAAAAGAAAGATTTCTTTTTAACAAGAATCGATCCCAGGGCCTGTGATTTACAAGCCGCGCGATCATCTCGCTTCCGTAACCCGTACTTACGCTTGCACATAGTACATCGAGAGGTACGTAATTTTGATCGTTTACAATCTTTAAAAGTATCGAGCGACTACGTATCGTTAGAAACCGGTTGTCGTTTTAGAAAAACCCGATAAAATCTGTTTAATATTCGTGGTCTTGGTGCCCTGCGTCTATTGGCGCGTCGCGTTCCCGCTTTAACGGCCAGAACCAATCGCGTCTTTCTTCTTGTTTTCCTTGTACGCGTCCTTTCTGCTCATTCCGTGCCGGAACCATGTGCAAGGTGCACGCGTCGCGTCGCGATACAACCAATATACATTGTTTTTAGTAAATACAGTACTGCATAATCGTTCGTGTGTTCTCGAGGTTACTTGAAGCGGATCTACACCTATATTTCTTTAAGAAAATCAAAATCCAGACAGTCGAAGCCCTTCTCTCGTTAGTTGGGTACTATTTGCCCTTGACGTCTCTTAATTTTAACAATATCGTACGAAATAACGTTATCGGTGATATTGATCGTGCGTGGGTACCCTTACGAATGGCGTGGGCACATTCCAGCATGAAGACTGTTCCATTTCCTCGCGCGAAAGAGCTTCTCTTGTCTCTAACGATGAGTTTAAAGATTAAAACTCTCAAGCGGACGCCGGACGTTCGAACGGGCGCTCGAAGTTGCACGAACGAAATTAAAACAGAGCCCAAGAAACGCAAAAGGCGATTGAATGTGATCGGGGTGCGTTTAACCATGCTCGATTGACACCTGCAGCAAAATAGTGCCCTGGCTGTGCTTTATGGGCCGGGTGACATACCAAGCAGGAGGAATGAGAATCATTGTTCGCGGAAGACAGGCCAGCAGGTCCGAGGCGCCGATCTTGGTGGTTGCTCCCCATTCAACCTTCATGGACGGAGGGATCGTCTACATAACTGGGTTCCCCTCGATCATCGTAAGACGAGAATCGGGACTGAACCCGTTCATCGGAAGTATGTGCCAATTATTGACAAAATTCCCCAATTCACAATTTCGATTGAACCAGCAACCTCGAGTCTTAAGACTCTTTGACGCGTTCGGAACTAAGGCATATTAAAAATAACTGCAGAGAGGAAAATAAACATTTGATCCATGTAAGATTTTGTGGTTCAATTTACCATAGTATGAACTATAGAAAGCAGCGTTAATTTTGTTGAAAATGATCCTTGTTTGCGTTTGTGACGTCATCCAGCGATGATCTCAGAAGCACTGTGCAAGATATCTCGAGATCCAGCTGATCGATTACTTAGAAAGTTTGCAGATGTCTTTATACAGTGTTCGGCCTCCTTTGGGAAAAATATTAAAGCGAGATTCAAGGCGAAAATCAAGAATATAAATTTCTTGACTAAGGCCACGTTAAAAAGTTATTAAAAAAATTAAATTAACAAATTTCAAATCATTCTGAAAAAATTATTTTTGGTTGAGGGGGTCAGTTACAATTATTTTTGGTGAATACACATACCCCCGAATTCCTACCCAGTTTCGAGAAAAAAATTCATTACCGAAGGTATAATGTCTGATCATGAATGAATGATTCCCCTGAAATTTCATGTGTTTCAAATCGTTCTGAAAAAATTATTTTCGGTTCCTGGGGTTGATTACAATCATTATTGGTCAATAGATATACCCCCGAAATCCTTCCCATTTTCTAGAAAAAAATTCGAGAAAGTATGAAAGTCGCCGAAATTAAAAAATTTGAAATCGTTATAAAAAAATTATTTTTGGTTGCAGGAGTCAATAACAATAATCTTTGGTCGATAGATATACCCCCAAAATCCTACCCATTTTCTAGAAAAAAATTCGAGAAAGTATGAAAGTCGACGAAATTACAAAATTTCAAATCGTTCTAAAAAAATTATTTTTGGTTGCAGGGGTCAGTTACAATCATTATTGGTCAATAGACATACCCCCGAAATCCTACCCATTTTCTAGAAAAAAATTCGAGAAAGTATGAAAGTCAACGAAATTAAAAAATTTCAAATCGTTCTACAAAAATTATATTTCATTGCAGGGGTCGATTACAATCATTTTTGGTCAATAGATATACCTCCGAAATCCTACCCATTTTCTAGAAAAAAATTCGAGAAAGTATGAAAGTCGACGAAATTAAAAAATTTTGAATCATTCTAAAAAAATTATTTTTGGTTGCAGGGGTCAGTTACAATCATTATTGGTCAATAGACATACCCCCGAAATCCTACCCACTTTCTAGAAAAAAATTCAGAACTGGCGATACTTTAAACATTAATAACTTTTTAATAAAGCCTCCATCAACAAATTGGTATTCCTGATTTTCGTCCTGTTTTGGCCTCTAGAATCTCTCGGTACAATTTTTTCCAGGGGTAGCCGAACACCCTGTATGTCTTATTTTTAAACGCGTCAAAGAATCCTGCCACCTTAATATCGCGCGACAGAGATGATTTTAGAAACTGTCCAAGGAGGCCTCAGACGTGATCGTTATCGACTTTAATAAAGTTTGGTGACATTTGTAATCAGTAGTGTTTTATAACCAGGGACTTATGCCAGTTTGAAAAGATCTATCGCACTGTAAGGGTCACATTTGAACCATCCCTTGTAAGATAAACTATTTTCTAAACAAAAACACAAAGAATTAATACAGAAAAAAGTGAAATCTCGCAGTTTCGATTCGTTGGCGCTCGATTCTGTAATCCAAATTCTTATTTTTATTTACAGAGTAACTAAATGCATTCTGTATTAAAAATCTGTATCCCAGATAAGAATCTTGCCCACACCGTATAGAATTATCTGGTTTCTAGACACATCTCTGCAACACTGTGCATATCAACTTTCTCTTCAACGATATGGTTGCAAGTGAATCGATCTACTATCTCCATTCCAGATACTTTTTTCCCCCTGTATCAATTTTTCGTACGTTCGTTTAGAAAATAGCTACAAGTTGTCCTAGTTTCTAGAATTATCGATTCGAGAGAATTGCATTCCCTGTTAAACGAGAATTTACCGAATAACGAGCTGGTTATTTATGGATTATCTCATTCACCACGATACACGTATATTTTATACGCGTTTCGAAGAAAACGAATTTTCAAAATAACTTTAACGATGTAAAAAGATAGAAAAAGAAGTATACAGACACAACACATCGTTTGAGTATTGTACACGAATGTTCCTCGACGACGTAAAAATTCAGTTTCACGTTTTGCCATTGGCCCTGGGTGCATTTATATAAAATTCATGCGAAAACATCAGAGTCTCGACGTACCGTAGAAATTATATAATAGGAATTAATTTCATACGTGGATTCTATTCCTTTGATACATTATATGCGTGTTTCTATGATATACTCGCAGAACTTATCAACTATACGCAACCGGTCTACGTTTGGAGGGAAGATCCGAACTCACGACAAAATACGATCAAGGAAATTATCGAAAGGGCTACTTCGAAAGAGGATTGGCCGCAGGTATCGTTAACAATAAAGAGGAATATTTTCGTTAACAGTAATTGGATTCAAACTGCTTTTGAAACAAACAAAATGAATAAATAAAAGAGATAACCATCGAGAATTTAATTACGATTTTATTAATTTGCAACAACGGTTACACGACGAGAAAGTTGTTTAAATTGAAAAACATTGCACGCTGGATGCATACATAGCAACTTGGTTGTTTTTGTTGTTATTGTTGCTAACGAGCAATGAATTAGAAGATGTTTATTAATAAACTGATAATTCTTTCCCGCAGATAATGATTTTCCCAGAAGGTACCTGTACAAATCGATCGTGCCTCATTACTTTTAAATCGGGTGCATTTTATCCGGGTGTGCCTGTTCAACCTGTATGCATCAGGTATCCTAATAAATTGGACACGGTAACGTGGACTTGGGAAGGTCCTGGCGCGTAAGTGTTACAATATACATTGCCAAAAATAAAGAGAAAAGAAAAATATTACATGATTGAGCAGAGGAGAATCTAACAACGAAATTCGAGATTTCTAGAAATTTTAAATCACATAAAAATTAAAGTAAATCCTTAACTGCACCCTTAAGCTTAGTCGATTCGACATAACTTAGTATGGTGTGGAAGTAAAGATAATAAATAATCGTCTCAGGGTTAAATGTACCGAGCAAACGCATTATCATTATCGTTACTAGATAAATATATAATTGCAGGTTAAAGTTATTATGGCTGACATTAACTCAACTGAATAGCAGTTGCGAAATAGAGTTCCTCCCTGTTTACAAGCCCAGCGAAGCTGAGAAAACGGATCCTAAGCTTTACGCAAATAACGTGCGTCGCCTTATGGCAGAGTGAGTTTGTTTTATTAAACCTAAGTACAGTCGAACTCGGTTGCAACGAGCACCGGGTTATAAAGAAAATGTCCTCGTTATATTCGCCATATCAGCGATAAATTATTTTTATGTTTGGTGCAAAGGATCTTAATCAAAAATTAAAACATTACTTTAAGAGGGTATTCTAGTCTAGAGTTTCAATTTTTGGTCTTTTTAGAAATTTTACTTACAGACAATGTATAAGTTTATTAATTTCGACATGTTCAATACATATTTATTTATGTTTTACGAATGGTCAGAATTTTTTTTTAAGTGAAAATAATCAAAACTGACTGAATTAAACTATAACAAACAATTTAGTGATGGTTAATCGTGGTCAGGAGCAACCGAGGAAAAAGATTTATGTAATTTTCAGGGCCTTGCAGATTCCAGTATCGGATTATACGTACGACGATTGTCGAATTATTACTAAAGCGCATCAGTTGCACATACCGCGCGCATCGATCATCGTAGAAGCCCATAAACTTCGTAATAAACTCGGGTATGTTATAAAATTATGAGACTCTACATTGTAGATCAAAATTTTGAAGCACACTTTGGTCTCTGTAACTCGATTACCACTGTAATATCAACTATCCTCAAAATCCTCTACCCTGAATCCCATTGAAAACTTATGTGCTGAAGTGGAATAAAAATTCAAAAAACTGCAAAATTAAAAAATTTCAAATTGTTCCAAAAAAATTATTTTTGGTTGCGAGAGGCAATTACAATCATTTTTGGTCATTAGATATACCCTCGAAATCCTACGCACTTTCGAGAAAAAAATTCGAGTAGGTGGACAAAGTCGACAAAATTATAAAATGTTAAATTCTTTTGGAAAAATTATTTTTTATTGCGGGGGTTAATTACAATCATTTTTGGTGAATAGACATACCCTCAAAATCCTACGCACTTTTGAGAAAAAAATTCGAGTAGGTGGACAAACTCGACAAAATTAAAAAATGTCAAATCTTTTTGGAAAAATTATTTTTGGTTGCGGTGGTCAATTACAATCATTTTTGGTGAATACACATACCCTTGAAATCCTAACCATTTTCAAAAAAAAAATTCAAGTATGTGCCTAAATTTTTCGGCGAGAAAAAAGCATTTCAAATCGTTCTGGAAAAATTATTTTTGGTTGCGGGGGTCAATTACAATCATTTTTGGTGAATAGACATACCCTCAAAATCCTACGTACTTTCGAGAAAAAAATTCCTTATTCAATACTATAATCTGTAACCATAAATGGGCCCCCAAAATTTCATGCGTATGTTTAGAACATCATAATTCCCGAACGGATTGGAGGATTTTAATGTTTAAAAATGCAAAGAATATATCCCATATATTTAATCTGCGACAAAATATAAATCGAATATTATGTACATTAGATAAGACAACATGAAACTGTTCTTCCTAATAGATTGGTAGCGGCGAAAACAGAAGAAGAATTGGTTCAAAAGAAGACCCAAAGGTTAAACGAAGACGTTAACTTGCACGAGTTCGCGCAAATACTTAGAATCGATGAGAAAGAACCTGCTACCCAACAGCTCTTCCGAATACACGATAGAGTCTGTATCATTTGATATATCAATTTATCGGTCGTAATTGAATTTTTCATCCACTTATGCAGAATAGTCCAGTAGCTATTGCCACCTTACAAACACTTATACTTTCCAAAGTGGAAACTTTGAATGCAGAAAAATGTGGATAAATTAAATATTTGTTTATACAGGATGTTGGGGCCACCCCTGGGAAAAATTTTAAAGGGAGATTCTAGAGACCAAAATAACACAAAAATCAAGAATACAAATTTCTTGATCGAGGCTTCGTTAACAAGTTATTAACGTTTAAAGTTTCGTCTGTAGAACGACTATCTTACGCGTCACGCGCACGCAGCTGTGCGCAGGTTGCCGTTCTACAGGCGTAACTTCAAACGTTAATAACTTTTTAACGAAGCCTCAATTAAGAAATTGGTATTCTTGATTTTCGTCTTATTTTGGCCTCTAGAATCTCCCGTTAAAATTTTACCATTTTGAACCATTTTGAAACATGTAATTAACAAAAGTTAACTGCACGTATATAACAATTCCTTAAATCGAAATAAATTTTGAACATAAGGTGACAATAACTATCTGGTAGTTGTATAAAATGTAACACTTGGTTTACTGACGCAAAAGTTTAAACTATTTTAGCATGGACAGGGTAAAATAGATTTCGAGGAATATATATTCACAGTATTAGCCACGGCAAATGCGAACACCGAACTAGACAAAATCGAAACAGCATTTGAAGTGAGTAGAAATCGATGGAATTAATATAAATTTGTTGGGCGTTCTATTTACCTAGTGAATTAACAGGTTTGTGGTACGAAATCATTATTATGTATTGATAAAGTGGAACTGAGGAAAGCTTTAAAATTGGCGTTAAACATACCGGCGGAAGAATCGGATAAGATCTTTCAGCATGCGAAAATTGATCCTTCCGATACGACGGTAAACTTTGGTAAGTTGTATCGTTAAGGTAACTTACGTATATTTTTACCAATCGATGACACAAGCATTATTTAATTTTTTCCCCTATAATTGTGTTGCACAGAATTTGTACTGGCCGCAATAGCAGCGCGAGCGGAGTACGCTCATATATTTACCGTAAATTCCGAAACGAGGAAAAAAAATATTTGAGAGTATTTCATCGACTCGTTCCATGCTCATCGAAGATATAGGAGACATCGCGTTTGCAGCAGGCCGCTTCTCAACCAAACCTGCGTCAGTCCTGTGTAACTTTGTTTCATTCTTGCTGATATTAATACTGTTTCAACGAATAGATAGCCATTTTTTTTAGTATTATATCGTTGACGAAGCAAGAAGCCCGTCTTCGTGAGGATAAAGAGAAATACGGAACGAGAAGATCGCTGCATAGTATATTTAAGGATTGTATTAAATAAATGAGTTTGTCGTCTGGCGTGTTCGTATAGCGCAGATACATTTCTTCATTTCTAGAAGAACGTTTTTCCTACGAGCGAGGTCGATTCCCAAAGGAGCTGTTACAGTTTGAAGGAAAAACGAAGTAAGACATGTATTCGCTAATTACTTCGGGTACATCGATGATTTTTGTTATTTATTATTATACATTTGTTTTAATTTATGAAGAAGTGAACTTTTATAACACACCGTTCGTTCGTTCGATCGCGGGAGCGTATGACTGTATGGTGTACAACATAGAAAAAAAAAAGATTTTCCTTTTTTTGTTGTTTATTGCATAATTCGTACACACAATAAATGTGATATAGCTTTCCTTTTCATTTTGATAATACCGTAGTAAGGAAAGTGTCATAATTTTGCCTTTAATTAGTACACGTTTGATTTAGAATAGGCTTACCTCGCATCGTTGCTCGCAACGGTGCTTGTAAAATTTTCTCACCCGTAATGTTTCACATTCGAATTCGAGATCATGTAAATAGTGGTACACGAAAGGTTTCTTAGGCGTAAGCATGCAAAACTCCGTGTAAAAATTTAAAAGTCACGACGGGGCGAATTGTCCACGAGGAGTAATTAGTTTTAGAATTATTTTAGATCGCTCAGGGCTCGGAAGAATTCGAAAGCTATTGAACATTTCGTGCGTTGCAATTGAGTGGCGATTGGCCGTTCCGATTGTAAACTTATTCGAGTTTCTGATATAACCGAGGAAACCAAATACGTTTAAAACTTGGATCTGCATTTAGAATAAATATATTATAAAATTTATTCTTTGCACAGTAATAGTACATACTACAGTATTTAATATTTAATAAACATAAATACATATACATGTGTACATTTATATACATGTATACGTATGTAATATAACGATACATTGGTCATGAAATATGATAAACTATTAATCATTGTATATACGCATATATTAAATACATTATATACATGTATTGTATATCAATATATATGTATATACGGCAAATATATAATTGTATATATATATATATATATATATAGATACAATAAAATATTCTTACAAGATACAAACTATTCCGAATAAATTTGATTATTTCCATTTGTTTACAGCAAAAAAATAATAATAGCGATGCACGTACATACATTCAGATCGATTTAAGTACAAATATACATATGGTGAATAATAACAGATCTATGGTATCACATAAAATCATAGGTATGGTAAAACTAAAGACTATTTTCGTTTAAACGTAGGAAAAGTGTACAAAACTGAAATTGTCTCGATATTAACACTCGCTAATCACAATCAATTCGTTAAGTAATTAATTTGTCTATAAAATACTTCAATACAAATTAAAATACAGGAAATATTAATTATTTAAACTCATGTCGCATTATGGCAGGATACACTCCAAACTTTTCGTAAAAAAAAACAAAGTCAATATAATACATAAAATATCTACAGACCAGCAGTTTGAGATTTCTTTTAATAAATTCGCTATACCTTCTATAACATAAATAACAAGCTATAATATTTCACTTAATGTCATTTCTTTTTTTTTTTAAATAAGTAATTACACAAAGCGTATTAAAATTATTTCAGTATCAGTGTTATACTTACTTGTGCACGCGAAAGTCGAAATCAATATTTTATTTATTGATTCTTACGCCACATCCTTTAATTTCTAATACCCCCAAAAGAAAATTGAATTTCGTGAATCCTCTGATTTTAAATTGTATCTTGAAAGGCACATCATCCTATAGCGATGCTCATTACTAATCTTAAATTAAGTTTTGTTTTCAAACTTATATCTTAATTGTTAACGAATACTCACGTAATATTATATTCCGATTCGATATAAGTTTTGTGCATTACCTTGTACCGTTAAATTCATAAGTACAAAAATTGTCACATGCCAGAGTATTGAAGAGATAAAATTAAAAGAATTTTTTTTTATGAAATACAGCGAGAAACAATAGCCCACGAATGGAATTAAAAAAACAGAGTAATTTGTTTTATTTTTTTCGAAAAATGCTTGACATGCTTGGTGAATTTGTTTTCTGTTGAAATATCTTGCTCACTCTTTGTCTCATGTCTTCTACACCTTGTCCTACATTTACGGTGGCCATTGTTAACGAAAGGCCTGAACTCATCGATAACGACCTAATAGACGCCGGGAAACGATTCTTATAACATTTGTTTACAAAGTAAAGAACATAGAATGTTATTTATTTATGTACCTTTCCATTGGTTTTGAAAGATCCTGTCGAGATTCTGCTTCCCTTAAAAGTGACCGTACCGCTTCTTTTTGTTGAGGTAATTGTTGGCTAACTAATTGCTCGAGGTGTTTCAAGCCTGGCAATAAGACACTAGAAACACACTGATTACTGAGCGGACAATAAACCAAAACAGAATATGCTTCGACCAAAGCGCTGACAAGATCGGTTCTTCGACCTTGTTGCAATGCAGATGAAACGATTCCGGTTAATTGCGTAGCTATAACTGTAAAATAAAAAATTAGCATCTTCGATTCTATACAGTGTTTCAGAAATATTTTACTGTCTAGATTTAGCTCTTTAAATATTCACATGTGTTTCTGAAACACTTGTATAGCGGAAATTGGGAGTACCAAATTTAACGAGCTCTCACCGTCTTCGATGTAATTTTGAGGACAATTCGGAGCAATAAATGCTAACGTTGAGACCAACGGAAGTGATAAAGTTGGAGGTGCACCCTGAGATTCTTTAGCAATAGTTTCCAAAGTTAAACGCGCTTTGTCGCGCATCTCTCTTACTTTACACTCCGTTATCAAACGACCAAGCGAGGGAATTGCAGCGGATCGAACAGTTCTAAAAATATTGAATGATTACTATGTTAATTGCACTGGCTATATACGTCTTGATTCAATACCAGTCTTTAAAGTTATAGCAATTTTAAATAAATAGAGTATTTACAAATATATCTTACACGTCAGGGTCACTAACGAGTGTTATAATTGCTGGAACTACCTTAGTGCTTGCTAACCGATCGGAAACATGAGCTATTACGCAACCAAATAATGTTGCAGTTGCGCATCTTACAATAGGTCTTTGGTGCACTACCCCTATAGAAAAAGGGAAAATGATGTAACTTAACTACTAAACATTCAATAAAAAAAAAAAAAAGAAAAAACTATTAAAAATATCAGTAAGACTAACCATCCCATAAACCACTAAGGACGTACTCTTGCATATGCTCTTCGGCACACAACATAATTACTGCGATTTGTAAACTAGTAATACTGGTTCCGCTCATAGATAAAGCAACAAGGAACTCTTTTAAAGACTTAGAAACCTCTGTGCCATTTAACGTGGACAAGAGAATTAAATATGTCGGTATCAACGTCAAACACATATTTTTTTTATCCGCTGATAGTATCGTTAATTGTTGCTCGAGTTCGGCCACATCGGATGCAAATATCGGTTGTATCTAAATCGTAAAATATCAATGAATATAATTTTTGCAATCCACGTGATAGTTTCAATATTACTAAAATATTAAAATTACCCGCGTTTGCGTGATGTATCGCCCGAAACCCAAACATAAATAATGTATGTACGTTAAAAAAGCGTGTAAAATGGTTTCTTGTGCAATTTCTATGGACTTAACCATTTCCAAAATTTCTGTTATCCTGAAACATATTCAACTATCAGCATATGCGACGATACGAATTAGAAATTGATTTTTTAAAAGAACGTACAATGTGTTTGTGAACCACTCTAATTCTGGCCATACATCATTCTCCCATGTGTTTGCAAAAAATATGTTTAGAAGAGCTCCTACATCTACATCCCCGTCGTAAAATACTTTTGGATTGACGATATTAGAATGACACAGATTCAGGAATACATCGGCTGCATGATCAAATATGCACAGTTTAAAATGAATTCATAATCGTATAAAAATATTTTACTACAAAATTTATATCGCGCTTACGCAAATCTGATGACATTCCATGTTCGATGTACGCTCTGACTGTGTCGGTGTCCGCCACGCATACAACCATATGCGGGAGCAAATATTGCAATACTCCGATCGACGACACTGTTCTTCCTTCATCGATATGATCTTTATTGGGCGAGTGCTGTGAATGTCCAGACTTCAAATGATTCTTTACCTTTGATATAATACGCGGCAATAGATGCGTTTGCAATCTCTTTAACGATAATGCCCATTGTGCTAATATTGGTAAAAGTAAAGAAGACGCGACATCTACAACGATAGACGACGTATCGTGAAGTGCCGTTAATGCTAATTCCTCGCACTGTAAAAGTAATTATTATTAATATGTTATGTTTAAATATTACACGATTTTGTCTTATATACCTGAAAGTACTTATCAGGATCATCCATTAAAGCTATAAGCAATGCAAGACTTCTGACTACACATGCTCTGACTGTCGGATCTTTGTCTTCGAGTAACATTTGTTGTAGCATGGAGAGCATCAAAGAGTTTCTTATGCCAACCGACATATACGGAGCTAATACGGAACAACATTCGATTGCTAACAACCTCTTTTCAGGATATTTATGCTGACTTTGTTCCCAACATATAGTCAATATTTCTTCATCCTCTATCAACTCGTCTTCAAGTTTTGCCATTGTAACTAAACCTAATGGCAAAATATGTAAGTAAAATAATTGTTGTATATTATGTACAGCAATATACAGTAGTGCCCACGTAAGTGACCGCGGTTATCCCCACCAATTCTTAGAGACGGCTTCGGATCATCGAGCGTGTCGAGCGTAACTTGACGCCAGTCGTTATCTATACATTGTACGTATGGTTTCGGGCGCCAGCTATTATATATTTCTTATCTCCGTTGAATTCTGAGAAGTAACCATGCCCACATAAATGACCGTGGTCACTTAAATGGGCACCACTGTATCATTCATAATAATGTGCATTAACCAGTTAATATCAATTGTCTTTCATCCTCCTGTGGTCTCTTCTTAAGATTGAACAAAAGTTGTAGCAATTTTTCTCTTTCCGCAGACTCAGTATGAAGTCGAATCACGCTTAATATCAACGGTATTACTTCTTCGCGTTTATTTAGTATGACATTGGGCACGATACGAGGTAAGGTTTGTGCTAAGATCTGAACGAGAGTGTCGCGTGTGACTCCATTTTTAAAAATATCTTCCGTCGTGGAAGCTATAGAACTTGGGATATTGACTAAACAATGCGCGTTCACCTCCATCTTAAACTTCACCGGTAGATGTCTAGAAGTAAAATATTTAAAATTACTTTTATAAACATACACTGACCAACAAATAAAAATCTATTTTTTATTTTACAATATCCATTGAGTTTCTGAATATTGCAAAATAAAATTCGTGAATGTGCAGTACCTAGATGGTGCATTCGGTAGAGTAGATGATCCTTCTGTGACATCCACTCTAGGTAAATGAATTCTTGTCCATTCCTTGTCGCCGGGGTCAGTCTCACCAAGACTAACGACAACGGACACGCTATCGTCTTCCTCCGGTTCTTGGGTCGTGGTAGACGTATCGCGAGGCGGCGTTTCTAGGAGTTCAAACTTATCGGGAGTGGTAGAACTCGAATTTATCGTTTGTATCGTTCCACTACTACCTTGCTATAAAAAGAATTATGTTTCACTTACTATATACGTACACACTATACCAATATACATACATATATACATGTGCTATTTATACCTTAACTTGATTTTGCGATAGATTTTCATTTGTTGCGGCAATAATTTGTTGCAAGTTCACCTTCTCTTGCTCCAACAAGACTATTTGTTGTTTCAGATCTTCAATTTCTTTTACCTACAAATAATGCACTTCCTAAATAAGTACAATATAACAAGTACAGTGATGCCTTAGAAATTGATCAAGATTTTCCCTTGAAAATTGATTGCTTGCTATCCCTACTGGTTCTTGGAACTTTATCCAAGGCATTACTGTTTGATGCAATATTTTTAGGGGTGTGCAATAGCTCGAAATTCGGACTGAGACTGTCAGGAACACGATGGATTTAGGCAGAGCCCGATATATCACCGTCAATCGATCTGATTCGAGATGATTCAACACAATTCGATTCGAGATATATCGGGTCCCAAATAAACCCAAATTTCGGGCTACCTGTACACTCTTAAATGATTTCAACAAACCATTTGTTTGATCTCATCCTTTTCTGCCTCTGACTGTACTATACAGAAATCCGTCTGCACGCTAACGCTCGTAGAAGGCGATTTGTCATATCCATTAGCCCTCATGTATTCCCTATACATTTGCAATAACTCTGCAGGCTTTGGAATATTCAATCCCACGTCTTGCCAATCTTCAAAATCTTGATTGTCATTTTCGTCGCTGAACGTGATCGACGTTAATTTGTAAGAATGAGCTAATAAATATTCATTAACAAGGAAGTTTAGAGCTCTTTGTTCGTGAGGCTTTATGGGTAGATCATTAGCTAAGTGTTTATCCGAACATTTATCAGGTTTAACTCCCTCAAATTCTAAAACATTATGCCAAATTTAAATATTGTAATTTTAAATATAAAATATTAATGGTTAGAAAAAGAGAAACCTGTTACTACTGTAAGATTTGCACGAAGAGCAGAGATATTTTCTCTGGCCTTTCTCAATTCAAATTCCAAAATTGCTACTCTTTCATCCATGCCTGCACCATCTTCTGAATACCTTGTCATGTCAAGTGAATCTAAAGTAGCCTGACTGGAGGATCTAGCTGATATATTAATAATAATTATAAATTAAAATCACAAATTTTTATAAAAAAAAAATTATTAACAAATAATGTACGTACGCATAGAAGTGTACGGTTCTGGCTTAATGTTTTGACTTTCAAAATGACTTGGATTTGAGAAAAAATCCTTCAGAACAGGTAGCTCCTTTCCGGCTTCGCATAATTCCGCGTGCAATTCCAAAGCCGTCAATAAGAACTTTTCGTTTAAAAGCTTGGTAGCGATCTCTTCGTACGATATAGATGTTTTCGCGGCAATGTATCCTAAAAAAAAAGAAATACATAAACGTTCCACATTACAAGACCTCTGTGTAAAAAATATCACATTATCGATGATAATTAAAATGAAAATTTGCGTGCTCTAACTACCGATGACGTGTATATATTACGCGAACGATTACAAATGATAAAATTTGCATTCGTTGAATGTTCGTCGAATGTTCATTATTCCAGTTTCCATTGTAAACAATATACGTTACGTTCCCTCGATGAACGTAATTGTTAAAAAAAAAAAAAAAAAAAAATGATTATTACCTTTGCTGTCTGTTGACAGAGGATCTCTAACCTCCTGTATAGCACCAGCCATAGCTTTCACTTTACTCGAACGTTAACCGAAAATGACATGTCTATCTAGGTTGATGAGTAAAATAGTGACCCGCTCAAGTGCATGCCATGCTTTCATTAATTTAATTAAGTATATTAATAGAAATCACTTGGCTCGACACGACACAGCACATCATTTACGATGACAACAAAGCCATGTTATCCTCCGTTGTCAGTAGTAGGGCAGCGCCTTTCAACTGCATTCAGGCAGTGTTACCAGATCGGGCACTGGGTGCACCGGGAACTAATTCCATTTTCGCACACTATGCAAGATCACGTGTACCCTACGTAAGCTCGAGAGCAGAGCCGAGAAAGAGAGCAACTGTAACGTTTGTCTCTTTCTCGATTCACCGAAATTGTCCAAAGCGAGCGGTGACATTTCGGTGAATGACAACTTCGGGGGAGCGGAGAAAGAAGGCGAACGTGGCCATTTTTTCCCGCCCTCGAACAGTTGAAATCCGACCAAGGACATACGATTTCGAATCTCGATTGTCCGGGCATTTGTACTTTCTGACCTATGAACTTCTTATGAATTTATATTCCCCATCGTGGGGGAGCTTTTCGGGGGGGTCAAACTCGAAGGTCGCAAGTTACGAGCTCCCAAGACCCCCCCCCTCCGTTCCTCTTACGATTTCGATTATTTCAGTCAGGGTTACGACTAAAAAAGCATCTAAGATTTTCACCCAATTTCGGTCAGAAATTTCCTCACCTTTAATTACGATTAGTAATTATTGCTATTGTTATTGTTTCACGATTCCTTGATTGAACTTACATACTTTCGATTTCTCTATGCGGTTATAACTTTCTATAAATTTATAACAGCTTCGTAAATATTTATCGATTCACGTAAAACATTTAAACTTATAAATTTCACATTTTTATAAAAAAATTGTGAAAATTTGTACAGTTATCAATTTTATGTTTGTAATAAATTTAGAGAAAGGTTGTAAAGATTTATAAATTTATGAATTTTATAAGTTTATAGCATGTATAGGAGGGAGTTGGAAAAAATGAGTAAATTCATCGATTGGTTGTAACAAATGTAGGAGAAATTTGTAAAAACGTTTAAATTTATAAATTGTATACTTATAACAAAAGTAGAAGTAATTTAACTGACAATCGTCGATGGCGATTTACGATGATCCATTACAATCGTAATCGTCCATCGTTAGTTTGATTAAATTTTGCCCAACATTGTTACATATACATTATTTGTACCATAAAACTCAAAAATAACTTTTTTTTTTTCTCTGAAATGTTTACATTAAAAATATTGTATTGGGGTATTAGAAGAATCTTATCTGTATATTGCATCGACGAACATATAAGGTGTGAGTTTTTAAACATACACAAGTACTTCAAAAACATAGTTCTTTATCTTTCTCAGTACAAGTTTGAAGCAATTTGAATATCAATAATTTCTTAGAAAAATTACAAATAAAATATAATTATAAGGAAATAAACGTGTATAAAATCAATACTTAAGCAGAGTAAGTATTACAAATACAAGTGGTTTTTGTATTATGTTACGTTTAAAAACCTAAACAATTCTGTAGCTTTGTTGCACATGGAAAACCTAACGAAGATCAGGGTCTAGTGTGTACCGAACTACACTTTAATTTATTATAAAGTCACATTTATTAGTCTCAGCTCAGCTATATCAGCGTCATCAATAATACGAACCTGTTGTTCTATGTACAATCTACCTTCTGCGCGTCTTTTCTCAAATAATAATTTTTAATAAGTAATAATAGCAGTAATAACATGTCAAATTTTTTCGAAATATTTTTCATTTTTTTTTTTTTTTTGCTTTCGCCTCGTTGATATTTTTATAAGTGTGTTGAAAAATCGGTATAAATGTATCTATTAAAGGAGTAATATTACCGTAGTAATCGTAGCTTAGACAAAACTCGGAAGGACTGTAACACCATTTTACCTTATCCTATATTACTATTGCAACATTATTAAAGTTGGTTCATTTAGATACGTGGTTTCATAAAAATCATACGAAAACCAAAAATTCGCCAAACGATCATTTCTAAATAACTAATACAAAATCATTTAACATTTTTTCCCTCCTACAATTCGTTCAAGCACCATTGGCTGTTTTATAGTATACGAGCGATTGAACAAATTGGATCCGATTAAGTCTAAAATTATTACTTCGTTCCTGACTTACTATCATCGATAGATGCTACTTTGTAATGTCGATATAAACTTCAATCGACGCTAGTATGCTAATATTAATTCTTACAACTAGATCACTACCGTCGATACTATCAGCGATAAGTTTCTCGATAAGTCCTGCCGTGTTTCGCGATGTTGGTAGCTACGACACTTGATCCATACTGATATCCTATTTTCTTAGTTTCCTATTTATTTCCTATCATCACGTTCATATAATTAACAACTAGTTTAATTCGAACAATGATTTTTCGTTATATACCAATATATTCAATTGTCTCAGCAACCAACGGTAGACTCAAAAAACAGCATAAAATTTATATTAAGTATTACAGGTCTTCCAGAATTTTTCTAAGTTATAATTATTTCATTATATTTTCTCTAACCAGCAACCGCCAACTCCAAATTTGACTCAGGCTGGGATCGAGAGACGCAAGGCGGTATAGTACTTTTTTTTCTCTTTTTTTTTTCTTTTTTGATTGGTATCAATCTAAATCTAGTATTTGGACGAAGTGCGAGGATGGGTCGTGCGTGCTTTTGCTTTCTAAATAGAGCGTGCGAATCTCATAAAATCGTTTTTACTTCATTTAGCCACAGATAGCTTACTTTCGTATTTTCTTTGCCAGTAATAATTTATCTTCGTTAATTCATTTAATACGTGTAATAATCTTTGAAAATAAAGGTACACGAAAATAAGAACGAAAGGTCGTAATTATGTGTACGCGTGTGTTCGTGAGTGTTGTGTGAAACGATGATTGGAATTTGTGGAACAGCCCTGAGAAAGAGCGACCGACGCGCGTGGAAATGACGTTTAAGTGAGTCGGAGGCATGTCCGCCAGTGTGAACCTGAATTGTATGAAAATGAACATTTTCACTGAACATGTGAATTTGGGAATTACTTATTATTTACTTCTTTTATGTTCACTTTTAACCTCAAGTCTTAAGAGCTGTATGACGCGAATCTGCACACCCTTGCCTCGAATCTGTATATAAATGACAACCTTCAACACTAAATATCGATACTTCTGCAAAGAAACAAAAATCAATAAATACCAAATTTTAATCCCAATAAAATATACGTCTCGTTTAATTCAATCTCACCGTCAGGCAACTCATATAGTTTTCTAGGAAGAGTGTCAAAAAGAGAATGCCTTAATGCTTCTTCAGCCCCTATCCGTTGATCAGGATTTAGCTGTAGAAGTGACGTCGCCATACTCTCAAATGTAACATCGTAGAGTCTACCAAATGAAAAACCCAATTTTCGTGGAGGATAGAATCCCAGTCTATGCGGTTTGTATCCTGGCAGTTGTGTAACGCCAGGCCAAGTTTCTTCGGTAGGAGTACCCAATACTTTGAATATTCTATCAAGTTGGTCGTACGTACAGCGTACACCTGGGAATGTTGGTACACCGGTCAACATCTCCATAAATATGCAACCTACTCCCCACATGTCAAGCGAGGTAGAATACTCTGTGGAACCCAAAAGAACATCAGGCGGCCTATACCATAGGGTCACAACTTCGTGTGAGTACGTATGCGACGGCACCGATTTAGCTCTTGCTAAACCAAAATCTGCTAACTTCAGTTCTCCTATTTCACTGATTAATAAATTTTGGGGCTTCACATCTCTGTGCAGTACCCTCCTAAATAAGAGTATAGTAAAATTATTTACGCACAATATTGAAGTAAAAGTTTTTAAATTTATATATATGTTTTTACCTTCGATGACAATATGCTAATCCTCTTAACAGTTGGAATAAAAACAATTTAACAGTTTGTGTATCTAAACCCCTATTGCCACTTCCATACCTCTCCATATATTGAGACAAATCAGTATGAACGTATTCAAAAACAAAAGTAAGAGTCTCGCGCGTATGAATTATATCGTGCAAGGTTACAATATTGCTATGCTTCAATTCTTTAAGAAGGCTTGCCTCGCGAATGGCAGTAAATGGAACACCTTCTTCTTCTTGCAGTCTAATTTCTTTAAGTGCCACCACTTGATTTGTAAGGTGACTATAGCCTTTGAACACTGTGGCATATGACCCTTCTCCTAATTGTTCCAGTTTTACATAAGCTTCAGATTTACCAAAAGGAGAATCTCCCTGTAAATGGAAGTACAAATATGTTTAGACATTTTAATTTTCAACGAACATGGACAGAATAAATACAGTGATGCCTTGGAAACTAGCTGGTTCCTATCCCCATCAGTTCTAAGAACTGGCTTCTCGCTTGTTCCCGCGATCAAGTACATATTTTTATGGTTTTAATAAAACCCCCTTCAACTTTGCCCAGTTTCAATCCCCAACATCAGCTAATATCCAAGGCAATTACTATTACTGTAGATGCAAGCACAGCATTACCCCAAATGCTGAAAATCTTTTAGTTCTTCTAGGAGGTGGATCTGGCCCAAGGAAGACCTCTGACTTGGGTCGTGGTGGACGTCGAGGTCGCAAGATAACTCTTGCTTCTTCGCGTATATCCTCGTCAAGAAGTTTGGAATCACTAGAAACGGAAAGCTGCCGATGCACTCTCTCATGGTCGCCCACACCTGTCCATTCTATGACATCCAATTTCGTCCTTAAAACTTTCTTTAAAATAACAGCAATAGGAATCCACGTAGAATCATAATTTCTCAATGTTTTATTGATACATAACAATTTAATTTATATAATGCACCTTCATTGAACAATACAATATTATGTTACGATGATCAAATTGCATATCTGACTGCTGCTAACTATTAAAGCAACAAAATGATTGACATAATTATCACAGACTAATGGAAATACATTTTATGGCAGCCATTCATACAATTTGTTATCGCTGGCTAAAAAAAAAAAAAAAAAAATAGCTTTCTGATAAGTGTTTATGTGTACTACAAGTTGTTTACTTTGATAAATGAAACTATCTTCCATACTTATCTCAAAGTAAACTTTAACCTCTTGCGCTGGAATGACGTATTATGCACGTCGTTGATCATTTATTTTCAAAAGTGGGAATGACGCGCATGGCACATCTAGTGATTGTTGTTTGAAGGTAATATATCATGTAACCAACAAGTGAAATGTTACAAGCCTTGCATAGAGATACGTGCATTCGCTGTAATGTATATTGCAGTAGAAATAATTAAAAATACAAATAAACAATCGTTTCCGGCGCAAGAAATTAATAGAATCTTTCGAACATATGAAAGTACATTATTAAGATATTTGAGAACACTTGTTTTATTAATATGTTTCTCACGATTTATTAATTTTCCACTTACCGTAACGGCGATCCTTATCCGGAGGTATATTGCCGTTTGGTTCCAAACGGTCTAGGAACTCCTCAGAATAGCCATTATACGGCAGTTGACTCCTGTTTGCGACATCGTCAGCCTCTTCTTTTGATATTGCTAATGCAAATAAAATAGTACTGTTGATATACTGTCGTTAAATAAATAAATTCATTAATGGGAGAAAAATTTTAATGGGAGATTCTAGGGGCCAAAATAAGACGAAAATCAAGAATACCAATTTGTTGATCGAGGCTTCGTTAAAAAGTTATTAACGTTTCAAGTTCCGTCTGTGGAACGGCTATCATACGCGTCACGCGCACGCAGCTGTGCGCAGGTTGCCTCTCTACAGACGGAACTTTAAACGTTAATAACTCGTTAACGAAGCCTCAATCAACAAATTAGTATTCTTGATTTTCGTCTTATTTCAGTCTCTAGAATCTCCCATTAAAATTTTTCCCACGGGTGGCTGAACACTCCGCATGTTATGCAACGAAAACAGTCATAACTAGGTCAATTAATAGAATTACTCTGAAGTATGAAATACAAATTAGTATACACAGAATAATTGCTATTTCGTATAATCTTTAGGTTACTATGAAAGCCTAAAAATTGTTTCAAATTTTAAATATTTTCAATCATACTTACAAAGTCTCCCAAAACTGTGGCTAAGTCGTTTTTTCAGCTTTTGTACTCTGCTAAGAGCACCTCCTTTCTTCTCCCGCATTGTCACAGACCCTATGCATAATAAGCGCAATCTTTAGCAACTGTAAATCAAAACAAAGATACATAAATTCAAACATTCACATACTGTAATGTGTAGCCAAGAAACTCAGAATAATTTAAACATGATGGACTATTACATATATGATGACATCATGCAATAGGCAATGCCAGTGTACCATGATCTTATGATTAATGGTGGTAAAAAACTATGTAAGAAATGTCTTTGATCTGTCTTAAGATAAAATAAATTGCATGTAACATTATCAGTGAATACTACTAGAAAAAAAAAGCATGACAGTCTGTCTTATAGACAACATTCTTCTTTCTGTTAAATAAAAGGAAAATTATTTAGAGTGACAATGTATTTGTTAAAACAATGAACTGGTAATGTAAAAAGAAAAAAAAACATGTAATTGCTTGCACAAATGCAAATGACATTCTCCCTTACTTTATGTATTATAAGTGCCCATATGCTTAATTTGAAGAAGACAATAAAAACACTTGTTCATTTCATTGGCAAAATTATTCCATCATGGACACAATGCTACATGCAGTCAAATATTGGAAATAATGTGAATGCACTTTTAAAATACGCGCGACGTACGCATTCGTTAGTATGGCAGAATCTTTTGGAAACCTGTAGTCCGCATTTAAGTAGCAGGAACTGTATTCGTTTTCCGCATGATTATAAATTCCATTTATTAAAAAGCAACGAGCAATTAAGAGCTTGACAGGAACGCGAGTATACATATATTACCGTATATGTTTATACATGCGTATAATATTAAAAATGCATATACGCGTATATGTACACGTGTTGTTACCACGGGTCGATGAACTGACAAAGTTTAGTCATACGTGTCAAATAACGTTAGATAAATTACGTTGATAATTTCTAGAGTGGCTACTGACTCCACATCTCGTTTCACGGTGTTCCACATGCTTCCCCGTACACAAAAGCACTTTTCTCCATTCACGCATCTGTCGCGTTCCAGCGAGTGACGTTTTCGCGGCAACAAGGGGGGAAACACTAATAATCGCGCTCGAGGTGACGATGCACAACTTCAATGCAATCTCGCGGCTGATAAACTCGTCTACGCGGCCGAAGTTTAATAAAAAAGTTTCGTCAAGAATGTACACGATCCGTTTCTCTCTTCGAAATACATACTGTTCGAGCCCCCCACCCTTCTCGTTTGTAAACGACACACTCACCACGTCCCCCCTCTTTGCTGCACTCTCTTGGGCCTGTCACTTTGTCTCTCTTCGTCGGACCAACGTCCACCCCCACGATCACGGAACTTTTGACACTGTCCAACTTACTGGATCCGTGTTTTACACAGTTCACATGTGCAACGTGGGGGACCAAAAATCCACGAATAAATACACGTAGAGAGGGATAAGAAAAAAAAAAAAAAGAAAAGAAGACGGAACGCGATACAACGGAGGAGGACTCGATCTAAGGCTGCGGAAAAATGGAAAAGGTGGGGAGGGGAGAGGGGGGAGGGGGAGGTGGGGAAAGAGCCGAGAGAATTACTTCTGGTAGCCGGACCTCGCGCGGGCGTCAACTTACCCTCTTTGCTCTTCGAGGCGGTCGAGCCCTTGTCCTGACAGTACATGATTACTCATTCGTTCACACGCACGAAACACATCACATATGGGCGGTGACGCACTGTGTGTGTGTGTATGTATGTACGAGAAGCTACGTTCCGTGATGTTTCTCTCGGGGCAGGTCAGGTCCGGCAAGTACCACCTTCACCTTTGTCGTATCTCGTATATCGGTGGTAGCGTACGACACTTTCCTGATGAACTGATCGCCATGAAAAACACACCACCGTTTCTCCTGTTCTACGTTTAAGATCTTGCGCCGTGTGCTCTGGGCAATGGTACGCGCTACCGATATTCCCCCGGTTAAACTTTTGCAAAACGTTTACACGCCTAGGCTCTGACCCAAGGAACGTGAATAACCTCCGCGGCTAGGGTTCTTCTACTGCAACTTTCTGGATGTATGGCGGGTGCTCGCGCACACCACCACTACCTTGAACAACTCATCCGCGAGAACAAACTTCTCCCAAGAAGTTTTCTATTCCCAAAGTCCCACTGCCTCGCGCCACAGACAAAAGTCTGAAACTGGCCGATCCACATCGGTCGGGGTGTATGTGCTTTCTATAAAGGATGGTTACTCGAATGCATTTTCATGCACTTTCGATTACCGCCATCTCGTTTCCTGCGAAGCAACTACGGCCGCGTTCGGTTCGGTTCTCATGTGTTGTGTATGCGACTGCAAGCATGTACTATTTGAAGCCGTTTGATTTGTTCGCGTTTAATCGTTATGATCAGTGCCGTGGTTACGTATTTAAAATACGTCACCATTTGCAATTTGCTTTGCGGTAAATTCGCACAAAGTCGTATATAGCTCTGGTCACATCCGAGTGCAGTATTAGCCATGTTGAATAAGAAACAGTAAAACCCTAAGAGTCTGATTTTGCACTTGATAGAAAGAGTACGCAGCATTAGTGCGTCTTTGTCTATTCAATGCAAATCGGACTCTCGTAACTCTACTGGCTCTTGCTCAGTATGACTTCGGCCATTGGCTCGCAGGTACTAGAGTCGTCCATCGTCCGACTATAGGCACCTTTCAAAGGCGTAATTTAGATACAACTCTGATTAGATATACTGTATCAATTTTATTTAATATCTTGTATATACTATAGATAAAAGAATGACGGTTTACTTATTATTTTTAAGGAGTCAATAATGTATATAAGTTTAACGATGTGACTACGTTCTTTTTCGCCATAATGGACGCACGATTACATATTTTTGAGCGGTAGTGTATACTTATAGATGTCTGCATTTTTGTAAGAAAATTTGGCATGAAAGTTTTGCCAGTTAAAAATAGACCAGAAGCTTTTCACGTAGTGTTACATTTATTCCGCGTCATTTGACTTCGTTTACTTTATTTAGTAGAGTTTTTTATATTTTACATTTTTATTTATTTGTTTTGTATTGCTAACTTTACATTTGAATTTATACTGAAACGTAGAAACGTTTGTGAGAGCGTGGGCTTTTGCTGTCTTACCTCGATGAAATAACAGTTCGTGACGTCAAAGTGACGTCAGTACTGTTCTTGTAAGCGCTCAGAACACCGATGCGAACGGGGTAAACAATACTTATAAGCACCGGGAGCTAAACTAAATTCACTCTATATTTCGTCGCGTAATTTAATTTACAGCTTATACCGTTTGCTCAACATCTTTGTTGATATTTCATTTTACAACAGAACTAAAGCTATGAATGTGCAATAACGTTATACGATTATCAAATATCAATACATTTCCTGACTTTTACGTTTGGAATTTATATGTAATAAATTATTTGTTTTTTTTCAAATTGAATTGTTCTTGTTTTAATAACGTTGTAAAGAGTGATTGTAAACTGTTCGTTTGCGTTTCTTATGTGAAATTATAAATTGTTCTAATATCAGAATCAATTAGATTTCGTTTAGTGAGACTGGAACTCGGGTAAGCAAACACGTAACACCCAACGGGATCGAAACGTCAGAGAGCTGTGCCCCAAATACATAAAGATTCCAATAAACTCTATTAAGTTACAATTTATATATATTAACTATAGATCGATAATGACAAAATTAGTAAGAGAAAATACCTAAAGACAACAAATAAAAATACATTTATCAACCCACTATCGCCGGACCTTCGATACACTTTTGGTTTGAAACAACGAACCAATGGTATTATGTCATAATCGTGTAGTTTTGTTTCCCCGAATTTATCATCTCTCTGAACGAAGTATAGTTAATTAAAACTTTATTCAGTTTGCTCTTAGATGTGTCATCAAATATATTCATAACGTAGTAATCTTTCTATGTATTATATGGTTATAGATCAAAGTAGATTAGCAATTTATTGCAAGCTGTTTCCATTAAAACCAAGTTGTGCAACATATACTTCCGCTAACTTCACTTCAGTCTGTTACACGTGTACACACATGTGCATGCTTCTTTCGTAGATTTTAAAGTAATGTTTTATTTGAATAGTAAACGATTAAGCAACAAATTGATTGCGTGCGTTATAAAAATGTCGAATTGTATAAAATAAGATATAGATGTGACTAAAAAAAAAAGAGTGACGTTAATATGTAACAACGAATATTTTTCAACGTCAAAAGTTGTGGCTTTGCGAGTGTATAGTGACATTGGAACACATGATTCAATGTTTTTTAAGCAAAAATAGTTCCGTATTCATTCGCAATTCTTCATAACGAACATACACGTTGCGCATGCGTCTGGAATGCTTCCAAGCAGTGTTACCAGATCGCGCGCCGGAGGCACCAGGAATTTTCCTTTTCACTTTCGCACACTATGCCCGATTGGCGTGTACGTGAGCTCGTAGAATTTCGTAGAGCGGAGAAAGATAGGTTGACCCGCTCTCTTTCTCGATTTTCCGAAGTTATTTGAAGTAAGCACGGTCGCGCTTCGTACAGCTTCGAAGAGTTGAGAAAGAGGGCGAGTGTCAGCCCGTCTTTCTCGACTCGCCGAAATTCTACGAGCTCACGTACACGCGAATCGGTCCATAGTGTCGAAAGTGGAGCGGGAAATTTCTGGTGCCGTCGGTACGCGATTTGGTAACACTGCTTCCAGGCGTTCCAGGCGTTCTACGCATGTATTAGTGTATCAGTGTACACTTTCGCGTTGTGAGTCGGCAAAAAGGGAAGGCTGAAAACGACTATCAAGGTATTTCGGTGTTTAAGATTTTTCCGGATCGCGATCCAACATCGAGCGATGTCGAGCGCAGAAAAACAACCATTTCGCCGGCTGCCCACGGACGTTCTGCCTTATCATTATGATATTGTTTTGTCACCGAATCTAAAAACTTTCGTCTTCGATGGCACGGAGTATGTGCATATTGACGTAAGCTCAATCAGTCTAGATCACTCATTAAGACATTTATATATCTCACCGTACATAACTGATAAAAATTGAAACGCGATAAGAACTGTATGAGAAACATTTATATAATTTTTCTTTCCATAGTGCAATACTTTCTTGAATATTATGCCTTCTTAATTTTCATACTGTTGACAATGTTTTTTTAATATTTTCAGGTGAAAGAACCCACGGATACTATTGTTTTAAATTCACTGGATATCGATATTAAAAGCGTAGCTTTTAACTGCAAGGATGATAATAAGGTCATTCCAACGAAAAATGTTGAAATCTCTACACCGGAAGAAACAGCTACTTTGGTATTTGCTGAAAAGTTACCGACTGGCAAAAGTGGATGTCTGAAATTGGAATTTGTTGGAGAAATTAATGATAAAATGAAGGGCTTCTATAGAAGCAAATATGTTGGGTATAATAATTTATACAATATCATATCTGTTTAAGAGTTGCATATAAATGAAAGAAGTACAGCTGTTCATATTATGAAAAGATAGTATTTCATGATATCACTGTATAATATAATATATTCAACTATAGGTTTTAATATTTTGTAGGCAAGATAAATGGGGTGCTGTAACATTTTTATGTCCTACATCAGCACATAGATTATTTCCTTGTTGGGATGAACCATTATTTAAAGCTACTTTTACGATACACATTGAACTTCCTCGAGGCTCACCACTTATTGGCTTATCAAATATGGTGAGCATCGATGAACATTTTTGAAATAACATCTTTGTGTATGTGTTTTCAGGCCTGATGGAAGTGTTGAGTACGCAGCCGTAACTCAGTTTGAGCCGACAGATGCTAGACGTTGCTTCCCATGTTGGGATGAACCAGCACACAAAGCCACGTTTGATATTACCCTAAACGTGCCATTGGGTCTTACAGCACTTTCCAATATGGTAAGCAGCGCCTAGCACTTACTGTTCATTTTATTTGTTCTGTTTTTTAAATAGAAATTTGATAAAGTAGACTAGTTATGGAATTTTAGAAAAAATTATTATTTATTGCAGCCTATTAAAAGCACGGTAACAAACGAAACAACTGAGACTTTAACGTTTGAGACGACACCGATTATGTCGACGTATCTCGTAGCCGTGGTGATTGGTGAATTCGATTACATAGAAGACAAATCTAGCGACGGTGTACTAGTACGGGTTTACACGCCAAAGTCAAAGAAAGAACAGGGACAATTCGCATTAGAAACGGCTGTAAAGGTGTTACCATATTATAAAACGTATTTTGGGATCGCTTATCCACTTCCGAAAATTGATCTCATTGCGATTGCCGATTTCTCATCGGGAGCCATGGAAAATTGGGGTTTAGTTACGTATCGTGAGACTTGCCTTTTGGTGGATCCACAAAACACTTCTGCCCTTCGAAAGCAATGGATCGCTTTGGTCGTAGCGCACGAATTGGCGCATCAATGGTTTGGAAATCTTGTAACCATGGAATGGTGGACGCACTTGTGGTTAAACGAAGGTTACGCGTCGTTCGTAGAATTTTTATGCATTGCTCACCTGTTCCCCGAATACGACATTTGGACGCAATTTGTAACGGACACGTACATCGGAGCGTTAGAATTAGATGCTTTAAAGAACAGTCATCCGATCGAAGTACCGGTTGGTCATCCGTCAGAAATAGACGAAATTTTCGATGAGATTTCTTATAATAAAGGTGCATGCGTCATTCGAATGTTACATGCTTACATTGGCGACGATGATTTCCGCAAAGGTATGAATCTGTATCTAAAGAGGCACAGTTACGGTAATGCAACAACGAGAGATCTTTGGAACGCTTTGGAAATAGCCAGCAATAAGAATGTACGATCCGTGATGTCCACTTGGACCGAGCAACAAGGTTTCCCGGTTGTCAAAGTCCGACACAGTCAGGATGGCGATGACCGAGTTTTGTCTCTGTCCCAAGAAAGATTTTTGGCCGATGGTTCCGCGGATACCGGAAATAGCTTATGGATGATACCGATTAGCATTAGTACGTCAAAGAATCCAGAGGAATGTGTGCTTACAGACTTGTTGGATGAGAAAACAAAAGATTTTCGCGTCAAAGATGTTCCTGAGTCTAGTTGGGTGAAGATCAATCCTGGAACTATCGGTTTTTATAGGACTTATTACAGTCCAGAGGCACTGTCTCTGTTATTACCCGCGGTTAAAGATCGCGCGTTACCTCCTTTGGACAGACTGGGTCTGTTGGACGATTTGTTCGCCATGGTACAAGCTGGACGTGCGTCCACCGTAGAAGTACTTCAGCTCATGCAAGCGTTCCAAAAAGAAGACAATTTCACTGTATGGTCTAGTATAGATAATACCATAAGGAAAATCGGATTTCTCCTTTCTCATTTAGATTTCCAAAACTCCTTCAGAGTGTTTGGACGTAACTTAATGGGAGACATCACTAATAAATTAGGATGGGATCCAAAGCCCGACGAAAGCCATTGCGATACGCTTCTAAGGTCTCTGATATTAGGTCGTATGGCAGCCTTAAACGACACAAACACCATAGAAGAAGCGAAGAAACGATTCGACTTGCACGTGTCTCATGCTGCGCTTCTGGCTGCCGATTTACGTAGCCCTGTTTATCGGGCTGTGCTTTCCAACGGAAACTCCGATACTTATCAAACGATGTTGAAGCTTTATCGCGAGGCTGATTTGCACGAAGAAAAGGATAGAATACTGAGGGCCTTCGGTGCGATTAAAGATGAAACTCTGTTGGCGGAGGTTCTCGAGTTTGCCATGAGCGACGAAGTGAGAGCCCAGGACGCGGTATACGCAATCATGTCGGTATCAATGACGTACAAAGGTCGCATCATGGCGTGGGACTTCTTCAAGAGAAATTGGCAAACGCTTCGCGATCGTTACGGTGGTGGTTTCCTGATATCGAGATTGGTTAAGATCATTACCGAGAACTTTGTCACCGAAGAACAGGCCAAAGACGTCGAAGAATTCTTCAAAGATCATCCAACGCCAGGAACCGAAAGGACCGTTCAGCAGAGCGTCGAATCTATCAGATTGAACGTTGCATGGCTCGCTAGGGATAAAGACTCTATCAAGGAATATCTAACTACTCAGGTCTAGTAGTAGTTATAAATTTGTTTTATGCATCGAGTTTTCAACTCTAACGTATCGTCTGATACAACAGGAAATCGATGAGATGGCGTCGTGCCATTGTACGAGCGTATACATGAATAGCTTCGAGTCAATTTAAAAGAGGGAAGAATGGTTCTCTTTTGTGAAACACGACATCATAGGATTTGAGTTTACACGCAATGGTTGCTTTAACAGATACCTGATACATGTTATTTCGTTGTTTATTTCCGTTGGCAATTCTTTGGAATGCATAAAGATACCGTTTCACGGTGTCTGTGGTTACCTTTACCGATGGTATTATTAAAACACAGCATTAGATTTTTGGCATTTATATTTTTTTTGTGTCCAGTAGGCACGTGATTTTTCTTCCCGAATATGTAGTCAGATTCGAGAGCACTAGTATTTGTTACTCTTATATCGTGAGTAAAGTGAAAGAAGGGGGAAACAAGCGTGTAGCTGCAGTATACATTTATATCATATACCATAATCGAGAAGATTGAAATAAATACTTTTACGCTTGTGTATGAACGTGTATTTAAAATTCCTTATCACTACTTTACAATATTGTTATTTATACAGGGTGAAAATGGGTAACGTAATTTCATTTTTGAGAAAATTGCTTTTTAAGATATGTGGGGTTAAGTATGTGCCTAACTAATAACTAATGGATTTCTTCACTTTGGCAATTTCTATTGCCAAATTTCATGCATTAACGTATAAAAATCTTTTCGATTTCATCACTCGTTACGAGACATCTTGAATAGTAATTATAGAGGGCGTGCCACATACAATTCGACCATCTTAAACATCTCAGTTTTTACGATAGGAAAAACTGTTAAAGGAAAATTTGTTCGGAAGGGGTTTATATTATGACAGTAAATAAACAAATTTTTTAAGGTTACACTTTTTTACGATTTCCTGATCATCGAAATTCCTGAAAATGGTACATAGTTGTACCTTCGTAATAGTTGAGATCAAAATCCATCCAACGATGGATTATAGAAACCTCGTATATCGCGGCATAATCTTACCCACGTTGGGGAGACAAGCCTCGACGTAGTCGGGACAGTCGAGTAAAATGCCCCCATCGTGTTAACCATCGTTACGCGGTATAAGGCGATGGTTGCGGAGTACGAAAGCAGTTCTTATCCCCGATCGATCAGCCCTTTTAGCTTTTGCGTAGGAGGGTGTGCTGCTGTCACGCCGTGAGTCAGCCTCCACTTTCGTTATTAGTGTACATCCACCGACCAACCAGCGGTCGTTCAGCGTTCGCGTCGAGTAGTTCGCCACCCTCTGTCCCGTTCCCTCGCTTTCTCTCTTTCTCCCTCTCTCTCTCTCTTCGTCGCTCTTCGCTATGAATACGAAGCGAGCTCGAGTGGTCGAAAGGACGGAAAGCCGCGGGGACACAGTCAGTCGGATGGAATCAGTTCCCGTGGGTATCCCGTGAACCCAAGGTTCCCAGGAACGCGCACGCGACCCGGGACAGGGAACACGGATCAATACGAACTTTGCGAACTCCGACACGCTGCGACGATGCGTCGTTCGCCCGTACCTAGGCCCTCCTACGACGGAGACGAACCACCGCGCGGCTCCTCCCTCGCACGTGTGCGTGGATTATTACGTACACGTGTGCCCATTTAACCCCACCCTGAGATCGTGTCTCGTAGGGGGTGTATTCGCTTGGGACGCTCGCGGATTTATCGCTCTCAGCGATATAGGAAGCGGGGAAACGACCTAACAAGAAACTGCCGATGGGGATCGTTACGGGCGAGCTTGATCATAGAGCAGCAGTCCCTTTCGGAACCGTCTTCTCCCTCCCTCTCTCTTTGCATCCACCATTCTGCTTCGTCTAGTTTGCGAATATCCCGGTTTCATGGACAGAATTCGCGAACATGAGACGAGAAGAGTTATTCGTGAAACGATCATATCATTGTACGATGGTTTTTAACCTCTAAAACTCATATTGGACAGGTAATCAAGTTTTTGTTAAACAAATTGTAAAAAATGTTTTCGAGCTTATTTGTCATATCGTCACGCTAGTTTTACGTGTCTAAAGATGCTCTGGACATTTGTTAAGATTGTAGTGTGGAAAATGAACGATTTTGCGATACGTAAGTTCGAAGTGCCGGTCACTGGTGACCACCAAGGCAGTCAACGTGTTAGATAATCTATTTTCCGCAAGTAAAAAGTAGTCACACGAAGTGGAAAGTAATTTTGAAGAAACGAGCGTTGGAAACCTAGCTTGACGATTTGACGGAAAGTGAAAGTAAAAATGTAGTAAGTTGCACTTCCTTGCAAGTACGTTCTATTCGCGCAGAAAGGTGCAACGAACATTTTTAATTTATTTTTTGGGCGAAGAATCATTCTCCTTCTGATTTTCCAGTGATTAATTAGATAGCCGTATATAGATAACAGAAAAATTTCTTAATGAGCAAGAAAACGTTGACAAATAAGGTTATGTTTTTTTTAGGATACGATGTCTACTATAATAATTTGATCGTCAGTTTTGTTCAAACGAAGTAAAATCGAACACGAAGATCTTTTTATCGAAACATGGGTCCTTTTTATTGGAGATGACATTCGAACAATTTACGATACATATGATTTAGCAGATTCGCGACAGCTGTCAGCAAGTGGGAAATGCATGTCGGATGCAATCAGATAAGTCAGGAATCTTTAATTCTTTGTATACCATCGGGGTCCGTTGGACCCAATTTTACTTTTCTTTTTCGAGCAAGTTAAAATTTTTAATAATTCTGTTTCCACCCTCTTTTTATTACTGTCTCCTCAAATTATCCGCAAATCTATTTAAAAACATAAAAAAAGATAAAAATGATACTTGGGCCCAGATGGTAAATGACAATGTTCTCTTCCTGGTATACCGTTAATGTTAATCCCTACTTTTGTGTGTATTAATCGATAAATGATCGATTCATGAAAACGTTTAAGAATTTGTTTCGCATTATTTTCATTGCAGATAAGTCGCATTTAAAAAATGAGAATGCAGTCGCAGTATGCCTTTTACGAAAGTCAAAATTTGCCAGCCAGTGTAAAGGAATTTCGTGATATCATTCGTTTGTATAGTGTTCAGTAACGAATTTTTAGGGAGTCTGGATTTGGTTTCGATTTTCGAACAAAGAATTATGAACGCATTGGTAATTGTATGGACACAGTTTGCATTTATTTCGCGTGCGTGAGTGTGGCACGCCCGCGCGACAATATACTTACACTTTACAGCCTTTCAGTCTTCGCGAATATACAATAGTTACGGAGAGAGATCTCTAAATTATAATATGAAAAGCAATAACAATGATAATAATCATGTGATAATAATAATAATATTAATAATAATAATAATAATAATAATAATAATATAGTATCGACATTGCGATTAATGTAATGAATAATCATAATACAAATAATTCGTTTTATTATCTACAACAGGAGTTCAAATAATACAGGCTCTGGTCAACGCGACACGATAAACATTTCTCTTTCACGCGAAAACTAGGAAAGAAAAGAAGAGAAGATCCATTCAAGACCGGTTGGGCGGGGTGTGCGCTAGCTACTCTAACGCCACTAATTTGATTCCAGGTTATGCGTCGAGCAGCAGAGAAAACTGGTGAAAATGTTCCCGCGAATTGCACCGATTCACCCCCAACCGGTCGTGAGCGACCGATACTTCGAAGTGAACGAACAGAACGCGAGGAAGAGAGATCGAGCCAACTTCTCGCATTATGTACTCCAGCACAGAACACAGCGGTACCGAGGAGAAATCAACGCGAAAGAAGAAATGTAACGGAAGGGGGGAGGGGTAGGAGGAGGCCAGAGACGCGGATATCGCAGAGGATTACAAGGATTAAGGGTGATCGATAGGGGGTGGGGGGATCAAAAGGAACGACGGGCGTAGAAGTGAGTCGATTACGATGAGAGAGGTTGTGCGAGGAATGCGGCGAGTTTATGTACAAGTATTTACATCTTTCTTCGAAGAAAGAAGCTCGTTTGGCCGCGAAAGGCCTGCTTTACAATTCTTCTTCGTCTTTCCCCTTTTCTTCATTCCGTTTTCTTTTCAGGTGCCTCGGTGTCGGACACATCCCCGGCTACTCACTGGGTCTGAACACCTGAGAATCTATTCCCTTTCCGTTCCCTTGTCTCACAATGCATCCGACAAGAAGCTTGTCTACCGTCCCGGGGTCTTGGATCCTGAAGAGATGCCGAATGCAACCCGTCTCTGGAACGCTGAGAAGAATAGGTTCCCTCGATCGACTCCCCTGAAGAAGACTCGAACGGTCCCGAGCGACGTTGAAACCGTAGGTCAGCTCGTCAGCCCACGAGGATAAGCTCGAGCGACCTGGACCTTACTGGAGCTCGTCCGCCGACGCAGGTCACCGTTCCGTGACCAGTCCGGTCGTCGTGGTCGTCGGCGATGTCGTCGACACGGTCGTCGTCGCGTTCAACAGCGGCTGGAGGGGCTGTCGCGGCGTCGTCTTCGCGATGCTGGACTCGTGGTGGACGTTCGTCTCCTCGAGGGTGGTTTGGAGATCGCAGATGTACTCGATCACCCTCTGGATCACCTCGAGCTTGGACAGTTTCCGTTTCCTCGGCATGTCGGGGACCAAGGACCTCAGTTTGGTCAGGTAAGCGGCCACTTCCTCTGCCTCGAGATCGCGACGAGTACCGTTTATGCCCAGACTACTGTGCAGGACACCGCGGCTCGGCGGCACTCTGCCGCCCACGGGGCTCACCACCATCGCCTTCATGTCGTGCGCGTACAAATTCTTTCGCGGACGAACCGAATCGACGGTCAACCGCCGGATGAGAAGAAAAAGAACAGCGAAGAAATGTGGGTCGACTTTTTAATTCGATCACGCACACCTCGCCCGGTTATCTGACTGCTGGACGGCGGTGCACGTACACGCACCCCGTGTATTTATCGATCGAACCAAACCCACTAAAGCGAGCGCACGAGAGACGGACAGAGAGCTTCGTCCGATCGGACGTCCACCGTTTTCTATTTCGGCCGCTGCTCTGTCCACAGTGTTTTTTGTTGTTCTGTTACGTAGAATGCTCAGGCATAAACGTGTCACACACACACACAGTTTACGGTGGTTAGATTAACGCGACCTCGTTTCACACGCGGGAAACATCGTCGAATTTAATCGTTGATTTGCGCAGAGAAGTGCAAAGTGGGTTTTCGGGCGCGAGTGTGCCGGAGGAGGATGCAACACGGTCCCCGTAGCGTATGCGTCTCGCTCGGCGGATCGAAGTCAACTGGCCTCCGCCCCTCACCTGCACCTTTTTATAACCTTCCCCCACCCTGCGTCCTTCTACCCCCGCGACGCCTCCACTACTCGTACGGCGCAATCGTTGCCTGAATAGAATAGCGTTGGACTCGAATCGCTCGCGAAACGGATTGTTATCTGACCTATTTAATACGCGTAACTTTGGTAAATATTTATACACATGCACCTTTTTATTGAACCGCCGGCACGATGTTTACCGATCGATGAAAGTGGAATTACAGATTGCATTGTTTCCATGGTATTTGGACGATCAACGTTCGATCACGAATTAGTGCAATTTAATTGTTCTTGCAATGGCAACTAAGTAGCGAATTTTTGTAATTTTACCATCTCTAAAAATTCAGTACTATTTTAAAAAAAGTTCTATGTACACATGTTATATCTCACTTCCGTAGTATGAAGGGCAACACTTGGAGGCCATGTGCTTAAGATCGAAAAGACTATGTTCCTCGTGGAACCTCGTTTTCAATTTCGACGGTGTCCTTACGCTAATCGATGAGTCAAGAAGACCATCAATTAAGAACTACCGCTCGACCACCCTGAAACCTTGCCCGCTTTTCCTCGGGTAGTTTCTAGCCTTTAATTTCTCACTTGCATTTCCCTTTCTTTGGCCTGTCGTGAACGTACCTTGCCATGGTCCCTTTCTACGGTTCTGCTAAATAACCAACCACATCCAATTCTACCCATGTTACTCCAAAAGCTTGTTCGCCGATATCCAACAATTTTAGACCATTCTCTCAACAAATTTTTCTCAATTAAAGCAATCATTTGATACTTATGGTCGACGAAATGGTGACCCTTAGTCATTTGACTTGTTACTCGAACCTCGATAATCGCATGCGAGTCTCATTCATTGCACGGTGTTGACAATGAACAGGATGGTCGCTAAGTAAGGTCGGAGGCGCTACAAATACATAAATAGTTGTACGCGGCTACTATTAATCGAATCGATTACCTCGACCGCTGCAAGAACCGCGATCGTTGAATCTTCAGTCCCATCGCTTCGTAACTCCGAAAACTTCGCCCCTCGTTCGTTTTCGGGCCGTTCGGAGCGATGCGCGGCAGTCGGGCGCGTCGAGCCGATTCGTCGAAAGGCGGCGTTTCCTCCTTTCGCGACATTAGAAGGAACACGGTGTCCGTGGCGCGAATTACAAGCGCGGCGTGGAATCATTTGCAGGAAGGCGCGACAGAACGCCGCTAGGAATTCCAGACGGTCTATCTCGCGTCCCCCCCCCCCCTCCCACTTTTCTCTGTCGACCCAACCTCACCCCGCGTCTGGTAACTTGTTCCAGCGAAATCGTTCGGGTCGAAGCCGACCGTAGTCGGGGGTGTTTGACGACCATGGAACCAGAGGCGTCGGCGGGACAAGCCGGGCGTGGAAGAGAAGGGCAACGCTGCGGTCCGGAGGGGCAGGAGGGGGTTTGCGTGAAGGGTTCTAGGCGCGGGTGGAGGGGAGAGAAGGGAGACACGACCATTGTTGAACGTCCGGCGGCGCCAGCCACTAGCCATCACGGCTACCACCACCAATAGACGGGCCGTCGCACTACCACCATCGTTTCACCGACGACCACCGTCCTCGTGCATTGCCCATGGTTCACGGGCTCGAGCACCGTGCACCGCCAACCTGTACACCATGATTCCGGCCACGGTTTTCTATGCACGTGTACGTATACGTGCGCGGCGGCGGCGGCGGCGTTCGTCGAGACTCTTGCCTTCTTGACTTGCGTGCTCGCGCGTATACACGCCGACGTTCTCTCCGTCTCTCGCTAGCGCTCGTTCTGTTCTCTGTTGGCACCGCGCTGGTCGTGACTCTGGTTACTTGGGAGTCTCGTTACCGGTCGGGACAAGAATCCACCCGATGTCCGGCGCTACGGACACAGAACAGAGGGAGTCCTTTATTATGCTACGCTTCGGAACGAGTTCCCCGACGAGATCCCGACGAAATTACGCCGCGGGAGGAGGAGAGAATGGGAGTCGAGGCGGCGGGCGATTTCTATTAGCTCCGTTAACAATATGGTCGTTCCAATCCCTTTTTACGAATTTTGCGTTTGCCTCGATTGTAATATAGGTAGGCTACAATAAATAGCGCGGACTCTCAACGAGAGCGGCAGTGCGCCCGTAGATTTGGAAAAGTAAATAAGAGTCCACAAACAGAGTTCGGTGTTAGGTAGAGAACGTTAAACTGTACAAATATCGTATAAGCGAAAATACGCGTTGACGTGCTCGTTTTCGAGTTATTATCGAAAAACGGGTGCGAGCGATCGGTCCGCCGGTTTGTATTTTTTTCCGACCACGCCTCCGTCCATCGATTCTAGACCTTTTTTTTATCTTATACGACGAAGAATGCAACCCAAACAATGTTGTTTGTTGCTGCAAGTGATAGGTAACACGAAAACCGAGTTATATAAATGTACAGTTAAAGTCGGATGGAATGGATTTATGGAATGGATGGATCAATTCTAATTAAAAAAGAGGTCCTTTTGGTCCTCTTTACTCTATTAAAAAAATATTAAAAGATTATCTATGTTACTCTGAGCGGTTTGGAGTACGTGGGAATGGGGCTTAACGCTAGTGGCGTTGGAACATTTCACAAAGACGCGTACTTCGCGACGCGAAGAAAATTAGAATCCGAGATGTGGACAGCAGATTCCGAGGTAAGCGTGTTATCTGACACCGTGGAAAGATCGTGAGATCTCCCGCGGGAGTGCCATAAAGGTGACTTTTCATTGCGACTGCTGCTCGGAGAAGCAAATGATCGAATATTTTTTAGCGAATCGTATCCTAAATGTCTACGTTTAAATCTTAATGATCGGACCTCTATGAGAGTTCGAAGAATACACGTTTTACAATAGAATATCATTTTGAAAATAGCGATTCGGAGGAGTAACCGCCGCTGTTGGATGAAATAATAAAGTCATGCTTTATAGAATTTCTCGAGTACTCTTATGGTCGGGTGAAGCACGTGGTGAACGTATAAAGCGGTGAACGTGGAGATGCGAGTGTGATAATCGAAAATGCAAAGCATAACGGGGCGCGCCTCATTGCGCGCGAAATCCCGTCGTGATAAAGATTTTAGATACGGGAAATGGTCGAGATGAGAACCGAATATTTTTTCCGTTGCTAAAAGCGAAGGCGTGAAAGGAAGAAGTAAGCCTAACGGGAACCGTCGAAGAAACGCTTGTCACGAGATTATTTTATTCGAATAATATTCGAACAGCAAAAACAGGGACATTCGTATTTTGTTTATTCGATAACATTTTCGTTATCTTTTAGTACAGCTCGGTTAAAAATGGTATCGAGTCGCTTGGTAAAGTCAGCTACCGTGTTAACTCCAATGCTACCATGTTTTTAATGCCTACTTAAGCAGAGAGTGCCAATGGGAATATCGACACAATCTTTGTGTGTTAAGGATAACGTGTTTAAGTATTCAAGAGTTTAAAAAATGTTATATAAATGTAGGTTCGAACGTCAACTCTGTCCGAGTACACGCATGTTTCTGTCGTGGTACTATGGGTGATTTATTTTGTTAGTCGTATCGGTTCAATGTGTGATACATGATATATGTAGAAGCAGCGATAATATTAGCTTTCGAGATGTCCGTTTCGACATAATAAGTCATAAATAGAGCAAAAAAACGATTTATTCGAATATAGTTTGATTAAATTAATTGGATAGTTAAATAAGAACGCACGGAATAATAGCTGAATTCAGTTAAGGAACGATAAGTGTGACAAATATTATTGAGCAGATTACAAACTATAGCTATATAGAATCAGAGTCAATTAAATTGACTCTCTGCGATCAATAACGAAGAGATAATTTCCTATTTACGTAAACTGTTATAAATTATTAGCAATGATCTCTATGGGACTATTTTCACATTTTAAGTATAATAGTTAAATTTTTGGACGAGAAGGATGTAAAATGGTGCTCCCATGGTCAGAAAAATTTGCCATTGGAACAAGATAGAACTTGAGGCAATTAAAATTGTGGCAGAAAGATGAAAATACGAAAAATGCATATTCGACTCTAACAAGCGACTGTTATACGTATATTTAACCGCGTAGAAATTTAATTGAGGCTAAGAGCGAGCGTGCAACGTACGAATTAGATTGCTCTAACATGCGCTTATGAGATAATAAATTATTTCGTCGGGAGAAATACGATTTTCCTTGCGCAATCGCGTTAATTCCACGTCGGTGAGGAGAATAAAAAATTCACGTTCGCGTGACGGACGACGGTGATACGACGATAAACTGTCGACGTAGCAGGAGACGCGAGGATTCCATGGAAAATTACAGGGAATAAAATCGAACGAAACGCCCGTGAGACTCGGGCACTTACGCGGTTACATACCTGAGCAACCGGATCTCATTGACTTCTTGACCTTCGAGATTTAAGAAATGGAGTCCCCTTGACCCGGGAATAAATATACCGACGAAACCGCTTGTCCCGGCAATATCGCTGCCCGATGCTTATATTTATATCCTGCCCGGTATCACTGCTCTATTACAGCCTAAGCGAAGTATTAAAGCGCTACTTGGTAATTGGAACTTAATACGCGCTTATACCTTTATCTGTTATTACGGGGTCGCGGTGGATACCGGCCACGTGCAACGACCGTGAATTAGCCCCCTCAATTCCATTAATTAATTGTTAAATTATCCTCGCGTCTTCGTTCCTCCTGCACTTTTTAACTATTCGTTGCGTACGAACGGGAACATCAGCGTCCACGGATACGGCATTATTCAGCGGCGTTACAGCCTTAACTCTTTCCAGTCGAAGTCCTGGATATTCCCGGCATGGTATTTTTACCGTTTCCATAAAGTAAACGTACCCATTATACTGATCGGACCCCCATTAGCGACCTTTCATTTACTCTGTTTTGTTCGAAGCAATAACAGAAAGAAGACGTTCTACTTGCAGATATATTATTTGTTATTTCTTTTG